CACAGTCTGCTCATTTTGAAGGGTTCTGTCTATCAGGATCCATTGAATGCCATGTTAGCAGGTCAAGACAGTCCATATCAACCTTGCATATTGTGCAGGCCACTCATTTGGAAGGGTTCTGTCTATTGGGATCCACAGAATGCTGTTTTCACAGGCTGACATCTTTCTTTGCATCGTTATCCTATTATTAGCTGTTATCTTGTTTTGTAACTCTCAAGTGAATGCTGTAAATAGCATAGCCCACTCATTCACCAGGTGTCTGTCTATTTGGATTCATCAGTGGCCATATTAACAGACTGAGACTATCCCACTATCTCATTTTTTAAGTTTCAAGTTAACTATTCTATGTCAAAAAGCCATGCATTTGCTAAGCTTCCACCTATCAGGATACATTAGCAGTTGTTTTAGTAGAATGAGATTATCCTTTGCAATTCTGTTGGCTGTCTAGCCATTATTGTCTTTTTCTCACTCTTAAATAAAGGTTGAATATGCGATGTGGCATGAGTGGTCAATTAAAATGGAAATACAAAATGACATTGTATGTACTGTGGAGGAGTAAAATGATAGACAGCCTCATTCACCCTGCTGTCCTATCTGCCCTTGTCTCATCTGCCAGAGGCCCTAAGAGATTGATGAGATTGTCACCCAATGCTTGTCCATATACCTGAATATGCAGAGCCTCTAGCTCACAAGCCATCCTGCCCAGCGTCTGCATGGTTTCATCCTGTTGTATTTGGAAATCATACATTCAATCCTCATAGTATTGGCAGTGGGCCTCAGCATCGTGGAGTCAATGTTCCAAATCTTTGATTTGCTCTTCAATTGTGTTGGACATTTGCAACACCTTGGCAATTGGGGCACAGATGGGTGACGGTGTGCTGGGAGTTGCAGTGGTTGCGAGTTGGATGGGTGCTGCTGTTGTCAATGGGCAGGTGTCTGCTTTGAATACAAGGGTTAACCATGATAATTAGTGTAAATGTAGATTGATTAAACGTACCTGCTGCCATAGATCCCTCTACCTCCTGTGCAATGGATGGGCCAGCCTCAATGATCAAATCTGCTCATACAGTGGCTGGGATTGGGTGGGAATCCCTGCATTTGAATGCAGGAATACGAATCTCTAAATAAAATTTGAGTCAGCGTAAATACATGAAATTGTGAACATACTGAGTGAAGATCCCTTGGGGATCATCTCTCCCTGGTTGGAGGGCCCAACCCTGGCATTGATGTCTTTGGAAGCCATCGAAACATGTTGCTTGGGGGATGTTCCTTTGGACTTTGGGATTCTTGGGCCTCCATCATCAGGGACAGACTTTGAGCTTGCTTTTTTCCCCTGGCTCATGATGGATTCTGTTGAGTTGGAGCAGTGATCCTGCCTTTGGCATGGCTACATTGAATTTTGTGACCATCACACAGGAAGCAGGACTCCCAGGGTTCTTGTAGCATCAGACCTTGCATCTGTGGCATGAGTCGCAGGAATGGGGGTCAGGGGAAGGCATCCTTCTGGCAGCTATGGCAGTGCAACCACATAGTCCATCCAACAGTGGACAAGGCTTGCATTTCGATTGGCCTTGAGCAGGAACATCTTCGTCACTGTTGGTTTCTGCTGTTGCCTTCCTAGAGTGGGATTGACATCTGGATCGATGGGACATTGTTTTCACAGCAGCTTTGCACTTCTGCCTGCCTCATGCTGGTTCTTCCTTGTCATCCTCCTTCTCTGGCACCTCATCTTCACCCTCATCATCCACCTCCATCCTGTGCAAGCTATCCACTATCATTTGCTCCACCTCTGCCTCAGTCACTTTCTGTTTTCCTTTGTTGCTCATAGGCATTTTGGTCTCTTGAGTGGGTGGTGTTGGTGTTGGCACAATGCAGGGCATAGGGAGGCCCAACCAGTGGTAGTTGTATTGACACTTGATGATGTTGAGCCACTTGTGGTTGGTGACATTGGTTTTGGAAGGGGATAGGGTGGTCTTCCACTCAGGCCACAGGTGCTCAATCAAGCCAAGGTCTTCATGCCACTTTAAGAACATGTCAACACCAATGAGGGTCATCAGAATCTCATCCATCCTAGTGATGAGGTCATGTACAGCATCCTGAATGCATCAGTTAGTGAAAAAAATGTGATGATGCTATGATGCACTAGTTCAACATTTATTGCCTTGATGGCACCTCTCCACTTCACAATCTTGTCTGCCTTTCCCAGCTTGCTGCTTTCTGTGATATCCTTGAAGTAAATGTGAAGGATGCAGTTGGCCACAGCATCAAGCTCAGGCAATTTCTTGAAGAGCTTGTGAGACGATGATGATGACATGTTTCTGATGATGAGATGATGGAGTAGTTTGATGGTGAGAGTGGTGATGGTGATTGAAGAGTGGAAGAGTCAGAGGTTAAAGATGGACAATGAGATATGCAGATGTCACATTTTTTATCCTGCCTATGAATGATTCCCATGGCATGATGGCAATACCAGTACTACAAGTCAATAATCCTGAATGCATATATGAAGCAGAAGCTCAGATAAAAATATGATGTGTTGTTCTGGAATAGCATTGCTGTTTGTTTTGCATGTTTCCTGTCTGCTCCAATGGTGGAGCCTGGCTCACAGCTGCATAGACAGCACCTGAGATTCCAACTAAATAGGCAAATCATCCAACATGAAACACAATTTATAGTGGGAAATTCAGATACTCTATAGTGCGAGAGGTTCCACTTTCTTCATTTCTTGTCTTCCTGGGCCTGTCTTATGTTGTAACACTGGTTTTTGTTTTCCCTTATCTGCTGCCTGAGAATACCATGGATGGGCCCATCCTTATGTAGATCCCTTTGATCTCCCTTTCTGCTGCCTGAGAATGCCTTACATGGACTGTCCTTATGTAGATAGCTTGGATCACCCTTTCTGCTGCCTAAGAATACCATACACAAACTCATCCTAATGTTGCAACAGGGGTGCATCTTGCTAGATGGGCCCGTCCATTTGTTGTGATGATATACATGATACTACTGAAGGGCCTGTCCTTATGTTGTGACACTATTAGATGATATTACTGACAGGCCCATCCATATGTTGCCACAATAGAAACAATACTACTGAAGGGCCCATCCTTATGTTGTGATGCTATTAAACAGCATTACTGATGGGCCTGTCTTTATGTTTTGACAGGGTACATCTTACTGGGGCCAGGCCTGCCCATATGTTGTGATGATATAAATGTTGGAGATATATTCTCCCCTGTGTTCTGCTCACTTTGGTGCGATGTTTGGGTGCATACATAATCACCTTAGAGCGCACATTTTACAGTAGTTTATTCACTGTTCCCTCAGTAGCTTGTTCCACTACTGAGGGTAAGCTCACTTTCACTACCAGTATTATACTTACTGATGTCCTGTAGATACCTACAGGTTGGTCTAATACAATAATAGCTTGTTCCACTACTGAGGATACCTACAGCATCCTTCAAAAATAAATAATACTACTGAAGGGCCTGTCCATATGTTGTGACTCTATTAAATGATATTAGTGATGGGCCTGTCTTTATGTTTTGATAGGGTACATCTTACTGGGGCCAGGCCTGCCCATATGTTGCAATGATATAAATAATACTACTGAAGGGCCCACCCATATGTTGTGATGCTATACATGGGATTACTGATGGGCACATCTTTATGTCTCATCAGAGGTACATCTTACTGTGGACAGGCCCATCCATATGTTGCATAATACTACTGATGGGCCTGACCTTATGTTGTGACTCTATTAAATGATACTAGTGATGGGCCTGTCTTTATGTTGCAACAGGGGTATGGCTCATTATGAATGGGCCTGTCTAGATGTTGCAACACCATAAATGATATTACTCCCAGGCCTGTCCATATGTTGCCAACTTTGTATTCTAATCATAGATAGGCCCATCCTTATGTTGTGACCCTCTCCATGTTATGATAGGCAGGCCCACCTTGATGTTGTAACAGGGGGGTAACCTACCAGGACAGGCCTATCCATGTCTTACAGCAACTCAGTATACTTAATTGGTCATGGGCCTGTCTAAATGTTTCAACATCCTTACCCACCACAGGCCCTCCCATATGTTGTGGTAATGCACTTACAGGCCTGTACATATGTTGCTCTCACTTTAGTCCCTTGGGCCTGTCCATGTGTAATAGCTAATCTATTTAGGTGGGCCCATCTCAGGGTCTATATGAGCATTGGTGTTTTGGCACACAGGCTGCCCATGTGTTGTGACTAAATGTGACTACACTATGTGCCAGGTAGATATATCACCAAGGAGCTACCAGCAGTATGTCAGTAGCTGTAACTGAAAGATGGGACTACTTATGAGGCATGCCATATCTTGCTTGTGGTCAGGCCAGTAACCTATAAAGTTAGGATAATGAGACATGTATAAAGCGAAAATATTGTTACTCACCATCTTCAAATTGCACACCACATTGATTCCACTCAATGATGACAGTGACAAGTGCCTCTGTTATGGAGAGGTTGAGGTCATGAGATTTCAATGGGAACAGGTTAGAAAGTGCATGTGCAGCCCTGCATTCTTGCTTAGCATCTTTGAGACAGTCCTTCCATACTGCCTTGTAAAATCTCAGTTGTGAAGGCAATGGGCCCTCATCCTTAGCTTTCTTGGAGTTACAAGGGGCTCTGGTGTGCTGAGATACTTCATTGACTGAGTTGTGTGCAAGGGTCAGAAGATCATGATCAGGCCACGCAACCCATTTGCAAAGTCCTTGATCATCATATTGTTGATGCTACAATCTTGATGGAGGACACCCCTCTCGAGAGCCTGCTGTTGGACTGTTAAAGCAATTAGTATTGATTTTACAAGTGGAAGAGGATATGTACTTCATAAAATATCTCAGATGCATGAAATGAGTTCCTTTTTTGTCTTGAACATTGCCATTGGCCTTGCACATGGCTTCATAGCCAATCGCACATGAGTTCTCTGAGACTTCATGCATGATCACCACTTCTCATCATGATATCATTCAGTTTTATCAACAATGCCTGGCTTGACCTCAACAACCCAGTAGTGTTGCAACTTGGGAACTCCATCAATGTCCTGGACCAGCTTCATCATGTTGACTTCATGCAGGGCTGTCCTCCGCTCTGACTCCTCCACCCAATAATCCTTGATGACATAGTATTCCCCATTGTAGCATGCAAGGTAACAAACAGTACCCCTTCCTAGAAAGCCTGTGCTCAAGAATAATACATTGAACACCTCATAGAAGGTCTTGTTTACTTGGATCCTCCTGATTGCTGGGATGTGTTTGGGTGATGTGGGAGTCAGGAGTGAGTTTGCACTGGAGAGGATGCCTGACTCCAAGTGAGGAGAAGGCATTGCAGGAGAGGGGAAAGGGAAGAGAGGTATCACAAGTGCTGTGAATTTGCAGCTGTGTGCAGGATGGGGGGATATCTCTATGGTCAAATCAAAGCCAAAGGTTGAGCAGGAGCTGAATGCAACAGCACATACAATGTATATGAAGACTTCTGCATCAGTGTGGATATTGATAGAGGGTGAGATTGCACCACCAGAGTGGTCATAAAAGTGAAGTCAAAGAAGTTCACTATCAGTAATTGATAATCCAAGGACATAGTGCCTCCAGGGCTGGTCGACAAGGGTTAGATATGCCTTAGTGTCCATTGTCTTCCCAAGGTGGGATGCTGGCTTGAAAGGCTCCTTTGAGTACTTGGCAATGACTTTGGGACTTAACCACATAATCTCATCAGGGGATACTGAGGTGTTATCAACAAGGATGAGGTTGGGCTTTCAGGAATAACCTGTAGAACCTTGCAAGCTGGTTCTGCTCCAGTCTGCCATCCATTGACACTGGGGTTTGCTGGATAGACTGGGCATTGTGGATTTGGCAGTGGTTCCAATAGCATTGAGAAACAGAGCAACTTGCTTTTCAAAGCAGAGCTTTTCTGATTCTACTGGCAGCTCTGAGGCAAGTGGCTTGGGTTGCTCAGGAGGTGAATCAGAGCCTGGGGGTGGATGAAGCTCCCAGTTCCAGTGCTTTCTATCGTCATCATATAGGCTGACCAGGCTGTCCTCTGACAAGCCACCCTGGTTGAAGGAGGTGGAATAGCTACAGACACATGCAGGAATTGTTTTCAGAGGGACAATCAGGGACCTGGGAGCTATGAAGGTAAATGTATCTCTGAAGGACTCAAAGATAATATTTGTAACATAACCAAGGCTCTGAGGAGAGCTAACTTGTATCCATGGTTCATGGATGATGGTGCCCTCAAGTTCTGAAGCAGTGAACTTGTCCATAACATGAACCATGTGGCCATGTATGGGCAGGGGGAGAGAACCGATCAGCTTGTAGGTACCATCTATTGTTCGATATCTGTTTTTGTTCAAGTCTTTGGACATTTCTGAGGGTCGTTGACAAGTAGGGTCACACATTCAAAAATGGTGCCACCACTCAAAACACTGATGCATTTCAACATTAACATGTAATAAGCTCTGGTATACAGTAAGGTAACATGTATGTTGACTGGATGGGAGGAGAGTCTGAAGGACTTAGGGCAAAGTATGTATTTTTGTCAAAGTATTTGTTGAGATAGAATTTGGTAGAATGCTTGAAGGAGTTGTATGCTGTCAATCAATCATCTGCAGTTTGCCTGAAGTGAGGTATGAGATGTGCGAATGCCTGGACCTGACTGAGCAGGATGACATCACCAAGATGTTGGCCATTCACTCTCTTTGCACACCTAAGGATATGTAGGTGTGTCGCATCTTCAGCTGCTATGTCAAAATGTTGTATGTAGACCAAAAAACAGTCTGTCCATGACCATCTTACCCCCTCTTGCCAAAAGGGCACATCAGGAGACAGAGCTGGCCAACAACATGACCTAAGATACTCTTGTGAGTGACATGGAAAAGTAGTGTGGACCATGAACCTTTCAGGCTGCTCTCTGGCCATTTGAAACAGGGGTCCACATTGATGATAGCTGCATCATAGTGGCCAAGGGTCCAGGTCTCACAAGGTGGAGAACAGAAGAGAGTCTGGGCAGGGAGGATGTCCATGATATCATGTATCACCATGTTCTGCAGCTGCATCTTGTACCAACCTGCAGATCAGTAAAAGGCAGGGTTGAAGAGCTTGATCCCCAACATTGCCCACTTATAGTGTGCACAGAGCTTGGTCCATACACCTTCTCACGATTTAGAAAATTGACAAGGGTGGCTCAGAGGTCAAGTAGTCCAAAATTCTCAGCAGCACCATCAACACTAATGCATCACAAGGGTGGGTCATAGGAAAGGTTGATCACCGTACCATCTGCAATAAAACTACACAAGGGGAAGGGAATGGAGTCTGGATCCTGGGTCCTGAGGTGCATAGAGATGGTGAAGTAATCAGTGATGGGTCACACAGGACCTGGCATCTTGGAAACTAGATTTGCCTCCTCGTGATCACTGATCTCACTGTTGCCATCATCAGAACTCCCATCCTCAACCTCCAAGGACTTTTCTTCCACATAACCATGGGAGTGAGTCTTCGATTCATGTAATGATGTTGTGAGTTCAAATGTCCTACATTTTTCAGTGTGATCGAGGTACTGGCAAATTTGAGGATCATAGTTATTGTTATTGCTAGCTGATGTGGGTGTCTTGATCTCCAATACATGGGCATGTTCAGTTACATTGGCAGTCCATTGGATGGTGACCCCAACATGCTTCACACTTGGTATGATGCTCTGCATGAGTTCTAACTTGGGGATGTGCCAATTGTCAATAGGCTTGTTCCCCTTACTGTGTCATGCACCATGATTGAGTATTGACTGCTTGTGCATGTGAAACTTATCCAGTACAGAAGATATTATATGAAGATTGTCATCATCAATGTGGCAAGCTTGGACTCGGTATCAGAAGTCCATGAGTGCATGAATAGCAGTAATAATTTTGGGAGGGGCTGCTCCAGCAATAACACCAACAATGTAATGTTGGACATCACAGTGCATGTGTCCAGTCACCTGCTTCAGCTTAGCAACACCACCTTTAAAGTGACAGAACCCCACAGTAGGCTGTAAAACTGAGAAGCAAAAGTTGATTTCGGCTTCACCAACCACATTTATGCACCACTTCATGTCATGGTCCCAAAATTCCTTGTGCAGGTGGTGAAGGGGCTCTGGAGTTACAAAAGTGCTTGGACAAGAAAGCAGAATGTCCCTCCAAAATGGGTCACTAACTCCACTGAGGCAAAAGCACTGTGCTTTGCAAAAGAAGACTTGGATGTTTGTAGGGTGGACCTTCAACTTCACTGCTGCAAGCTGAGCCAAAGTGGTGGACACAGTTTGTGGCTCATGTCGGAATGGGTCTCTGAACTGTTTGTACATCGCCATGGTGATTGGGGATGTCTTTCCCCCAACAGCTGTGAGCATGGCAGCCTTGGGAGTGTCAGCAATATAACCCATGATTGGCATGAAACAGTACTGCATGTGCCCCAGAGAATCCGGTAACATAATGCTGAGTTTGGCAGCTTGCTTGACAGGTTCAAGTATGATATCCAGGCATTCATGAATGAGCCTATCTTCAAGGAGGCCACACATATGCTTGTTCTTGTGCATGAACTTGGGGACAGGGAGGAGAGTGGCAAGCATAAATGAGTTGGATGACAATTTTAGGCATGTGGACATCTTGATATTTGCTAGGCTGATGAGAAGTGGATGAGCAACTCTGCCACCACATAAAGTAGTAATATTCATCTTGTCTGAAGAAAGTATCGTGCCAAGAAGAGTCACTCTGCTCAGAAGCTGTGACTGGGGTATGTCAATTGAATAAAAGGATCTATAACTTGCAGTGGAAACATACCTGCATACACCAAGCATCATCAGCAGTCATCCACTCTGTATACACCCTACAAAGCTTCTTGGGCATTTTGTATACATGCCTCAGAACAAAATCAAGCTGGTCAGAGAACAAAGGGTGGTTGAGGAGCCATGCAATGCATTCCAGGGGATTGTGCCAGTACAAGTGCACAGGTTGTTTGGTTGGCTGTGAAGGAGTGATCTCCATTGAGTGCCAGCACAGCCTGCCAGGGAGTAACTCAGCCAACCCATGAAGTGCTCTGGCTGTATGAAAGGAAATATTTAGTAGCTGTATCTGGCACACGTCAATAATGATCTTTGGAGAGAATAGGGACAGGCTTACAATTGACAATGACAAGAAAGAGTCTATAGCTCTCATGCTCAGGCCTGAACAAAGTAACCATGATGCCAGCTCCCATTCATTGTGGGAGTTGAAGGGGTAGTACAGATTTGATGCCTGTAGGTTGCTGAACTGGTTGCCATTAAATTTGTCCATAAATGTTGGGCCAAGTCCAAACATTTTAGCTGTGCCCTCGAAGTTGTCTGTGGTTGGCCCCCACATGTCAAATGCCATATGAACAAAATCCAGGTAATCATGAGTTGCATAGTCATTGGGGTTGGTGCTCATCAGGACATCTTCTAAGTGTGTTGGGTGTTGAGAGTTATGAATGTTCAAGCTCAAAGGTTGGAGAGACTTGTGAAGGTGGACTAAGTTATTGACCCAGGTATTGCACCCAGAGGACAGCTGGCTCATGTGCATTGTGACAGCACTGTGACTCTGGAAGCTGCCTTTACTGCAACTTGGACAGCAGGGCATACTCTAGATGGTCAGGCAGGCTGATTCCATGTTACATGATTATCACTTCAGTGCAAATCAGGACATTGTTCAGATCACTATGGAGTGTGTTTCTTATATACTACCCAATCACATCCCATTCACAAACATAGTCACTCATGTCTGTTTATAACCTCAATCACACACACCTTCATGCTGGATCAACCATGCCCACAGTTGAGCGTCACCTGGGTGGCAAAGGACTGCCCCATAAGCCTCATGATGGCAGGTTTTCTTCCTGCAACAGTCCCTCTAGCAGTGCCGAGGTCAAAGTGGAGACAACTGGTGTCTTAGCTGAGATGTATGGAATATTGGAGTCATCCACTCACACAGTAAGTTCTTTTTTTCCTTCCTAATAACTGCTCATTGATAGGTTTTCAATCTGCAGCATGAATCAAAGAGTCAGCTGAATCACAAGGCACTTCTCCTTCTTGATGTAGCATGCACACAATGCAAAGTCTTTCATGCAGAACAAGCTCTGGCCACATGCATCACCCACAAATACAAATTGATGGCCAAGTTGTACAAGTACAAGGCAGGCAGCAGCAGGGCAAGAGTCCACAAAAAAGATATGGAGGTCAGCTCATTACATGTAGCAATGAAAAAACACAGACTGGGGGAGCCTATTTTTGACATTAGTGTTCTGGCTGGTGAGCTGCAGCCATCTCTTGAGTCTGATGGTATGCTATGCTTGCTCTTTTCTTTTGGGCCACTATTTTACTTATGCTGGATCTTGATAGGCACAGTTATTGAGCATGCTGGTAGTCAAATACTTGCCATTCATCTAGACTAGTACTATCCATTACTTTCCTGTACTTATCAAAAAATGCTGTATGTTATGTCTGTGTGTTGTTGCCTTCATGCATAGGAACAAAGTTAGATCTACCAAGTTCTCTACTACAGTGGGAATCTAGGTTGCTGTATTAGCTAGGTGTGTCTGTTCCCTTGTATGCTAGGTAGCTATTGGTCTTTGGATTGCTGGTATCACTGGTGTGGCTTACTCAGGTGCTATGAGTTGCTTGGATGCTGGCCACTACTTTGGGGTCTGGTGTAGTCTACTCTGGCACTATGAGTTGCTAGGATGCTTGACATTGCTTTGGACTAATATGGAATTGTGCAAATACTATGGGCAGCTATGAGTTACTAACACATTTTTGTGTTTTGCTGATGATGTTTGCTGGTCGGCAGTCAAGTTCATGTTCTTGTGGGTCTTCCTGGTTGAAACCAAAAACAGGACATTAGAAGAGACCGCAGCCATTTTTGATGGTGAAGATGCCCTGGAGAAGATAATACACGAAGAGATGGCCCAAGGAACCCCTATTACTCATGAGATAGCAAACGAGAAGGCGTGAAGTGCATTGGTGCGTACCTCACACCTTCCTTTACATAATATTCATTTCCTTGACTCAAGACTCTTGTTGCGCATACTATGTTGCACATACTGCTGCTCGTCTACCTGTACATCGTCGATTCGCCACTGCGCGGTATTTACGTACATGGCGATTGTAGTCCATGAATTGTTCTGCTATCACCCTCCACTTGGTGTACCACGACCAATATCGGCAGCAGGTTGCTGGTGGTATTGTTCGCCGGAAGACCGTGTTCATAGGTGTAACGCGAGACCGAGTTACAGAACTACTCCTGGTCTGTTGGCACGCCATTGTCGACGCCTTTGTACAACATTCTTCAACACTCGGGTTCGGTCATGTACACAAATCCGGGGTTTGCTTGCATTCCATACTTACCAAGCCTCTTGTGCGCAACAATGAGTTCATTGTTACCGCCAAGATGCGAGTTGGCGGGCTGGTGACCGTACGACGGATCTTCAAGCTTCATTGATCATTCTCGACTGTCATGATACTTGCTGTTCCACTGACAATGTCCTAGTTTTGTCAGTGCCACTGCGATGACTTAGTTTCTAGGGAAGCTTAGACTTGGCTACGCAGGATGCAGTGACAACGCCGATCTGCCTACATCTAAACAGTCTGACATTTGCGCTTCAGGTACTGTTGGTCGACTCTCAGTTGGCGAGTTGATTCATGTTTCCCTGAAAATGAGCTCCAGGTGGACGTAGTTCAGTAGGGAAGAGGGGGAACTCAGCATATTTTGTCTACTTTTCTATGATACAAAAGACATTGCTCGTTGCCATACCAAAATGCTGCAGAAAATTAGTTTGAAGTGGACAACGCTCATCGAATGAGAAGGCTAAGGGCCACAGCAATTCCACATGCACCTGCGCAGGCGAAGAAACCCATCGGATATCCAGAGGGGTTATTCTGGGTACTTATGGACCAGAGCTGGACATATTCAATGTAATGGTGTCATGAAACGAGCTGCACACTCACGTAGCCTCCCAGAATAGGCCCAAGACAACGCGCGAGACTCACTATACTCTGCGCTACGCCGTTGGCAAAACCCACAGCTTGTGGGGGCGTCACTGATGGACATTTAGAAGTTAGGTTAGTATACAAAGGGTTGAGTAAATAGACGCACTGTAATTGAGAAGGATAGACACTGCGGTATATCCGAAAGTAGTACCGCAAAAGCGCACCGCACTTTAGCAGGGTCAGCTTCACAGAGGAACCACTCGCAATTGGAGGTGATACTTACGTGCTGAGAGCAAGGGCTTCGAAAAAATGAAGGAGAAAATCAAAGAAAATCAAACAGAGATCTCACAAAACGTAGTGAAAACATACCAGACAACAGGATGAAATTGTTTTCAGCAGAAGGGCTGGCAAAAACGCGATATATGGTTACAGTTAAGTATGCCGGAATGAATAATAACGATCCTAGGCGAAACATGGAAAGGTGGGAGAAACGCCCCCTGGGTGGCCTGCAATAGAGTTAGTAGTATGGTCCCAGTAGGACGAATTTACGTGCCCGATATTCCTACATTGTTCAAACACTTTGAGCGCATAATGAGTGCACGCAGCGAGACAGCACTTACGGATAAAGGTAAAATTGATACACGATCTGTGCGAGACACATCAATGCAACTACAGTCGTTGGGGTCAGTGCCAAGCCAGCACGTTTATCAGCTGAACATACTGAGCTGCGAGAAATCGGCAGGGTTGAGGTTAAGGCCTCCAGATTGGTAGTCACTTTGCATAGTCAGCATTGGAACATGAGAAGCGCAATACCACTTACGTCACGAGGTACGACAAGAAAATTTGATCATGTGTGGTGCTGTGAAGTGCTAGCAAGCCGTACTGAATAATGATGGGGATGGGTAATTGCGATGCAAGTGACGGAGTCCTGTCAATGCCATCGTCCTCCACGCCACCTGCGTGAGTCCGGTTGGGAACAGGAGAGGTTCCCCAGTCCATTTCCGCGCGAGCCAATGCGTCGAGAACAGCAGATGGCGTGCGCACACCTGGATGAGAGAATATGCTTCGAACGCCAGGAGAGGTACGATGTGCTATGATGCCGGCATGCCCAACGCTGTTGGCGTCTTGGGGTGCGCGATCCAAATGTAACGACCCGGTGGCATCCCGATCAGTATATTCCTCGCGAAATACCCCGTCTTCTGCTGAGTATACTTCACGGTTTGAGTATAAATCCTCCTTGTCTACATTCATCGCGGCCGCAACCCAAAGATCAGCAATGTTTGTCACCGCGTTCTCATTCGCCAACAGAAGCTTTTGGGTAAAATTGAGGTCTGAGTAATCACGGTCCGTGAACGATCTTCCATCATGGTACTCCCTTCGCCGCCTCAGTCTGTTCTCCATGCTTCCACGACTTAGTGAGCTAGCAAGCCCATGATTTCCGTTGTACCCGTACGCTGACCCACTGAATCGAGCTGCCTGAGCATGGGGTTGATCCAGGGGCGATGACAAGAGAGGAACGGAGGTCGCGGAAGGATTCTTGGCACCGAAGTATAGAGACGATGGTGAAAGGAACCCCGGCAGTCGACCCGACCACTTCTTCTTCAATGACCCTATAATGCCTAACGGCGACTCTCTGCTTCGTGGATCAACCGTATCGGCTTCTTCGGGTATCACCAATGGTTGATTTGAGGCTTTTTCCAGAGGCAAGCGAATCGCGCCTCCCCTTGGTCCTCCGTCACGGGTCAGGAACAGGGACAAGAACGAACCTAACAAGGTGTGAAAGTAATTAAGGGGCAGTTAAAGAGACAACTGACCAATCATAGTGATACTTCCGGCCACGGCACACGGAAGAAGGTAGGGGTACTTCACCAAAATATGTACCTGTCCAAAAGTTTCTGGCCACTTCTCCGCAGGTTGTTCGACTAAAAAGCAAGTCAAATACAGAGTTGAGATGTCATAAGTGGCTAACGTACGCGACCCCCCAATGATTGCGCCCGCCACACCACCGATCCCCCAACAGAAACTGTGCAGAATATGAGTGTTTCTTCATAAGAAGGAAACCATAATTCGCACCCCAAGATCGCATACGCTCGTCCGTCATTTGTGATATCGGTCACTGACGTGACAGTTCCACGCGCAACCCCCACCGCCCCTGCGAAGATACCTTGGAGAAGGCGAGCGACAAGGGCCTGACGGAGAGAGGTGCATGTACCAAAAATCATAACAGTAACTGCGCTGCCAAATAGCGAAAGTGTCAGGACAATTCGACGACCGTGCCGCTCAGCAACAGTGGCCTGAATCGAAGATCAACTGCATGAACTTCACGAAAGGAAAGGAAAGCTATCAAACTTGCCCATAGGAGAGACGTGAAGAACTGAGTGAAGAAGAACGCGGCCACTGGACGGCGATGAGAAGCCTGTTCATAGACGGTGTTAAACCACCGCACCTAGTACACCTGTATAAAAGGCAACGTCTGCCTCGTCTTCAAACTCGTGGAACCCTAGGGAACAATGTGAATCCCCTCTCGAAAATGATACCTGTCTCAGTTCGCGCACCCTTCACCATGAATAACAGAAATGGCATGGCTACATTAGCAGACAAGAACTCTCCAAGCATGGTCTATGTAACGGCTCAGCATAGCAGGGACGCGGCACAGTAGGCGTGAAACTGACAATAGACAAAACTGTCATGGACAGAATGGGGAGGGGGGTCATCCCCGACTCTCCGCCATGGAGCGCACTAGGAATTGGTGGGCGCTCAGAGGTTGAGGACTTCACCGTGTGCCCATGTGGGAAGCTTGCTCTAGGCTGAATCCGAGGTGGGGATGTTGCCGAAGATTGCCTATCATCCCAACTTGCGGAAGGCGGACTAGCATCTCCATGTAACTGGATCCCTAGTGCGTTGGGGACACCGAACAATCTTCTGGGTGGTAAAGGGGAGCTACTCGATTGCACAGGATTCCTCATGGAAAACAACGAATGTCGCAGGCAAGACGGCCTCGGGGTGTTAGTCTCCCTGTTACCTCCCCGTGGACGCGGTCTTGCAAAGCCCAATCCTTGGACGCTCAATGACGAACTGCGGTCGTATTACATAAGCATCCTAGTCAGTCCCACTTCTAGCTTGCATGATGCCGGCGAAAGCACAGCGTTGAGGCCAATTATTAAATCTCGGGAACACCGCGTGGTGTTTTGTCACCCAGATGCCGCCAAGGTCTAGAGATATCGCGAATTGTGAATTAAACCTTTTGCCCTCCGTTTTGCAATCTCACTGATCGGTCTTTGTAGTAGTGCAGTGCAAGAACGGTGACGTTCAGCGCTGTTCATGGTGCGGTGCGGTCAGGAACGGATCGTACTAGTACAATTGAAGCAACATGCCGGGCACGTCATCGCCGTGTTTCCGTCCTCCATGATTCACTTCCATGCGCAAACTGGTTTAATTCACCAAAATCTTCGATGGATATACATACGACTATGCAGCCTTTCCCCGCATGCCATATCAGCGAGTAAGAATGACGAGCCTCTGCTATTCGCAATCCCCTGAATACACCACGCTACCTTCGACGTCGGGATGCCCTGTTCCCGAAGGTTTCGTGCCTTGAAATAACGTGAACCTATCTTGAACCAACTTTTGAAACAATTCCGGTACGACCATGGAGGTAAGTACACAGTAAGTGAGCGGAATGTCCGAATGTCCGGGGAGAAACCCCAAAATGGACTTCGAGCGAGCGTGGACTCTGCTTAGCCACTCGACTCCTCTTACCCGATCACTGCCCCCCTATCCCGTAAAGTTGTGACCATTACCTTTGTGCGCTGTCTGTGTCTCTTGCTGATTCATAGATGCTTGAGGTCAGTAGAAGTCGTGCGCCGCGGGCTAGCAGGCAATCGCAATCAGAACTTTACTCATCGGTCTTCTCGACATCCTATAAGAGATGCTCCTGCCACCACTTTCGTCCACCACACTCGCCATGTTTCCGCCCACGCTATGTCCTTCTTCCCCCACTAAGGTCATCATCCCTGACCTCGTGTCACACTGTGTATTCGCATTGCGAAGTAGCATACATCAAAGAAGGCTCTCCGCAGAGTCCGAGAGGTGGCTGTTTAGGAGTGACAATCTCAACGAGAGCACTCGCCGTTCCTTCCGCGGGCTGAAGGCCGGCAAACTCACTGCAATGTGCTACCCGAACGCCGGATATCCTCAACTCCGTGTTGTTAGCGATTTTCTGAATTGGCTATTCCATCTCGATAATTTGTCAGATGACATGGACAACCGCTCCATAACAGAGGTTGCGAACGTCGTTATGAATTCTTTGCATCATCCGTATACATACCGATCCAATGTCCGGCTGAGTCGGATGACCCGGAGGTAAGTTTTTGACATGCACCCCCAGCGACACGGACACTCACGGTTCACTTGATCAGCTTTTATAGGCGGATTATCAAGACCGCAAGCCCCGGGGCATGCCAACGCTTTGTCGAAACTTTGGAACTCTTTTTCCAAGCCATCAACGAGCAAGCGACCGACCGCGCCAAGAGCTTTATCCCTGACCTCGAGTCATACATTGCGCTCCGTCGTGATACAAGCGGATGCAAGCCATGTTGGGCGCTCGTGGAATACGCCTACGACCTCGATATACCCGATGAAGTCATGAATCATCCGTTAATTCTCAGTCTAGGAGAAGCGACTAACGATCTCGTTACCTGGTCGAATGTCAGTAACATATCCATTATTGTTGGACTTTCTTTTTCTCATCATGAAGCGGTATAGGACATATTTTCCTACAATGTCGAGCAATCAAAGGGACACACGCATAATATGATTGACGTCATCATGAACGAACGGGGCATTGATTTGCAAAGTGCCTTCAATTTCGTCGGGGACCTCTGCAAACAGTCCATTGACCGCTTTATTGAATGCCGCGGGCAATTGCCTTCATGGGATCCCAAGATCGATCGGGACGTTGCAATTTATGTCGAGGGACTTGCGGACTGGATAGTTGGTAGTTTACACTGGTCGTTCGATACCGAACGTTACTTCGGAAGGCGTGGACACGAAGTTAAGAAGACGAGAGTCCTCAAGCTACTCCCACCGCGAAAGCTGCTATCAGGGCGTACATTCTTACCTAGTAAGTTGACCCTTTAGCGTCGCTGTGGCTTTGGTCACTGGTAAGCTAACTTCCGTTCCAGCGGCGGAGCCGGCAAACATCCTTCAGCCATGTCTAGTATCTATACGGCTATCTAACTTATGAACCATCATGGGCCAAGCACCAACACTCCTTTCTCGTGGACTATTTTCGCATGATATGTATCTTATAGGCTAATCTAGGGCGACCATCGGGACCGCGGACGGACTCACAAATATTATAACTAGGAATTGGAGTGTAGCGAGGCAGTTAGCTTGTGTGATATTGCTGGATGATAAGTACCGTACGCAATAGGCGATATTATTCTCCGGGCGGTGAGAAAGGTGCCCGTGGAAGACCTCGGGCCCTACTAACATATATATGACTGATGATGCCGAAAAGAAGAAAAAACCAGTGTCAATGTGGAATGAGGGTAGTCGCGCGGCTTTATGTAAAAGAGTACGCAAGGAGACGAAAAGAAAACGAACGAGTCAGGTGCAAAATGTATCAGCGGTGCCCTTATGAATCAATTGCCGATCTCTCGTCCGCGTCTACAGGTTGACTCCGATTAGCGTTTATCATGTTATAAAGTTGTAACTTACCTAGAGCATCAGCATCGAACGATTGTCCGCCTTTGTCATCGAACCGGACGTCCCTGGATCTCCAGCGGTCCTGCCATTTCCGGATAAATACAGGGTAGTTGACGACACCAGCGAGCGTGCCCACGTTCCTCAGACGGACGTGAGCCAAGCTAGGCAGATCGGACTGTTCGATCTGACACATAAGATCTTCTAACGGCTTCATGATGTACGCGTTGAATATCTGCGCGGGGACTCCAACCACGTCTTCACTGATTGGAAATATTCCAATGCGTCTCAGCGACGAATGTGTCAGCTGATCTAAGAATTGGTGGGGGAATATGGTGATGAATGTCTCGAGGTTGGTGCACTTGGCGATGATATCTGGTAATAGAGGAGTGTACGCGACGGTACGGATGATGCGAATTTTGTAACCATGAGTGCTCAAGAAGGTGGGACTGAAGGGTGAAAAACCCTCCAATCTTTGTAGACAGGGGAGTTGGTCCGAAGAGTCGGAAAGCATCGTCAGGAGCGTATTGAGAGGCACGTTGCCAAGTGATGCATGTGAAAATGAGGGACTATCTCCTAGGATAAGGGTCCGAAGGTTAGGTAGTATGAGATACTCCCTCTTGATTCTTTCGGGGTATGAGCCATAAATGTTTGCAAGGGTGAGACTGCAAAGGCCATGCAACGCGCGTAACAATAACATCAAATCGTCCCACGACGGACATTCGTTGCACGTCCACTCGAGACGGCGAAGTGAGGATGCACTGGTACTCAAGATGGCTTGTATGACGTCGCTGGAGGTGCAGAATGGAGGGGATATGTACTGAGAACCTACAGATAACGTCGTGTAGGAATTGCTATTGGTGAATATCTCGAGGTTTGGAGTACACCTCAAGATCCGAGCCAAATTGGTCATGACTTTTGGGGTAGGATTGTGAATGCTAATGTCTATACGGCGAGTGTGGGTGCCAAGGTGGCGTCGACCGTCATACAACTTGCTCCGTTCGAAGCGAGATGCCATGATGTCGACTTGGCATACCGAAGTCAGATGGACATGTTCGTGGATCAACTCAGATATCATGCCGTGCCAGCCTTTACAGACCAGTAACATTGCTACTCGTGTCCGAAGGTCTCGGTCACAGAAGAGATCGGCCTCCCTAACCGGCGAGAAGGGGTCTGTTCGGTCAGTCAGAAGAAGGCCGGGTATTCTGATGATCTGGACAAAAATATGTCTCCAGACCTCCACGGGTATGTTGGGGAGTGACAGCATGTCTTGTCTTGAGCTTCATAGATCGGCTCAGCTAAGTGGCTCCAAGTGTGTTTACCACTCACATGTTAAGAACCGACCGACACGAACAAGGGTCGGGAGACCTAGCCAGTGTTTGGAGAATTGCTCGAGGTAGGGACGAGCAGGTGTATGTATAGAAAACGTGGAGAAGCAGGTTCGTACTCAGGGATGTCACTAGACAGGCGTTAAAATTTGGACCCACAAATGTCCCCAATTTGGATGCGGAGCACTTAAAATGTTTGTTCGGATTGGAAGGCCATTGCCAAACATTGATAGAGGAATCTAAGATACTGAGACCATCGTGATTCGTGGCCAGGGTATACATACCCCAACTCTCCCTCGAAGAACATATCATTGCGGAGACAAGCATCACTGGGGCTTTAAGGGCATGTTGGCTCTTATCATACTCTCATCATAATATTTTACGTACATATGTATATAAATCCCGCGGTTGCTCTTCGGGGCCAGTTGCCGCAGAGAAAAAGCTGGGTCAATAAACCCCCCATTCCAATATTTTCAATCTAATCCGCTAGACGTAAAGTTCTTCCGTCGTGCTAAACATGCTGCCTTCCCTACAATTTTTTCTGAGAGTTGCACGTGTGCCTGGTCGATCACTTGGCTGCTATTGATGCCGGACCTCGAATTGTACTCCGACGGCGAAGCTAACCAATATGTTTCACTGCATTAACAAAGGTGCAAGACTTTGATTTCAGGATCAACTAGCTTACCGTTTACGTACTAGTACCAGTCGATCATACAGGCCAAATTTTCCCAAGGGAACATATGAAGGAGCCCACAAAGATGGAGGCGAACTTGTCCAAGACAAAATTGAAACGAAAAGCGAGCTCGCAGCGTGGCTCCTCGAGAAAACGCGTAAAGGCTTCTTTCACATCAGCGGAGAGCCTACCGTGGAAAGCCGTTTCGAAATCTGTGGGGTCAGGCCTTGAAGAAGACGACGGCATTTTGGAACTGGAGGAGGTCGACGACGTTGAAGTGATCTATGAAAATACGGATCGAGGACGAGTTGTAAAATTCAACGTTCGTTCCAAAAGCCCTCCCTCCTGCGCAACCAGTTTAACCTTCAGGTTAGGTGCTCCAGACGCCTGACGACGAGAGCCTAGGCAGTGACGAAGAGCCTGCTCATGATCATCACTCACCTTCAGAAGCAATCGAGGCGAATGAATCTCATTCTCCCCCGTTATGCACCTTCGACAGTAGGACTGGTTTCGTTCTGCACCTAACCTAGTGATTGACACTTCCATTTCCACAGGTGCAGCGCTGTTACCCGACTGGCACCACTTCACCCTCCACCCTCATATCCTTCAAGTTCTCCACTCACGCAAATTCATCTCTCCCACTCCTATCCAGTCCAAAGCTATTCCACCCGCTCTATCTGGTCGCGACGTCATCGGAGTCGCGGAAACAGTTTGTGAACATGCATATTCCGCCACAGCATGAAATTGATGACTTTCTATCCACAGGGGTCGGGAAAAACGCTTGCGTACGGTCTCCCTATCATTCACCACATACTTTCGGGTCCGCGCTCGCCAACAAACCAGAGAGAGCTGCAAGCTCTGATCCTTGCCCCAACCAGGGAACTCGCATTACAGGTCTCAGATCATCTTAACGCATTCGCTAGGGTTATCGATGGTGGTGTCAAGAATGAGCCGGAAGAGACTGATCTCACTGCTAGGGAGTTGCTGTCGGATAAGCCAGGAGTATCGGTGAGGCAGCATGGGTACCACGTGCCCCTCGTGAGTATTGCTGTACTTGTCGGAGGTATGTCCGTACAACGACAGCGCCGTGTTTTGGACCGCTCGGTCGATGTCATTGTTGCAACCCCTGGGAGGTTGTGGGATATTCTTGAGGAGGTGAGTCTTGGCCTGTCCTTATTTAATATGTAATTGACTTATATCTCCGGTAGGATGAAGCGTTGGTGAACCAAATACGGAGATTGAGGTTTCTTGTCCTTGATGAAGCCGATCGTATGATCGAGGCAGGACACTTCGAGGAAATGGATAAGATTCTCCGTCTAACTAGGCGTCAGTCGAAGTGAGAGTAACCCCTTACTCTGAACTATCCGCTAATTACAACCCAGGCGAGACGAGATAAAACCTGAAAGCGGTGACCTGTCAGATGCAGCAGGACAGCCGACTCGAGACTCGATGCAAACGTTCGTGTTCTCTGCAACGCTCAGCAAGGAACTCCAACGTAACCTCAAAAAACGCTCACGGCATAAAAGTCGCACAAAAGGTGATCACAAGCCCCTCAGCACCATCGGTCAGTAACTCCCTTAAACTTCGATTTTGGACCGCGTTCCTTAACCCAGAATCTTTTGTACAGATGACCTCCTTTTACGCCTCGACTTCCGTGATCCACAGCCAGACATCATTGACATTAGCCCAAGTGATGGTGCTGTATCCACACTCCAGCTCAGCAGGCTCGAGTGCCTCTCTTCCGACAAGGTACGCCGGCTTCATATTACCGGGATATCCGTTGACATCATCCGCAGGATGTGTATCTCTATTACTTCCTGTTACGGTACCCAGGACGTTCCCTCGTGTTCTTATCGGCTATCGACGGCATCCGGCGCCTCCTTCCTTTACTAGAATTGCTTAACCTTAAAGCATTCCCACTGCACTCCCAACTAGAGCAGCGCCAACGGCTGAAGAATCTCGACAGGTAGTTCTGGTTTCTCGCACGCTTTGACACCCCTGTCTTCTTTGCTGATCGGAGTCTCAATGACTGACAGGTTCAAATTGACACCAAAGGCTGTTCTACTCGCCACCGATATCGCAGCACGAGGTCTTGATATCCCAGCTGTTGATCATGTTATACATTATCAGATTCCGCGATCCGCGGATGTGTTCGTACACCGGAATGGGCGTACCGCACGTGCGATGCAGAAGGGATTTAGCTTGCTCATGTGTTCACCCGAAGAAAGGAGAGTTGCGAGATCACTGTTAGCGAAGCTCGGACGTCGTATGTCTTTTCTCGCATTTTCGCAATGCGACACTTGCTCAGATAGGTTACACGTCCGGCTACAGGCGAGGATGACTTTCCGGCAATTTCGGTCGAGACGACCCTACTCGACGACTTGAAGGCTCGTATTCATCTTGCACGACAGATCGATCTACAGCAGCACAAAGTCAAGAAGCAAAACCATGAGCGTCACTGGTTGAAAGATACGGCAGAAGCGATGGATATAGAACTTGACCCTGATTTCATGAGGCAAGTGGCCACGCAATTAAGGACTCGCGATTCTATATTGATCCCCCTGCAGCGCCTCAGAGGACGAAAGCAATCCTTCGAGACGCCAACAAAAAAGAACCAAAACAAAAACAGCTTCTCTGAAAGCCGAGTTACGAGAGCTGCTCTCCAAACCTCTCCTCGTACGAGGTGTATCCGCGAAATATATCACGTTTGGCAGTCGACCGATTGCCGACGATCTTGTGGAGGGCAACGGTAAGCGGAATCGTCGTGTCCAGGTCGAGCCTAGGCGACTGACTAGATGGAACACGTGTAGTTCATGAAACGATGTTGGGCCTGAAGAGGACGGATGCCGGTGATGATTTAGTAGCCGCAAGGACAAAGAAACCTAAGGTGAAGAAAGGAAAAAAGGAACCAGAGGAGTGGTGTGGTGTTCGTTCCTGAAGCTGTGACCGTGGTACGAGAGAGACGACACGCGGAGCGGGGATCCACGGTGTTCTCCATCATATGCATATGATGGATGCGTGGCGATGTTGATGGCGTCGCGAAAACTGTTGGGTATGCAGGGATATTGTTGTGACCCTTGGCACGAGGCAGCAGGCTTGCTATGACGTTGGCCGGCACCACTCACTGAAACAGTCGGAAGCTGTCTGTACATACATACGCGGGTGACGCTAGTATGTATGTACGTACCATGGCTGATGGCGTCCTTCCCACCCTCCAAATGGAGATGGATGCCTCGATACAAACTCCGCCCGCGATAACTTACTTATAGCCTGATTCACGGCTCACCACTGACGCTGGCCTGCACCTTCGCCTGAGACCATAAAAGAGTTCAAAAAGCTACCCTATAGTGACTCTCAGACATGATCGCGTCGCCTCCACCGTCCCCAGTCACTATGCCTTTAACCATCCCATCCATGGCCAACGTATTTGTCAAATTGCGACGAGCCAGAGACAGGTCCAAAGCCGAGGTACTCCAGTGCTCCTCTGGCGATGAACCGCACACACATCCGTCGCTCTCTGGTGAAGGTGCTACCAGTCGACGTCGCGTCTCTGTAGTCCACTCCGACCTATTTACATGCAAGGGCGGCGTCGATGTTCCGAAGCTATTGCGAGCCACGCGGATGAGTCTACTGGAGAAAGCGGAGTTTCTGGGTGCCAACGTGCTTGTGGAGGAGAGGTAGGTTCCCTGCATGCTTGTCATTCAGAACACAATGTTGTGGCGACAGAGCATGGGGCTGGGGCTGACTATCGCATGTTCCCTTGACAGCTGGGAGTTCACGATACGTATACCAAAGGACCCCAGAACCGGGCTATACAGGGTTCGGGTATGTCTTTTGTCCTGCTCCATCTGTTTCCCTGGTTACTCATGAGATGCGTGTAGGTACGCTATCTTGCTTCTGCCTCACGGTCGTCGCGACCCGATCCTCAGAAACCAATCGCACTTGATAGAGTCCGTAACATCCCCGGCCTCATGACCATCCTGGAACGTGAGGAAGTCACTTCTTAATGCAAGTAATGTTCCAAGCAATTATCTGCCCCTGATTATGCCACGTAACCTATATCTTTATTATCACACCCTACATTGTACTTCTAACTCAGCTCCGTGTCTGCTATTGGTTCACTTAGTAAAATCCACTTTTCAGAGTACGATACTGCAGACATTAAACTTGATATATCAAACTCATCTACTGCTTCAACAAACGGATCTGAATCTCAAATTTACTGCCTTTCGTCATTGTCTTCCCACATTCTTTCCCAGGACCGAAGCTCTCGAGTTGAACACACTACGAATCAATACAACATACACGCTAATACCGCCTGCCCCCGTATGAACCACCACGTGGGTGTTGATGAGGCTGGTGCTGTTGTCCGTACTGGCGTTGTTCTTGGTGAGGCTCATGCCTGTGTCCTCTCCCAGGCGATGAGATCCTAAATTCACCTGTCCCCCCTCCATACGCATGAGACACGTCTGGAAAAGCAGGGCCTCCTCCGGGCGGCATGCTCGCACTTGGAAAGCCCATGTGGGCGGCATGCCCATGCGGGGACATATACGCAGATGACGGGCTCGAATGGTGAGCAGGCCCGTGTCCACGGCCTTCAGGAAATGAGGGCCCTCCGCCACGGGAAGCAGGGTTGGTGTATGACGGTGCATATGAAGACATATGCGGACTCGCGTTAGGTACGTTTTGAACACCGGGGAACGAGGGACCCCCCATAGATGACGGAGACGGGGCATAGGCAGAGCTCGGTGCGTATGAGCTCTTGTGTGGGAAAGGAGGACCGGACGGGGGTGTATACGCGCTTGCAGCACTCGGGAAAGACGGCGTACCTCCCATGCCAATCGAATGCTGCGGACCCGGAGTATACTCGCTCGATGGAATACGGGGATTCAACGGTTCACTTGGTGCCTCTCGCATAATCCCGCCCGTGCGGCCCAGAAGCGACTGAACCTGTGCAACCCCCGGGACAGACTGGGCATACCCCTGGACGGATTGCTGGGCTTGGGCACCCTGGCTGTAGGCAAACGTGCCCTGAGCCTCCGAAGCTCCGCTCTCCCCTGTGCGAGTGTTGCGGTGTGCACGCACGGACTCCTTGGTAAGTCTCCCTAACACCTCCTCACGCTTCTGGCCAAGTCCTTGGACCCAACTATTCATGTATTGCATCATCTCACGCTGAATTTTGGAGCTCGGATCATGGAAATCGGGGTGGAATCTGACACCATACGAGAGCAAGCCGTTATTGGCAATGGAGTTGCGGAAGGGAGAACTTACAAACACTGCAAGACATCCTCAGTGACTTGGTGAATGTTGACGGATGTATCATCCCATGCCTTGACCACCGAGTTGACCGTGTGGATCTATACGACTCCGTCAGCCTGTGTACTCAGCGAACATCTCCCGCACTCACGAGGATGATCTTGGCCAACTGCCCAGCAGGCTCATTCAATATCAGGTTCTGCGAATGTCACATCTTTCATTACGAAAGTCACAACGAGACAATGATCACGTACGAAATGATCCTTGCTCAGGAAGGAATGTGTGGGATCACTCTGCGGAAGATCGAGAATTTGTCAGCACTAGTTGGTTAAGAGGCTCTGTTGGAGCATCCGACACAAAAAGAAATGAAACCCGCAGCGCGGATGCCTTTCGTAAAGAGGTGATGATCATAACAATCCGGTGCAAATACTTACAGCCAATGGGTCATTGAACACCTGGCGGGAAAAAAATGTAGAATTGGCCATCTGCAAGGTACAAGGTCGTACCTCGTATTGATCATGGGTGTTAACAACCTCCGCGGAGGCGAGCTGAAGTCCATTCGTCGCAGATTGAAGGACAGGCTTTACGAAAGGCTGACAACAGACACCCATAAGAGTTAATAATAATGTGGCGAGAGGGTTTCGCTGACCTCCACGGTCGTAAAAACGAACACTGATCAGGGGATGTTAAACCCAAGTTAATAAACGAATGCGTTTCTACTTACCAGAAATGGAGTCGCTGATCTTCTCTATGAGAGTACCCAATCCTGGAATCTTTTCTAGAGAATGTTCAGCATTGGGATAGCAAAGCGTGAACCGGCTGGCGAACCAATGGTTACAGATATCTTCTTCATTACTGCCGATACATGTGAGAAAATCTCTGGCAAAACGAAATAGGAAAGATTGACCTGAGTCTCTGAAACTCAAGACCTGCCATAAGACGGAATGTATTTCCTGTGGGCTCATGTCTTCAGGGCGCTTGCCCCCTTGTGCAGGGCCTGCACGAATCCTTTCAACACCCTCTATCTGGCGGGTCATGTCACCCCCAGTATCACCAGGGATACTGACAAACAAATCACGCAAGGTGTCAAACGGGCTCTTCCCCGAAGACTGCGACTTGGACCGTGCAGTGTCAAATTCTTTGTTGAGGTCGGTCACAGATGCCTGCAGCAGTGTGAAAGCCCGTCCATCACTTGTTTGGACAACGTACCTCGCTCTAGAACATATGCGGCGGTCTATGGTAAGCTTATACTGGGAGTAAGGAGGGGGAGTAAAACCTACAAGGTGATCGGTGGCCTCTGGTGAGTCAATCGCAGGCACCGTCAGTACCACGCAACTGCAGCGTATAGTAGGGTGATCTTACCTCCAAGGAGACTGTGCAAAAAGTCGCTGGACCCGAACGATCCGGTCACAAGGGGTGATACCCTTCTCCCGCCAGGAGCCTGGACACGAACCCTATCGCCGACGTGAACAAATACCTGGTTGTATCCCTGCGAAACAAGTAAAAGCTCGCAGAAGTTGGAATGTGCTGGGAAATCCTCCAGAGTATGCAACTATAAGGAACTCCCATCAAAAAAATAATGTCTTAAATACGGTACAAGCACTCACAGCCTGTCCGAGAAGGCGGAACGCCTCGTACTGATCGGCTTTGTTATTCGTCGAACGATATTGACGTCCAAGGTGTATGCATCGTTCGAGCGTGCGTCGGACGAGGGCTTTAGATGTATCCCAGTTTCCATTTTCTTGAGGTGATCATATGGCAACATCCCTTTCGCTGGAAACTTGGTAACTCACCGTTGGCAATGTAATTCTTCATCCCGGTGCGGGGGTCGATTTCCAGCTCTCGAGGCTAAAGCCAATTTATCAATGAGGAGGGCATGGCACATATCACTGAACAATTACATCTACTGGTCCTCGCAATCCGGGATGATATCTGCGGGCGTCTTCACCATCCCCGTAACCTTTCGGGTTGTCGATGTGTTCAGTCTGTCCAGTTGATGAGTGGCTAAGCTGACGCGGAAAAGTAACAGTATACCGGAAGGTAGCAGCCCAGGCGTTCTACGGTTACTTCGAATTCTTCTGTAGCATACCCGTGGGCCTTCCAATTGTTAGATGCAGCTGAGAATTGACGTAGTATGGTAGTCGCATACCATGAATCCAAGAACCATGCACAGGTTAACGATGGTCTGAGTCGCGTGAAACCACTGTTACTGACTCGGATCTGGTAGGTGGATACTTGCCTGAATATTGACTTTCTTCAATGTGCCGATATCAACTGCCTACACACACGATGATACTTCAACACAAGTGATGCGGGACATGATCAACGCCGTCACCTGACTATAATCCCTTAACCAATTTCTGACCACACGATTGAGGAAATAGGAAGTTAACTTTCAGATTGCAGCTTACCCGAAATATACACGTTTGACGTCGAGGCCTCCAAACTTAGTTCCTCTGGAGATCAGAGTAGCCAGACCGAATCCGCCGGCAGCCCCTTTCTTCAGAAGTTCAGATAGAGTATCCTCCTAAACGAAGGCCAGTAAGCATTGACAATTTCGGTCACATGCAAGACGGTATACAATGTCACCGTGCCGGAATGCCTTTCCTTCCATATAAGCAAAGCTATAAGGCGAGATGACTCTCTCAGATAACACGATGATCGTCCAAAATCAGACTTACGATGGAATGTTACCTGCTCCAAAAGCGTACACACCCTTGTCGGAGAGACAGAAGGCAAATACGACGAAGACAACGAGAAATAGTGAGATACGGTTAGGCATTGTGAAGAAACACTGATAGATCGATGTCTGTGCCAGTCGCCAGATGGGTGACCTTTTATCGTCTGCCGTCACTGCTCCAATTGGCTGTGTCGATTGCTGGCCTGTTTAGGAAGCGGGAGCCTTGGCATTCCCTTGGTATGACTGCCTCAAGCACTGCCCGCGAATGTGGGTCTAATACATACAACCAAGGCAGAGCTATATGACTCATGGTAGTCGACACAAACCCCACAATGTGACAAGGGTTTATTGAGGCCTGGGCCGGACCAAGGTTTAGGGAGCGCCACTCCTGCTGAATCAGCAACGCGGCAAATGCCGAGGTAAAACTCCAAAAGTTTCGTGTCCATCGTCGTCGACACCCGCGCTCACCGTCTCATCCAGCGTTGTAGCTGAGGCTCAAGTTGTCGGCCTGTACACTTTAGACCCACTCACGCACGCACTTGCACGTCCATTTTATTCCCGTTTGTTTGGTAAATTGCCTACTCATTTCGTTTCTTTCTTCTCAAACTCACCAAGATCTCCTGTAGCTTTCCATAATGTCAACAACCCCGCCATCTACAATCCATCAGAACGTCGCTCCTTCTGAGGTTGGATGGCAGTTCGTTCCTCAATATTATACGTATGTCAACAAACACCCCAATCGTTTGCATTGTTTCTATACCAAAACCTCCACCTTCACTCACGGCATGGAGGGAGAGGATGTTAAGCCTTGCTTCGGACAACAGGTATGTCTCTCTAATGTTTACATATCATCATCTATTCAGATATCAATTTTTGCACAGGAAATTCACAACAAGATCACTTCCATCGGTTTCCAAGATTGCAAGGTTTACATCCACTCCGTAGATGCACAATCTTCTGCAAATGGTGGTATTATTATTCAGGTTATCGGCGAAATGTCCAATCATGGAGACCCGTGGAAGAAATTTGTTCAAACCTTCTTCCTTGCGGAACAACCCAATGGCTACTTCGTTCTCAATGATATCTTCCGTTTCCTCAAGGAGGAAACTACCGAAGACGACGCGAGCGAAACCGATGCAACTACACTTGTTGATCAACCGCCCTCCACACCTGAACGGCCTGCTGCCGAGCCTGCCTTTGTACTTGCCCCTCCGCCAGAGCCAGAGCCAGTCCCGGCCCCAGAGCCCACCGCGGAACCTGTCCCCTCTCCACCTGTCCCTCTCTCGGAGGAAGAACTTACCACCGTCAACCCTCAGCCTCCTACCCCTCCTCCTGCCGCAGAGACTAAGTTGCCCGAGCCAAATGGCATCCATCCTGTGGAGCCTGAAGCACAACCCCCTGCAACCTCCCAACAGCCCTCTCCTGCCGCTTCCATTACTGAAATTCCCTCTGAACCTGCACAACCTGAACCCATGTCTCCACCTCAGGCGTCACCCGTTCCAGTGACCCAACCAGTCCCGCCTGCCCTACAACCCCAGCCTCACGCACCGGTCCCCGCCAAGCCCAAGACTTGGGCAAGCCTCGCTGCTGCGGATTCTAAAAGGTGGGGCGCAGCGGTCGCCCAAGAGTCAAAGGGCTTGTCGGAGGCACCTGTATCATCGAGTAGCCCTGTGCCAACTCCGCACTCCCCTGCTCCACATGGCCACCGCAGTCAACACCATGGTCCGCGAGAATATGCTGCAGTCGCTGCTGCACAAGCACTTACTACTCCTCAATGTTTCGTTAAGGTGCGTCGTCTCGACTAATTAATATCATGTCCCGTTTTCTAATCCTCCTTGAACTTCAATAGGGTGTTGTTGAGCCTGTGACTCAGAATCAATTGTCCCAAACACTGACGCAGCGGTTCGGGCCTGTCAAAGATGTCGAGATTGTCCGCCCAAAGGCTTGTGCCTTCCTTGAATTTGTCTCGCTGGACGCTGCCAAGAAAGCCATCATCGCCTCACTACCGCAAGCCCAAGGAGGTGAGGGTGGTATCCGTGTTGATGTTGGTGGAGAAATTGGGACAGTTCGCATCGTGGTGGAGACTCGTAAAGAACGAGGTGACCGTCCACAGAGCCGTCCCCGGGGCGGTGGTCCTGTGAATGGCGACTCACGCGGTGGATTCAGAGGTGGACGTGGGGGAGGTGGACGGGGACGGGGCGGTCCTCCCGTTGGTAAGTAGACACGCGATGACGTTCGACACCCCTGTGCAGTAGGATTGGATAGGAAATGACGGCGAGATGCTAGGCAGGTGTCGTGGGTTGGTGTATGGTATTTGGGCATTGCTACATTTGCCCTCGTTGGCTAACCATCGTTTCATTTGTTGTATCCTTATCCCCTTCACTCGCCTCTATTTTTACCCTCATCCACTGTCCAATGCTTCCTCAGGTCGGGTACCTCGTACTCATTTCATTTACCAGTATTTTTTTGCGCTGTCCTTTTTTTCTCTCTGGTCGTAGCTGCGTGAGGGGTCGAGTAGAGTAAAAGTAATAAAAAAAGCTGACCAAAAATGCAAACATGGTGATATAGCTGCTGCAGCACTCAGGGGGCCAATTGACAGTTTTTTTATACATGCTTCTGGCTGACTGCTCAGGAAGAAGGGATCATACCAGTACATAAAAACATCTACATATGCTGGAGATGTCTGGCCATTTCACACATGATGATCAGTGAAAACAGCTTCACGTTCGTCACTAACAATTTCATGGCAACCTGTGCGTATGATCGTGGCATAAACCTAGCCACGTTGTGCACAAAAAAAAAGTTACTGCCTACTGGTGGTTAATTGAAATACCGGGTGGCGAGGCGAACATCGGTACTTGGCAACAGGTTTGCTGGGCTCAACGGCGTAAGTCCGTCTTGCAAGGCGAGCAAATATCTGTGAAGTCTTGCGCCCACGGTGTGCGACCTTTACCGGCGGTGTAAAGTGCATCCCTCCCTGGACCACCCACCTTCGATCTAATGCTTCCGAGCGGTACGAAAATCGAGGAATATCGACCGTTATCCGGGCCACAAACCCTAGATGCTCAGCGCCGTTCAACACTGCATCCTGGCTTAGCGAACCTGCTGTAAATTTACAGTCCGTGACAATTATGCTTCATGCCAGAATAATGCGGGATCCTCCAAACACTGGCGGAGGGAGTTCAAGAACGTAAGATATTAAATCACCGGTTTTCCTTTGGGCTTGACTGTGAATTCAGGTCTGAACGGAGCCATTCGAGAAGTCGTATACAACGCGAGTGTGTCCATGTATGAGCAGACTAAGCCAAGACAGCTAGTTATCAGTTTAAAAGCCTTTCTTCCGCGCTATAAATTTGGCCTTGGATTTAGCGGCTCGCTGGGCTAGCTTCTCTTCCCAAGTCCGCTTCTTTTCCTGAGTCTGGCTAACCGTACCGCCTTGACGATCATATTCCTGTGTGCGCTCCACAAACTCGTCAATGCATTCTCCCATCCTATGCTCCAAAATCGACACCGCAACATCGGGGACGAAGTCGCCTTGCTCGACTGACCATTCCAGGTCAAACCCCCACCCTCGACGGACAACTGAGCCGCGACCTGGTTGGGGCTGCTGTCCCTGTGACCCGGTGATTGCAACGGCAGAAGGCAGTGCGTGCGGCGCTGCGGCAGAGAAGAGACCACCTTCTCTTCTCCACCATTCTACAAACCATTTTGCGGCTCTCGTCGTGTCGCACTCACCCCCGCGAAGTAGCATGCCCAATCTACGGGCTAGCTGCTCTAAAAATATAGAGACACTAGGTGTCGGCGCAGTGCCTGGCGGAAGAACTTTGAGGTATGCAGGAGCTGAAAAAATAAAATAAAATAAAATAAAATAAAATAACGACCAAAATACACAAGGGGAGATCACAATTACTCACAGACAGGATGTAGGACGTTCAGCCTGTATAACAGGTAGGCCACAAGTGCCTCCACGTCGTATAAACCCTCTTTGATACCAGCTGTTATGAGGTTAGCATGTAATTCAGTCAAGCAGTTAGAGGATGAAGACTCGCCGATTAAAGCAAGCTTTACTCCTCGTTCTGCGCCTTCGTCCCCTCTCCCAAGGAAGGGAAGCATCACACCCGGCGTGTCAAAAGAGTAGACAAGTGGGTCCTCGGACAATTTGAGACGGTTTGACAAAGCACGCGTATGACCAGGTTGAGAGGACGTCTGCAAAGCCTTCGGCGTCCCTGTGCAAAAATAGAAATGTCATCGAATACAATAGTTGACAGGACCGGAGCATACGTACGACCCGCAATGCCAAAATTTCGAAGTGAGTTCAATAATGTCGACTTGCCAACATTGGGCATGCCAACCACCAAGACATTTGTTTCTGTCGCGTGGGGGTTTCTTTTTGCTATATCTAGGAAATTACAAAAAAAAAAAATGAACCAGTTGTACAAGGAATAAGGTCAGAAGAAAATATAACATACTTACGAGCAAGGCGCTGAGAGATTTAATATCCTCACGTCGGTTACAAGATGCAAAGTGAATTATTTGTTCAGGGAAACGGGAGGCCATGGCTCTCCGGAAAGGCTGTTTTGCAAATAATCGCTAAGCCTTGGCAACTAAGGCGGTATGAGACATACCTCCATTCCCCACTCAGGTACCAAGTCGCGTTTATTTAAAACAATAATACGCTCGCATGTCATGCCGCCATAGCCCGATACAGGCGATGATTCCACAGCCGCACCGCGGAGGGGCTGTGACGAGTAAGTCACCTTTCCTCGTTCCGCTCTCCACTTTCTTATCGCGCCTATTTGTGAAAAGAAGGTTAGAACTGATGGGAGCCAAAAAAGTGGTAACGGCGCAGTACGCTTCCCAAATAGAATATCGCGCACAGCAAGGAAGCTGTTCTGCCATCTGTTTACCACACTGTCAAAGGAAACTAGTGCGTGAGAAGGTGAAGTCTCCACGTGCCATCAGATGCGAAAATATTATTGTCTCATGAAAAACGGAAGTCGCAGCCATATACTAAGAATGTCACTCACCCTCAAAGTTGTGATTAATACTGGTCAGTGGAAGTCTGGAATCTCTAAGTTCGAGGACGATGTCAGTGCGCGATAACAACGCTGGTAGCTGTTTGGTGAATCTGTTCATATGTCCAGGGAACCATGATGGCGGGGATGGAAGGGGAGGGAAGGGAATAGAAAGAAGCATAGTTGATGATCGAGATGAAACAAGGGGTGATCTGAGGCTATCCTATTGGGGTGCTGAGTACGAGGAAACGCGCCAAAACCGAGACAAGGTAACCCTGAGTCGCAAGGAGGTCCAGCTTTCCCCTAGTCACGCTTTCAAGTACACCTGACTGCAGCCGGAAGCTGTTAGAGGTCCAGCCACAATTTACAAAAGGCTTGCGACTCTGCCGGCGCCCGCTTTTGTGATTGAATTGATTCGAGAAGAACATCGAAACGTTGCCCGAGTTCGTTGGCAGCCATTGAATTGTTTGGCGCTGTTACTTCTACACGAATGACCACAGGCTTTAAATTACGGAAGCACAACTTATATCACGGATAGACTACGGCGGTAGAATACTTCCTGAGCGAATGAGTGGGTACTTAGACATGCTAACGGCTATCCGTTTTCTACTCTGTAATTCGAGGTGTCAAGGAATACTTGTAGCAAGAGAAATGGATAAGTAACAGCGAGACTGGAGACAACATCGACAACAGCACACTTGAAGAACCGAAAAATAAACGAATATGGACTGGTAGTGGGGGTGATTGGTATGATTGATCCTTATATGGGGAGTGATATGGTAGTTGAATAACGAGCCGTGTTGTGTTGCAATCCTACAATGCATTGTTGCAGGTGGGGCCCTGGGGAGATGATAGGGACGAGGTAGACAACGACAGATGGATCAGTGTAGTAGCTGTACAGGCAATGACGCATTTTTCAGATTTTTCGAACCGATAGATCTCGGAATGATGGTCACTCACAGCTCACACCCAGGTCTCCTTGCCAACGCCGATAGCATCGAAGCTCTTCCCGCTGCGAGTGCGCCTCTCGTGGAGAACGGGGACGATATCAAGGTTGATAAGTTTCTCCGATGGAGGTGGCGAGCCCTCTACCCATCCTTTCCACCCTTTCCTGACTGCAACTCTCCTCTTTCTTGGAGGGGGTTGTGATGGCGGTGAGGTAGCAACAATTGCCTCATCGATAGGGCCATCATCGCAGGGAGTTCGCGGTCGCTTCGAGGATGTGCGAGACGTGACTGAGGAACTAGATGGGCCAGGCGTGGAGCGGGGAGATGACGCCATGGGTGGTGGGGTGACCGACACGGAACGCTGATTGGTGGCAATATTAATTGTTGGACGCTGACTGGATCCCCTGGCACGCCAGAAGGACGAGGGCTGGGCTGACTGTGCACTGATAGCTTGGGCAGGAGCGGGGGGTGGCAGATGGGATGCACTGGGAGGGTCGGCGCTGGGTCGCTCGTCTGCTGTGGCCAGGGCAGCTCGTGTCTTCTCCCTCTCGCGCTCCCGCCTTTCCCTGTCCTTCTCCTTCTCCTTTTCTCTCCTCCTGCTCCTGCGCATCTCCTCGTCCTTCTCCACTTCCTTGTACGGACCTACGCCATTGAGTAAGCTGGTCAGGACATCTCGTGGTGGACGTAGATCGAAATTTCCGGCGAGTACGTCTGTCGCTGTTCGACGGCGCTGTTTGAATGGGTGGTATGCGAATGCGTGTGTGGGCATGACGAGGGACATTGTGGATGAGGGGGTGGGTGGGCACACTGGAGTCGTGTCTCTTATGGCTTGCGTCCTTACGGCACCGGGATAAGCAATCACAAACAAAAGTCTGTTGACTGCTATGTAATCCGCTTTCGGAAGTGCTCCGACTGGCTTGCTGTGCAACATGCTGCCACTGTGAATGTGGCTTTGCAGATACGATATTTATACATGTTCAGTGGCACGAACCCTCCCCAGTACGAGTGGCTCAATGCTGCACAGCATGGCGCAGTCGTGGGTCTAGCCAACCATTTCTATTTGACCCTGGAGGGTTTAGGAACATTCCACAAACCGCCCGCTTTGTGCCCAAACCAGGCCGATGAAAGATCTAAATCAAATGAATGTGACAAAAGTCCCCGTGAATGAATGGGGACATATCCCGGTCCTTCTTTTGGTGCTTGGCCAGATGGCGGCACAACGTGGAAAATACCTGCCACTTGCTGTGTATTTACCATTTCGTGTCAAGCATTCCAGACCCTCTGGAGGTTCCCTTCCTTCCTTCCATCCGAAGCCTTCCGAATGTTAGTTAATGGTCCCATTGAACAATTTCTTGGTTGCTAAATTTCCTTGCCAACAAGCGCCATCCCGGCGTTACGGCGGATAAAATGGTAGTGGGCACTCGACGTTCCTTGTCGCGCCCCCATCTTTACGAGAACAAAAAGCATCCGCTTCCACCAGACATATCGTGCCCATCACTAATCAAGCAAGGGAATTACAAAAGATCCACCTGCCCCATGGGCGCTCCCCCACCCGTGTCAGTTGCTTATCAGTGAGGTACTTCGGGATATCCACGAAAAATGTAACAGGCAACGAGCCCACCATGCCGAGTTTGCAATAGTACTATTGTTGTGCCCCAAATCACAACGTTTGCGGTGAAATCGGAGTTCCGGCTTCCTAACTGAGGCTCTGGAGCGGAGTAGTGAATAATCGCGGTTGTAAAAGCGGCCCGCCCCTGCCAATGAGGTCCGCAACCGGCGCCCATGCCGCCGATCCCTCCCTGCGCCACCTCAGGGAGGGGGCAGGGAAAGTAGTATGAACGTTGAGCTAATCATTTTGGTCAGACCCACTGAGCGACTGAATCAACCAAAATCATTGGAAATGTTACACGATCCATCAAGGAGAGCATACCAAATTTCACAGGGCGACAAGCAACTGCGGGACTCCGTTTTCCTCTTTGCATAATAGCTCCGCCCGGCGGTGGAAATATTTGCAGATCGGTGGTGATTTCTGACGGCATGTAGAACGGAGATCCTGCGATTTGACAGACTTTACCCTTACAGAACTCTCTCTTCGGCGGGCATACTTAATCGGTTCAGGACAAATGTGCGCTGGAGTTCTTTGGGCGCTTGAGACGTAACTCCCCCCGACAAGCCAACGAAAGAACCTAAAAATAGAACATGTCACTTGGAAGGATTCATTATACACACATAGTCCATATATTGATCCTTCCCCCTAACTAGGGTGATTCTGCCTTGCTGCTTGAAGCTTGAAGTGTCGGACAATAGGTGTCAGACAGGGGCGCACGTCCAGTTGGCTGTGCTTGTATTCGTCCCTTTTTTTTTCTCTTTTTTTTTTGAAAAAAAAAAAGACAAACCATGTGGTCTCTCTCGCCGTGGTAGATATTTAACCTCGAACCCGCGGACATAATCACCCGTCAAAGAATTTCTTGGGGGAGCCCAGCGCGGACAGAAATAAGTTATAGAAAAACGCCACAGCTTACCGGTGCAAGGATTTTTTTTTTTTTTCAAGATAAAAAGGCTAGAAACCCAGCAAACTGGTACGATGGAGCCTTTGGTCACTGGATTGGGAAAAAAAATCATTGAGGCCTCTCTAGGACACGGTGACAACCGCGTACTCGCCTGAAGGAGTTCAATGCGGTGATACTGCACCATGCCCCCCTGACATACACTAGCCTGCCTGGTCTGAAGCAGATCCCTATTTGAGGAAAAACGATTATCTATTTACCTTTCAATTTGGGTCAAGTGGGTTTTGACTTGACACAGACCCGCAGACACCTTGACGTCTAGAGTGTCATGATCGCAGCTACAGCTGTGCCAACCGCGGCTTGCTTCCGGATTGATCTACAGTGGTACTGTCGCAAAGGAAGGCAGGGTGGAACGGTGGTAGTTATAATACACATCGAAAAGAAAAGAAAAAGAAATTCCCATTAGCCGACTCGAACGACTGACCTCGTCATTACTAGTGACGCGCTCTACCAACTGAGCTAAACGGGACGCGACAGCCAACTCTCGCTCGGCAATATTGACTCGATTTGATAGCATCCAATAAATCCAATAAAGTCAGTTTACAGATTTTGTGTTCTTGGACTGTTCTCTTCACTCCACCACACGTCAAAGCGGTGTTCCCTGGCCGTGTGGCATTCATATAAAAGCCTCATGGCAGGCCAACTAGTAGGTTACCCTTTTCTCAGTTCCTGCGTATCGGTACTATGCGCGAGCGGGTCAGATTTTTTTCAAAGAAATCCGGTCATAAGTATGACAAGGATCCCGCCACCGTTTGTTCTACTGCTGTCAACTCCGGAATACGTAGTATCAGCGCTCGCCTGGCTTCCAGGATGAGTGAGTTGCCAAGCGATGCATGTGCACCTTTGTCGATTTAACTATTCTATTCTTAGGTGTTGAGGCCATTATCAGGGCGATACGACGTCGCGGGATAGTGCACAGGCTATACCTTGGAAACAGTTCCTTAGGCGATTCCGGATGTGTGCGATTGTTCGATTTTTTGAATTCTCCGGCTGGTCGTCCGTGTCGGGAGAGTTTAACGGAACTCTTCCTTACTCAGAACGACATCGGACCTAAAGGGCTACTTGCCATAGCTGAATTTCTGAGAAACAATGTCGTTTTGAGAGAGTTGTGTTTGTCAGGAGTAGGTCATTAGGTTTCTTTCATTCACCCACGGATCTTACGAAGTTTATTTATTAGAACCCTCTGACCAAGAATGCTGACGTTATCAGAGAGTTCGTCACATCTCTCAATTCGTCTCGCCTATGTACCTTGCAGTTGCTCCACAGTAGTTCCTTGTCGGATCCTTTCGTACAGGCGTTCCTCCCAAGGCTGACTACGCCGTATCTGCGACAATTGGATATGTCAGCCATCAACATGACGCGAGCCGCCGTACCTATCATTGTTGACTACGTCAAATCGCCTCGATGCCGCCTTGAACGTTTACAGTGCAACGCGAATAGCTTGTCATTGCCCGGAGCTCGCTCTATTATCGATGCCATCGAGAAATTCAACTACACTCTAGGGAAAGTGAACGTCGATGACCAGCACATGGACGAGGACGGTGGTGATGCGGAGGAGAGGGCTATTGCTTGGCAAGAAAGCTGGCGTATCCTTTCCAGCGCTACTCATCGCAATTCGGTGTCCAAAATGACGGTAAAAATGCAGGCTATAATGCTTTTGCGTTATTGCCGCACCCTTTATCTGCGTTCAGGACAGCGAGCAGGTCTAGATCCACTACAATCCGTCTTGGGTCCGAGCTCCAAGGTCTCCCGCCGCCAGAAGCCTTGCCTATTTTTCAAATTACCTCTTGAAATACAACTGGAGATCTTCGCGTCCCTTGCACCAGCCCTTTCTTATCAGCAGCTCATACGCGTTGTTCGTTACGCAACTGACATCAGGACCCTACCATGCGTCAGTCACGGGCCTATGGTAAAACACGGTAGCGATAGAAGTAAAACCATCATTGCCCGAGACCCGGTCTCAGCCGCTGAACGAAGACCATTGGAAGGGTCTTGGAGACCGCCAGGGTGGTGGGAGTGTCAATGTACCTCCTTTGAACGAGCGTATTGCAGTGCTCTACGTAGATGGAGGAGAGAAAGAAGAGACATATGGCTGACGGAGGTTGGTTGCGACACCTGGGAAGGCGGAGATTAACACTGATGACGTCTGAAACGAACGGACAAACGGACGAGGACATTTCTCTTCATATTTTCTTGTCTCACGCCCACCGACAGTTAATGATAATGCATATTAGCTAGTATGTCGTAGCTCCCGGAGGTGTACTTCAGTGTTTGCTGTTGTCCGGTTATACAGTCGCATTGGATGTTTTTTCACCCGTCATGGTACGAACCCTTGAATGTTGGATAGGTGGAAGAATTTGCATCGGCCACCGCGGAGGTACACAGAAGACAGGGGAGAAAGCTCTAAGCGTAGAACCCGTCAAAGCCCACTACGTGCTATGCACTATGACCAGGGCTCGTAGAGCTTCTGTTCCCACAAGACACCTCCCACGTCATTGCCTGACACTCGGAGCCATTGAATCGATACCTTCACGGTAGCGAAGCTATTTAGTTGCATCTCAATTACCACAATTGAATCTGAGTAATGCTGTGCTTGGGGCAGTAGCGCCAATTGAGAAAGCGATGTTCATCTACACACGGGAAGGAAACCAGTCTTGCCAACATCAATCAACCAGGTGAAATTCCCATCAGTAGTAAATTAGTTTGGAACGCTTCGAAGCGGAAAGAGACGAACGATCTGGTGCATGTATTTGTTTCTCTAGTTGGTCGGTAGCTATATCTTACAACCCGCTCACCTACTTAGGTATCGAGGTATCGGCGTGAGCCAGATAAACATGACCCTTAGGCAGGAAACCATCAACGTGGCCTCCCCTCCACCATACTGAATGCCCAACTATACACAACACATTACCTTATGTGCGCCCTTGAACACTCGAAGGTCCTACAACGACGCTATTAAACCCCAACTTCTTAGCCCACTTCCTAAGCCAGCTCACACCCTCCCCTTCTGCGGGATAGGGAGATGGCGACTTCCCACGGAATTTATCTTTTGCCAAGTTGATGAATGGCCTGTAGTATGTGCCGATAACACCCCTGCAACGTGACAGATCAAGAGGGTCCTCATCATATGACTTCAAGTATGACTGACCAAAGCATCCCCTGTAACAAAGGAATCACGACTTGATCTCGAAACGTAATATAGGCGAGGTTTCGCCAGTCGATGCTGGTGACTTGTTGCGAAGCAGTGATAAGAGGCGCAACATGGGTGACTTCAGCATATTGCCCGTCCTCGCTGGTTGGAGCAGGCAGTTGTGGTTCGATGTGAAGACAGCTCCGTATCCGGCTAAGATAGACCTGCTCGAAGCGCAAGTCTGGTATGGGAAGTCGTTTCCGTAGTCTCGAGTCTCCCTGGTGATGGTTTTGGGAACGGAATAGATAGTCTACACGGAGGTCGTCGTGCGACTCGGCGAATGGACCAGACATCCTGACTTGGATGTAATTTGGACACAAGCAACGAGAACCTCGGACGACAAAACACAAGCAAACAACCACTGAGCTCGATCAATTTCCAATTCTTGAGTGCACTTCGTGGCCATGGCATGCTTGCCACGAGCAGCCCTGCGGTCAGATTTCTTCATTTCAGTCAGTTATTCACGGCGAGGCCTCACCGCCTTATTGATCTGGCCAGCGCTCGAACCCAGTCCTGCACCACTTTTCTGCGAGTCACTGGAACCCACGAGGATTCAGGAATGAGCACGGGTAACCACCAGGATCCTTTTTCCAATGCAGTGATCGGGGGTTTATAGCCGTCCTTGAACCCCGTTTTCTTTATAAAATCTCCCAAGACCAAGATCAGTGGTGGGAACGCAATTGGATATCAGTCAAGGATATAGGCTGGGCGTCTTTAGCAATAGACCCACCTGCCCTGAGCTTCATCCTTGTTTCAGTGGGATCAGCCGTTTTTAACATGCTCATTTTCACAGGGCTTTCTGTGTCGGCTATACCACGGCAGTACGCGAGGAGTGCAAACTGGAAATTTTCCTGTGAATGTACCCTGCAATGCAGCTGACTTTTCCACCGTCTCTCATAGGTTTCTATTCCGGACACTTCTTCAGAGGGCACTCTCCCCTTACGAACGCACCCATACGTGCCACACGCAACATTGAGGCTGTCCACTTGTTAAAACGTGGCTCGTACTATGTATTTCTGAGCAATTCATGATTCCTTCCTTCTCTACACTCTGACGCTCTTGTCCACGGCATCTGAATGGTCTCTCAAGGCCTTGGTCGCATTTTGGCGAATTTGCGCAAGTACTTGCTATCTAACAAACCTGCAGCCCGCATTCTACTTGTGCTGGCTGTGCTGCGCGAATGTATTCGTCGCGCAAAATCTCGGCTTTTGGCAACTTCGTTTGTCCGCTTGATCAGAGAGTATATCCTCTCGTTCCTAAGGCAACCGCGACGTTTTCACGATTCGTCGGTGACGATACTCCCAAGCGTCGAACCTTCCAAAAAACAACGGCTCGTAATTAAGACCCACTCTTTGTCGGACACCCCATACATCAGCCCTTCTGGCCACCTAAGCCCGTACTCGCCTTCGTCGCCAACTAGACAGACGCCCTTATACTTTGACAATCCTTCTGATGCCAGTTTAGCTGCACCGCTCACGCCTACAGTAGACAACGAAGGTAAGTTGCTACTTCAACTCACCATGCGATTATCACGTAGTGTCGGTTGTTAGACACCACTCCAAAACAGGATCTTAAAAGTCCTATATCTTGTTCTATTCCGCCGTCCCCCGGAGGTGGACTCGTTCGGGCAGCTACATTCGCCGGGACTCCAGGCGATCCTTTGGGAGGCTTCGCAATTGGTTCGCAACCGCGAAGGCATACGTTGGCTGTGCCAGCGGAAAATCAGGATGGGTCACATCGGCCATCAAGTGCACTTTCTGAAACTAGCAAGATGTCCCTTGGTCGTGCGGCTTACAGACGCCACGATGGTCCCATGCCTCGACCACGCTCTCCCTGTCCAAGCATTTATGGGGTATCCACGTCACATTTGAAAGCCAGTTCCACAACCAGCCTCCCTTACGGGACGCAGGCCGAGTCCTCCACCAGTTTCCACACACGGGCGATCCTCAATGCATCTTCCGATATGGTCCACACTGAAGAGGCTGTGTTTGTTTTCCCTGAACCACGTTTTATTCCCATGTCCGCGAACGACGTTATGCGATATGATAGAACTGCGAAGAGCCATGCAATGATGCAAGTCTTGACTTCGGATTCCCTCGAGTCTTACCATAACCTTTGTTCAGAGACCCCACAGTTTCGGACTACACCGTCAAGGAGTATTTGGTTGATTACCCGACCTTCGAGTGTGTTTTTACATCATACTGACATATACCGGGCTAACGGTTGTGTAAGGGGTGCCCTTCCTCATGGATGGTCGGCGCATGTCCACCCAGAAGGAGCCCTTTATTACCTCCACGACGAAAAGGCATGTTCCATATATCAAACAAGTTCGTTATCGCTGTACTAACGTAAATTCAGAAAACGTTTACAGAAGTGGATATATGCAATGCGACTGTTCTTGCAGACATAGAACACTTTCAATATACATTATATGGTGAACTTCGTCAGGCTATACAAGAAGGAAGGGTCGATTTGCAGTTGAAAGATGTAGAACTTGTTCTGGAGCCTAGGTCTGATGACTATGGAGTTTTGTGCAGCTACTACTTCGTTCATCGACACAAGAGGTGTCTCTTCTGGTTGGAGGTTTTCGATGCGCGCAGTGTTCTCGGTGACTGCAAAGGCGTCCATGCTCTGTCTCACAAAAGTTGGTGCCACTGTTAAGCGTGCTGTTCCAGATCACGTGATTGATATGTTTTCTTCAGGACTTGCTATCGAAGCGCAGTACTGGTATGCAGTCGACACGGTATGTAAAGTGTCTTTTTCCTTTACCGTCACTAATATCTGTCTTCTTTCAGGTGTTTATATGAGTACTCAAAAGTCCTGCAGGAAACACAGATATCTTTTTCCGGTCTTGGGTAAGGTCACTGGGGACCTCGTCAGCGAAGTGAAGAACATGATGTTGCACGCAACTTGTGGTAAGTTTGCATCGGAGTGACACGTGTCTGGTGTAACATTCGTAGACCACCTCAGCTCCACTCGTTCGACAGCCGCTCTGAACACTGACGAGCTGCAGAATTACCTTTCGTTGGTGGATAAGATTGACGGTGAGCTTCATGGTCGCGTGAGGTGTAGCCATTTGTCTGATCTGATTCTCGCCAGTAAACACCTCTTCCCGTTGTGACCATACAGTCGTCATTCTCGGTACGGCACATAATCCTAGCATGTTTTTCCATTCTGATTCCTTTTGTCATCAGGACGACTAATGAACATTCTTTGTACGTGCCGGTCACAGGTATATCGTACGCACATTGACACTTCCACTCCAGACCGTAACCAATATCTTAATTTCCACGGACAACCGTGCGCTCGACTGAGTGTCGATCAAACCGTCCATGGATGGAGGTATCGTCCTTCAAAAGCTATGATCGTGCTCGCACCACTCCTCTGCATGGCCCCAGTCGCCCACGTGCGCTCGTTGCACAGGAGCTTTGTGGACAATATCGCTAGCAGCGTTGAGTGGGGCGTATTCATTGCGAAACTGAACGTTCAACTACAGAATCTCAATCTCCTTGTCAGTTGATGTCTTTCTATTTTATTGAAGCTAACACCGGAATTTTCAGGGTACTGTGTTGTTGGGGGCAAACGTTGGTTTCCTTGCTATTCAGTCTGTCGATGTGGGGAACGGACGCTCTGTAACCCAAATCGCCAGCTATACGTCGCTGGTATTCAGCTTCGGTAGTCTCGCCTTGGGTTTGACCTTCATCGGTCTCAACCTGACTGGGCGTGAAAGGGGATCTGAAGCTGTAGGTTTGCAATGCACTACAGTACTTGCTTGGCACTCATGATATCGCAATGATGAAGGCAAATTTCCTTCGGCGAATGAGCGACGAGCGCCACGGACTTGAGAAACTCGCCATCATTTACAGCCTGCCATATGCGTTTCTTATGTGGAGGTGGGATGCCATGTTGTGGGTGCTGGAACTATTGTTTACCGTCATGACAGTATGCTTCTCTTCTTGCTCGCATTCTCCGTTGAGTGGTGCAAACCCGGCGATAAGATTTCAAGGGCCATTGTCGGCAGCGTCCTCGTGGTTGTTGGTGGGGTCATATTTTGGTGCATCCATGTTGCTCAGGATCGGAAAGCTCGGTGGTGGTGGGAGCCTGACCCCCGTTTCGCTCCACACCAAAAGCGGCCTCCTTTGACTAAACGCCTTGTTGCTCGCCTGCAAGAATGGAGCCGACCATGGCATCATTTCAATATCCCGAGGTTTACCACGCGCCGAAACCCACTTGACAATGAACTTCCGCATGCAAGCCCCAGCGGCGCTGCATCGACCGCGGTCGACCTTACGGTTCCAGTGGTGACTTTGCAGAAGCCCACGAACGACATCTCGAATATATCGCTCAATACCGACACGTCCAGAAGGAACTGGCGTGTTTAATGACATATGTACACCAACCTCGTGTGCTTCATTCGCCCCACGTTACACTAGCCTAAGTATAATATCTAACCAGTGTATAGGGGAATTTGTTTTACCATTCGTATCGCTAGGTTCTTATTATTAGGGAGTTCAACACTGTAGCATTATGTATGTATGTACCTCGTTCGATATTTTGGTGCGGTAGGAATCTGGACTTGAGAATGAGACTAACATGTTTACTTGACGACTACCCTTGTTGCCCATGAAGTTTCAGTTGCTGCTTGCTTTCTTAGCTGGACTGGTGTCCTGGCTGTGTTTCCCAATTCACTCGCAAGTTAGCGTCCTACTCCCCCGCGCTGCCCGGATACTCTTGTTGACGGCACACCCCGACGATGAATGCTTTTTCTTCACACCGACTATACTGGCACTTCGACAAGACGTCTCACAACTTGAGGTCTATTCGTTGTGCTTGTCCACAGGGGATGCGGAAGGCCTAGGCAACAAAAGGAGAGCAGAGCTAGATCGCAGTCTCGACGTGCTTGGCGTTGACCGCGACAAACGCTGGGTGGTTGACCACCCGTAAGGATGTCTTGTATCGAGTGCTGTTGCTAGCGTCCTGAGGTCCTATTTTAGCTTACTCCAGGATAATATTACCATGACATGGGAGGCATCAGTCATTGCAGATGTCCTTGCCCCGTTCGTCGTGGACAACAACATTTCAGTGGTAAGCAGCTTGGAAAGTTGGCCATTCGACATCTCACGAACACCATAACAGATCTTGACCTTCGACACACAGGGAATTTCCTCACACCCGAACCACTATTCCCTTCCGTTTGGTGCATCGCATCTCACTCGTATACTGTCTTCTACAACGTCTCGAACTGAGAACGTTCCCCGTGTACTTGGCCTGCTTACTGTCCCAGTCGTGCCGAAATACTTTGGTATCCTTTCTGTTCCACTTGCTCGCGCCAGGATTATCCTGTCTCGGCTGATACCCAGGCTCCTTTCGCCGTCTACGCCGGTATTTACTTCTGGTTTCAGGGAATACTTGATAGGAGCCCGTGCCATCCGAGAACATGATTCTCAGATGATATGGTTCCGCTATCTTTATATGTTGTTTTCGAGGTATTTATGGGTCAACGAGTGGGTTGAATTCGACCCAGCTACGCTGTCAAATTAATAGTAGGGTTCATACTCCCGTTTCTCCACGGAGCGTAGATTGACCAGCTTGGCGGCATCGATAGCTGTACGCCAGGAAATGCAATGCGGATGCACTAGGATCTTTGAACTACATATCTCTCGTTTCAGGTCGTACGGAAGGGAGTGCTGCGATGTAGCACAGTTTATGATAAGATTGCGCCAGGACCAACGAACGTTTGAACCACCTGCTCATTTAAAAGTCCATCACCTCTATCTCTTTAAACCAGGATTCCCTTTCATTCCGTTCTGGGTTCGCACTAGGACAATAATTACACCATACGCGATGCACACCGCGCGACTTGTGTCATCAACGATGCATTGATGCCTGGAGCCCACGTCTGTTTCTTGCTGAAAGTAGTTCTATTCCCTTCCCACCGTAACATTTGAGTTCGCTGGCTCGTCGTAGCTAACTGGTAGGTACTAGGGGACTTGTTTGCTATTGTTTGTTCCCTCTAGTGGCAAGCGCCTGGCCATTCCGTTGACGGCCCAATACACATACCCCCGACAATATGGCACGATTCAGTGCCCTCGCGAGTGACAGCAGTGACGATGAATACGAGTCTTACGCGTCACAAGGCGTGCGTCAGATCAACAACGCCGAAAAACCTTTGGAAGAGGCCAGGGAATCTTCCGAATCGCGTTCGGACGGGGATGAGGTAGCAGTTGACGATGGCCACGAAGATGAGGAAGGAGATGAGGAGGACGAGGACGAGGACGAGAGTGAAAGCTCTTCTGAAATGGACGAAAATGAACTTGTTCTGCATGGGTCCAAGAGAACACGCAACCATGCACTTGTGGAGGACTCAAATGCAGAAGGTCAGTATATGCACCCCAGACACCGGTCGCGTTCTTCCACCTCGTCGGAATCCGAGACTGAAGGACAGTCTCGTGTTGACTCCGGTGCTATTTCATGGGCTCAAACCGTTGGCATGGACGTGCAGAAAATGCACGTCATGCAGACGTCTCTCTTCCGTATGCCTGAAGAGGCAGCGATGCTACAGGCTATGAACAGGCCATCTCGTCCCCGATTTCGATTATCCCCAGGCGTAACTCGGAAACACAGTCGTGATTCACTCGGAGAAGGGCGATTAGACTCTCAAGAGGTTCGTATTTTTTGTCGACCTACTGATAACTTCTTTCATAAACTCAAGTGTGTTTTAGAGAGCCTCGTTTGCACACGATATCGAACCTCCTGTTTACCGCCCCTCGCGAAAGTATGCCCGCGTCGAAATTTCCCATTCGGTAGTGGCGGGTTGTGAAGATGCACTAGTTGACGCAGGTCTGGCGCTCGGCAGGTCTTTCCGCGTAGGCTGGGGCCCAGGTGGTACGGTCGCTTACCTAGGACAACTATGTAGTCCATCAAGCCAAGTGTAAGTTTCAAGCGCCGATGGCATTCCACTGCTTTCTGACCGAAGGGCACTTAGGCAAAGCTCTGCAAACTCGCCTGTCGTGACGCTGGCATCTGCCCCGCTCTTCTCGTCGGCCCGAGACGAGGCCAATAATCGACTGTCCCGACTACTACAGCATCACCTCTCTAAAACTCCTATTGTAAAGGATGAATACGGCGTTCCTTTCGCCGACCCTTGCCCAGAGCTGTGCTTCTCATCGTTCACGACGGTTTATCCCCAAACTGATGCTTCTTATGAGGCCTCTCTCTTTCGTCTTGGCCATGCTTTGTTCGATCCCTTTGACCTTCACTTTACTCCGGAGATCACAGTTGACATACGGAATCGAATACAGTCTCTTCGGCGCAAGGCAGCCCTTTCAGTGTGGTTAGAAGAAGCTGTCACATCATCTGTTAACGCAGATCTAAATCAAGCCTCCGGAGACCCAGAGAGTCTCATATTCGCCCTTCTTACTGGCCATCAGGTCGAAAAAGCTTGTGAAACCGCCATAGATTGTGGGCTTGTCAAACTCGCAACTCTTATTTCACAAGCACCTGGGGATTTCGAGTTCAGGGAAGACCTTGGGGAACAACTGCAGATTTGGCGCGAACAACGTGTTGACGTTCACGTCAACGAGAACACAAGGAAATTGTATGCAACCTTGGCTGGAAGCATGGATATTCTAGAGGGTTCGAAAGCGAGCAGCTTTGAGCGGTGTTCAGATGTTGATCCACTCAAAGAATTGGATTGGAAACGCACTTTTGGAATGTATCTTTGGTTCGCTGAGCCCATGGATGTGCCTATATCACAAGTCTACGAGTCATATTATCGCGCTTCACAGGAGCTTCCTTCGCGAGTCGCACCTCCGCATCCCCATTACCTTGAATCCCGTCAAGGATCCAACCTTCCCTTCAACCTCCCACGACCGCTTCCCACTGACGCTTTGTTCTCTCTCATCCGACTGCACGCCGAACCCGCTTGCTCGCTTTCTCAGATCCTTAACCCGCTTTCGTTCAGCCCCTCTCCTTGCGATTACTCCCTTCCGTGGCACTTGTATATTGTGATATCGCGGTGTATGCGCGTGCGCGACTTCTCTGACAGGGGTTCAGGTGAACGACGATCACCTGATTACGACGATGAATCTGGGAGGTATGAGGGTCACAGCTCAAGTGCAGACTTGTTGGCGAGTTGCTACGCCCATCAGCTAGAGCAACTGGGCATGCTTCAGGAAGCCGTGTTTGTTCTCTTACATCTCGAGGGGTCAGCAGGGTGAGTAGGAAGCCTAGCACAAGCCGATTTGAACTGAAGCGGTGCACAGGCGAGAGAAGGCTATCAAAGATCTACTGTGTAGGTCTGCAGATAAGCTCGACGATTGGATGACGAGCGGCATCATCGGAAGCCTGAAGATCCCTCTCACTTGGGTCAATGAAGCGAAGGTGTGTTCTGCCACTAAGTGTGTAAACGACAACTGAAACAGGAGGCAAGGCGCTGTACGCCGTCTACAAAGGCGATATCTTCGAAGCTTATCAGCTGTATACGGCTTCGGGATTATACCAAGCGGCTCACGATCTGGCTATAGCGGAGCTGGCACCAGAGGCAGCTATACAGCACGATTTCGAGCTTCTAATCTCATTGTTTGAGCGAATGAGCAGTCAGACTATTGACGGGTGGTATTTGAAGGGCAAGGTGAACTTCAAGAAGATATTCGTCCGTTTCATCGTGTTCACGTTTAAATAGGCTTATATGGATTATGCCCGTGCGATGATCCGCCTCCGTGAGCTGCACGCCTCACTTTCGGATACTGACACCCTCGATGAGGCTGAGGAGCAAGAGCTAGAAAATCTTGCACGGTCAATACCCAAACTAATTGGCAGTCTTCCAGAGCTTCTTCCTTCGTCTTCGGATCCAAGGCATATGGTAGCATTATCTGAAATGATATCTGGCCTAACCGCGAACTTAGACCAAATGAAACCCCTCGCACTGGTAGGTCATCATTTAGGCATCAGCCCATTTTTGGACTAACACTTTTTGTAACCAGTCTCAAGTCCGGCTCACTGGAACTGACGAAGCGACAAGGCTACAACACATCCAAGCAAGTGCGCTCGAGCGCCTCATGAAATCTATCCAGGTTGCATGATTACTGGCAGACGATGTCTATATCCATTATTTAGTGGTTGTATCGTGGTGTTTATAGCGTGGATATGCCAGTAATACATTCAGCTGCGGATCACAGTCGGCAGGCCACAACCTAGCCACAAGACGGTGCAAGGATGCAACTTGCAAGCAGCCCTTGGCACACACTTTCCCCCCGGAAACTGCCTTAGAAATGATTACCATTGATATACATTAATGCTGAAGCTTCACAATTTACTCGTACACGCCCTAAGACATGCAACTTTCTGATTCCAACATAGTTGGAACGTTCCTGATATCCTTCGTGGAAAATATCACTGCAGATTGCATCCGTGTGGGAAGGTGCGTTACGAGTATTGATATGGTACTTTACTTTTTTGCGACATAAGTTATACGAATAGGTGAGACGGAGAAAAGGGACGAACCTAAACAAAAGAAGTCGGAGAAACGAAAGAAACCAGACGGCTCCACCCCTCACCGCCTCGCCAGCGTCCCCGGTGTCTCTCTGGCCAATGCCACGGTGCCTAGTCCATGACCGGGTAGAGGTGGGCATTAGGAAATCCGTTTTGCTTGATGCGCGGGAAGAGCCAGAAGGAAGGGCGTCGCGGATGTGATGTCGGAGGACTCCATATCGCCGGCACCGCCGATGCGGCCATGGCAGTCGGCAATGATAGAGCCCGAATCGCCGGAGGCCGAGAAGGCACCCAACTTGTAGGGGAGGATAGCCCACTCCGTCGAGGTCTGGTGAGTGCTGCTGCTAAAATATTTGCGAACGTATGAGAATATGCCGGTAGCGCGGCCTATGGTGATGCCGGTGGCACTACCGTTCTTTACAACTGGTAGGCAAGGTTCACCGTCGTGGTCGAGCATACCTAGGTTGTACATGAGGTCTTTCGAGATGAGGTCCCGAAGTGATGGGCGGGGGGGTACATCTTCAGCATGAACTCGCGAGGCAAAATCTTCGTCCCTGGATATAACAGTTAGACTAGACGGCCTTGCTGAGATAGATCAAAACGCACCTAGGTCAATCACGTTTCCCTTAAAGGCGTTCTTGATCTTGGAGCTGTCGAGCTCGACAACCGCATAGGTCTTCGATGAAACCCTCCGTGCCGGCACCAGTAGTAATCGGAGGGGACTAGACGATGTGGCCTATGATGCAGTGGCTCACTCGCCTCCACTCCTTTCGACTTCGTTGCGAAACTTTTTCAGGACCTTTATTGTCTTCCTCGCATTTTCCAATGACCACTGAGCCCACTCCAACTGACGCTGAGCAGGCTCAATCTCCTCCTCGTCCTTTTCAACCCCTCTCACCCGCAAGTTCCTTAGTCCTCCACCCATGCCACTTGACCATACCGCCATGTTCTGCTATCTTGATTGTGATGAAGGCAAGGAAGTCATCAAACGCCTTGGTGCCAAGGAGGACGTCGCGAGGAGGCGCACTGGTGGTTGTGCGGGCGTAGGCGACGCTGGGCCAGTTATCTGGAAGAGAGCATAGTGAGCGGTAACGAGCAAGACCTTCCTGCTATCGCCGCCTTCGGCGAGATAGATACCTCCGGTACCCTGAACATGAGGTGTGGCATGGGGCAGCGATGGAGAGCCCGAGTGCTGGAGTAAGAGGTCCGCGAACGTCGACGTCCGGGTCCTAGGTAGGAAGAGGGCTCGAGGAGGTTTGGACCAGTCGACCGAGTATAGATGGACTCCAGGAACTCAACCTCAACGTCATCACTGCCGAGCTCCTTGAGGAGGTATAGGCAACCGTTCGCTGAGGCACAGGCGTTCTCACCCAAGAGTGTTTCGGGAATAATACCAATCCAAAGTACGACGGGACCGACTTTTGCCTCTCCGACCGTGACAGAGCGAACGACGTCTATTGACGTCCAGAGGACCCCCTGTGAATCTAGGAAGTGACATACCTTGGGACCCAGGTCCTTCCAGACGACGTTCAGCTTATGGCCGAAGACTGGGCGAAGCTCCTTCGACCGGCGGTAGGCTTTGGGTCCAGTGGGCATCGCCCATGGCATGGGCTCTGTGCGGTACACTAACCTGGTAGAAGAGCGCAGCCCCGAGTAGTAAAACATTGCCTCTGCTATGGACGGCATGGAAGGAGCGCCAGACACAGAGTCATCGTGGCGGCTGAGTTGTGGGAGGTCGGTATCGCCGGTGGGGGAGATGTTCGAGCGCTGCATAGAAATGACTGAACGAGCGGAGGAGAAGTGAGAGGGAAAGGGACTCCATTGTTATAGTCCGGAAAGTAATAGGAGGCGAGCATTAGACCAAGTGTCACGTGTGACAACCCCTTGTAGACGGTACAGCACAGCTGTGGAATGGCAACTAAACTCGGGAAAGTGGGCGCTGACCTTGCTCAATAGTCAGGTGCTCGAAACACCTTAAAATGCGACGGGACGATTGAGAAGAATGTGGAGGTCGTGGTCAAAAAAAAGACGGAGTGAATCTGCGCAACCGATCCCGAGATATTGATATTTCCGCAACCTCCATCAGAGAAACGGGGAATGACAGAATCGCGGTCACGACCAGTCAGTGACAGGTTTAAACAGGTTTAAACCATTTTTTCGCTTCCTGATGTCTGTAGTAACCATGACGTATCGCATACTGTTCGAAAGCCCTCATCCAGTAGTTCCACGTCCCACAAGTGTGAGAGGCCCAGCGGTGAAATGTCGTCAGACACCCGCAAGAAGGAAGAGCTGTTACCGAATGTCGACGGGTGTCCAAAAGGACACGAAACGCGGGGAGATGGTGGAGTGGAATGGGATGAACCTAACGCAAAACAAATGGGGTGAATGCACGCTTTTGGTCCTGAAATATCTGCAAAGTTGTCCGAAAGTGCCTCTAACCACATAAAGGGGTATATCTCCGTAACTGCCACGCGGAATTTGACAAACTAGGTGTCCCTAGAGAGTGCTCAACAAGCATGATGGAGGACCGGAAAATCGAAAGGAATGGCTTAGAGGCACGCGAGGTACAATAGCGAGTCCTCGAAGGTAGCGGAAGGAGAGACGCTAGAATGACAACAGCTGAAGCCAATCAACACAAAACTCTAGGGGTAGGTAGGAGATCCGCAGACGTACACAGAGAAAAAGGATCGCGTCGATCCGCGCCCCTGATCCCGAGTCATGCTCAAAGTTACCTCAGCCCTCTGAACACGAAAACAGGCGTATCTTGACAATGGCCGCTCGGAACTGGACAAACGAGGCATCCCCAGGAGGGGCTCCGCGATGGGAACGTACGGACTGAAAAGCGAGAGGGATGGTGCTGAGATACCCCAGTTACGACCCCAAGACCTCGAGAGTAGACTTTCCTACAAAATTGCGAATATCTTTGGAACTGCCAAGTCAATCACGACGAGTTTTGGATCAATATGGAGACTATCACCTTGCGGAACAGCGAGAGACGTGGAGCGAAAAGAACGAAGTACGTATATGCCATGCGTCATGTACAGCGCAAAATGGCAATGGGTGCACAGCTGGCTGACATTCTGGTGCGAGGGACCCGAGTCCGGCCCCCGCTGTAATAAAACCTAAAGCTTGGCCGCCGTCGCAATGCAGCGTCTGATGAGATGCATCCTGGCAGGTATGTCAAATGGAGCCTATTCAATTCATTGTCACAAAAAGGAGGCGGGGTGGAGGGTACTAGAACATGAACATGCAATAATAGACACTGATACAATTTCGTACAGCAGCCAACCAATACAACTCATCGGCACAGTAGAGTAATGCAAGGCGGCCGCATCGCACTACATAGCGTACCTGGAGAAGGCGGTCAATTCACACATCCAACACGATCGTAAAAAGGGAAGACATACTTCCTTGTCCACTCCCTCGCAGTTGCTTCGTATCGAGCGCGATCTGTCTTGTACAAGTGCGCAATGTCGTGCACCAATGGATCGTCCGGGTTGGGATCAGTGAGCATCGAGCAAATCGAAAGAAGAACTACGGGGCAAGATTACATATTTGCATTATCAGCACGCCATCAGAGGGCCTCGAACCTTTAGAGATCGTCAACGCTGGAGACCATTGATCTCTCAGGATATCGAGACAGATCGATCCGTTTGCATTGATGTTTGGGTGGTAAATCTTCGTCGTAAAACTGACTTTCGGAGGCTTGAACGGATAGTCCGTAGGGAAAGCGATCGAAAGGAAGAACACGCCACCAGCATACGGCGAGTCACCCTAACAAATTTGTCGGGTTAACATTCCGGATGACATCAGAACCAGATAGATCCGCTCACCGGTCCCATTATCGTTGCCTGCCATTGGAACATGTTGTCACCTGTCGGACCAGCGCTGCAAGACGAAGGTGGATCACGCCCGAGGTCAATCAATTCCTGGAAAGTAAGTTAGAAGGTACAGAACAAGAGGCGCCCGGACGACGGTGCGGTTGGCGGAAATGCGAGCCCCTACCTTGTTAATGCGTTTGAGTGCCATTGCGTTAGATGTCCTACGAAGAACTGGAGGTTGTACTATCGTTGTAAAGAAGATCGTATGTGAGATCGCCACAATCGCACACGATCGGGACGAAACAGCATGACGATGCAATGAGGAAAAACCAAAGTCAGTATGAAGTAACAGAGAATACGGCACTGAGCATACGGATCCTCAGAACTATCTTCAAATAAGTTAACTTACAGTAAGGTGCAACCAGAGACGGGAGGTACTTGTAGATGCGGTGATGGTAGGGAGTGAAGGGACAACGACTTAACTGGAGACCGTAACTACTTCGGATGTTTGTCATCTGTTTGGCTGCTGACAAACCCTTAACCACGGGCGACGGTGGCAGTGCTCTCCCAGAAATGTCTCGACGCCCCATAGGCACACACACTCTGCACTGTTTAATGTGTCAAGCCCTGCGACACGGGTATACATGCCCTACCCTGCCGACTCTGCAATTGATGATATCGGTGATTGTAGTGCGGCGTGGAGGGAGCGATAACGGCCATCGAGGAGCCAGAAAAGTCGTACTGCTCCTACCTTTGGGTGAAGGGCTCACTGCTGGAACTAGGCCATCGAGCTCAGGATGTGAACAGCTACATACGTATGGAGCTATATACCGGGAACCGAAGAGAAATGGGATGCATATGGCGGAGTGAAACGGATGAGGCCATCGGAGACGCGGGACCGCCGACCGGAAACCGGTGCAGATACTTGGTAGCTGGTATATTCTCGAACCGAGCGATCACAGAAAAGGTCCTATAATCTATTGCTCTTTACCGTCGGAACCTCTGTCGCGTTGTATAAGGCCAACGCTGACGATCACGCCGTCAGCCAGTAAATCAGCCACCTTACGCCCTTCCTTTGCTTGGTGTTCTGCCTGCTTGATAAACTCAGCTCTTACAGCCTTTGCGCGCTCGATCTAAGGAGGATTAGGGTTGAATACCTAAAGCGAGCAAACAGACATACCTCCTTGGTGTGGTGTAGGCACTCGAGGTAATCGTCGGCCTGGACACGGCATTGACTGGGTGCATCAGCCTGCGAGTAGCACTGTAACCGTGGTTCGGTTTCATCAGTACCAGTAAATCCGATAGGTGAACGTCGAATATATACTTTGGAGAACTCTTGCCAGTACGCAAAGCACCGCGAACGTCCTGCGTACGTGTCGTGTAAGACGGGCGTTCACAACTTTCGACTACACCACGAACCTCCAGTATAGCCAAAACCTGACTAACGAAGGCGCATCCGTTAGTCAAAACATGCAATGAAATGCCAGAGAGCACGTACGGCCATGAGTCTGCTAGTGTATTGACGATGCAAACGGAAAATGCACCGGCATTAATACGAGATTGGCACAGCCACAAAGGACTTGTCCGTGTCGGGAGCTTGCTTGCTCGATCCAACCGCTTGTGGTTGTCCGTCGAATTCTACGACAGAAACTTGCAAAAGGCTGTGGTGATGGCAGACCAAGCGGAACTTGTTTTCGTTAGAACGTTTATAAAGACCATCGCAAACCACCCAGTCACATTTCCCGACGACTACCAGCAGCCCCTTCAGGACTGGCCAAAGAAAGTGCCCATCCTGCCAGTAGGTATCAGCCATATTAACCTTCGATCCATCCCTCACCGCTTCCGTGGTCTTTAGATCGAGCTTCCGCCCGTTCCAGAACCTAAAGGACAGCCATCTGCGCCTTCAGGTACCCATAGATCATCACGCGTTTTCTACGTGTCCGCTAATCAGCACGGATAACCAAGTTGCCTCCATTGATATTACGTTCAAGTCATTGAAACCACCGCAGTCCTTTACGCTGTCTGTGCAGCCCACTGACTCTATCTCCGGTATCAAATCGCAGCTGGCATCCCAGCCACGTGCGCCACGTGCAGACGCACAACGCCTTTTACTCAAAGGAAAGGCACTTGCAGATAATAAGCTCCTCAAGGAGTACAACGTAAAGGACGGGGATACTATAAATCTGATGGTCAAACCAGGCTTTGATTGGGATCCTTCCACGGCACCTTTCCCGTCGTCGGAACCTGAGACAAAATCCTTGTTAGAACCGGACATGAAATCATCATTATCCTCAGATTCTCTACCGAAGCTCAGTACAGGTTTTAGGCATACACGCACTCCGTCCATCGTCCTCTCCCCGTCGCCGTCTGTGATATCCTTGGAACCTGAGGGCAAACCACAAGACATCAACCTCACGTTGGATACCTCTTCTATACCGACGGCTTCGCTGTCCCCCGCAACTCAGTCGTCATATCAAGCAACTATCTGCGAACCTGAATTTTGGGAAAACCTCCTTTCATTCTTGAGGTCAGTCCACCACGACTATCACCGTCGTCGCCTGCGCCCATGCTATTGATTTTCCTAGAAAGGCAGTTTAACAACGATAATGACGCATTGGTCGCATTCGAGAACTTCCTTTGCGCAAGCAAGGGTGCGATGTCCAAGGCTAGCGACATCGCAAGGATTCGGGACTATGTTGGGGTATCTGGAATGGCCGGCACGTAAAGAAGTGGCCTGAGGGTTTCTACCAATGTGTTTAGTCACCACATTCACGCAAAGGGATCACATGGGAAAAATGTACTGTAATCCAAGCTGTCATCGCATCGTCATCGTCATCTACGATAAAAAGGGGCATGGAAATATCTTCCTTGTATGGCCATCTTCCTTCGACATATAAGTCGGCGAGTTCGGCCAGGCGAGGGCTTCCGTCGCCCTCGTATATCGCTGCAAGTAGCTGCAATGTCTTCTGTGAGGAACACTACGCTTCAGTCTGACATTGGCAAAATGAAACTCGAGAATGACGGTTCGTTCAAAAGAGCCTCATCTGCTTTCAGGAACTGGATCCACCCGAAGGACACCCAATTCCCCGCTGAGAGAGGTGTTTTCAGAAGTTTTAGGCGCTTTTCCACGCTGACCCGGAACGCAGACCGGTACCATCTTTATGTTTCGTACGCATGTCGTAAGTAGTCGAGTGTTCACACCTGACGACCCCCGCCAATTCACATTGGATCGCCATCTGAAACAGCATGGGCAACAAGAACGCTTATAACTAGAAAATTGAAAGGTCTCGAGGATATCATCCGTCAGTCGAGCGCATGTCCCTTGCGATGATGCCCACATTTATCGGTTTGCTTCTGAACAGCCGTCACCGTCGTCTCCCCCCATATGGGCGAGAATGGATGGCCTTTTGCAAGCGTCGACCCTTTCCCTGGTGCTGATGTTGACCCACTGTACAACTCTAAACATGTCAAAGATCTTTACTTCAAAGCAGACCCCAACTATGGCGGAAGGTGAGCAGGTGTAACAACGTTGGGGTCTGGTGCAGCTAAGGGAAACTTTGAAGGTTCACAGTGCCTGTCCTCTGGGATAAGAAGCAGAACACGGTTGTCAATAACGAGAGTTCGGAGATCGTTCGTATGTTGAACTCTGCGTTCAATGACATGCTCCCCCCCGAAAAAGCTGCGGTCGATATCTATCCGGAAGAACTTCAGAAACAGATTGACGAAGTGAACAGTTGGGTATATGATACCGTCAATAGTGAGGCGTCTGCCATGACTCACTGTGTCCTTTCTGATTATGGTCAAAAAATTCTGCAGACGGTGTTTACAAAGCGGGATTCGCCGGCACTCAGGAAGCCTACGAGGCGGCCGTATATCCTCTTTTCGAAAGCCTTGATCGACTCGAGAAGATGTTGACGGGAAAGAATTACCTCGTCGGCGACAGATTAACAGAGGCGGACATTAGGCTTTTTGTTACGGTGGTAAGACTACTCGCCCTTTTCTGCGTTACCCGTCGAAAAATTGAATTTGCGCAGGTTCGCTTCGACCCTGTTTACTTTAGCCACTTCAAGTGTAGTCTGAGGGACATCCGCCACGGGTATCCAGCTATCAACAGGTAAGAGTGGTGGTATAAAGACTTCCCAACACTAAGTGATTCCCAGGTGGATGAAGAATCTCTACTGGACTAATGAAGCCTTCCGTTCGTCAACAGATTTCCGGCATATCAAGGTCCATTATTACTGGTCCCAAACCAAGGTCAGCTTATGCACGTTACCCCAAGAAACTATGATCTCATAGAGTATATATATCAGGTTAACCCAACGAGGATCGTTTCTGTAGGCCCAGTTCCTGATATTGAGCCGTTGTAGGTTAGGATTTCGGAGATTGTTATGTCCCAGGTTAACCCAACGAGGGTCGTTTCTGTAGGTCTGGTTCCCGATATTAAAGTTAAAGTTCTGTAGGATGGGATTTCCGTGGTCGCATATGTAGTATGGCTGCTGCGGCACGTATTGGCGAGCTTTTCGTTCGTTCGATTGTGTATTTTACGTATCATCGACGTGCATTAAGGGAGATTGGCCAATATGCACTAATGACTCGCCTCTCAATGTCGTGGGGAAAAGGACAATCTATCGCGTGTCTCACTTGTCTCTTGAACTACCAGTCTTGCTCAGATGTGTGCACGTCAGTATTTGGAGAGGCAAAAGATATCCACCCAGGGTCCCAAGTTGGTCTCTTGCGCCGGCAACTTGGCTTCACGACTTTCCGCGGAATTCCGACTTCTCATCACTCCTCTCATGTTCAGCCATTCTGGGCTCTCTGGGGCACGTCAGATCTTGGATACTTATCGTACCTATCAAGGTAATTCATGGATTTCTTTCTGGAATGCGATATTCGAGTTCGGTTCACCTCTCCTGCTTGAAGTTTTATCGCGGGTGATTGCAAGGTGATCAGTGATAACTCATTCAATGGCACACCCAATGATCGCCGTGCCAGGCATCTTATCTGCGCACTCCTCCACAAACCAATATTTATACCCGTCTATACTGAAGTGACGTTTCAGGAAAATCCGCTTATCGATTTTGGATGTGCGGGAGTCAAGGCCGGCCAGGGGTTCGTGTAAAAGGTCCCTCGAACCGCCAACGATGCAGAGGTGGCGAATATGCCCCGGAAATTTCCTCCCGACACCGTGCTAGTGTTGCAGTGAAGAACCTGGAGGAAGACACCGGGGAGGTGCAGTAAGGCAGAGATCTGCCCCCGAATGGAGTGGCATGGGACACCCCGATTGACAGTGACATGTACTATCATTGCTGCCAAAGATCTGATAACAACGTATCATTCCACCCGTCCGAGAGGTACAATCAAGAAAGATGGCGGTCCAGCAGTTCGATCCTAGTGGTCACAATATAAAAGCACAGCCAACAAGAGTTGCTATAACGATAGTGAGACTCATCAACGCAGGTGCTCTGGGTGTCTCTAAATTGGCACCTCTAGATGGTATGGCCGTTAAGTACCCTGGCGGACATTGCGGAGGTGTTGAAGATGAGGATGGAGGTGGGGTCGACACCACATGCGTCGCTGATGATGTCAAGCTATCGGACAAGGGAGATAATAGAGGAACTGAAGTTTGTAGAGATGACGAAGGTCCAGTGGAGATTATTTCCATGGATGTTGTCGAGAAAGAAGAGCTCTCAGACTGAAAGGATGTATAGTCTGGAGCGGAAGGCTGAGCAGCGGATGGAGAAAGAGTGTTTGAAATTGTCGAACCTGAACTCGAAACTTCCGATCACGGAAAATAGTCATAGTTCAGCGTAAGTCGCGGTGGAAAGCTAGTTGTCGCACCAGGAGTTATTGGTACTTCCGTCGCTCGCGTTGAAGCGGCTCCACTTGGGAGTACGCCTTGCCCATTAGTGATTGTGCTATAGAAGGTGCAACTAGAAGAAGGCGGCATGGGAAGTGGTGCAGGTGTTGTAGGTTGACCTTGCGAGAATGTCGAGGTGCCATACACGCCCATGGGCTAAAACACCTATCAGAGTGGATACACGAGTGGCCCAGAACAGCGACTCACTTGGCCTGAATCTCCGACACATTCCTCGAAAACCCCTGCAGAGTAATTGGCGGGCATATTCCATTCGCAACCCATGACAGAGTAGGCGTACTGGCACAGTGTCGATGCATTCACTGAAGGCTTACAAGCGCGGAAACAGAACAGGTCATAGGAGATGAAACTCTAGAATCTCGGAATTAGGATCATACCATTACATATCAAAGTGTAACATTACCGTCCATGTGTCCACCTGTTGGAGCTGACCAAACGCACTAGAGAAGACAAGTCCGCCTACAGGATAACCACCACCCGCCGCACCATAATAGTCAAGCTCTCCGCCCTGGTCATTGTTGAGGATATTTATATTGGTCAAGTTACCCACACCTAGTGCCGAAGTCAGTACAGGGCTGCAGTACGAGTGTTATGACCCCCGAATTGCCGCTACTCGCCTGTGATTTGAACATAATCAGGGGTGACCACTAGGTGGGCACCGGTGATGGTGCCGTCTGGGATGAGACGTGTTCCGTACCCACTCTGTAAACCTACTTCAGCGTTCAGCCGGATTACGGCCGACACCTGACAGACCTGCATGCACCATGCGACCTCCACTTGCTGTAAGGTTTCCACGTTTTCTCAGTTATATGAAAGCTTTCCACGGCATGATGTCTGACCTCTGTGTCGCCGATGGTCGAACCTGGGTACGGGGGTGCCCAGAGACAGAAGTCCTGGACATTGTTCACTGACCACGATGAACGGTCAGTAAGAATGCGTGTTTAGGTCGTGTCGACCCTGAGAGGTTACGCACAATAGACATTTTGGCACTCCGAAGATTGGTTGTAGCTGGTTCCGCACTGGTTATACCCCGATTGTCCAGGCCACGTTTGATATGGTGCACTCTGAGGTGTATAGGCGTCGATATGTCGGGCGTGGACATAACCAAGGACTAGTACGAGACTTGCGAAGATAATCGAACTAGCATATGGCATGTTCAGGACAGCGCTAGAGAGTACCACCTCGCGTGGCAGCAGTCCGAACGGAGGCAGGAGAGTTGGTTCTTCTGCGACTCGTACATGGCTATATATCCACATCCCAATGGAAGCACACGGATGTATAGCGGTGCAACGCCGCACAGGGCACTGGCACGCAAGGCCTCGCACGCGCGTGCAACTAATGTCCGAGGGTGTTCCAGCTGCCTCCGGCCGTCCGTAGTCCAAGCATCCTGCGCCGTCCGTGCCGCCACAGACATACAGTACCAGTGCACACCTTTGTCCATTTTGTCGTCTGCACGAGGTTCAAGCCAGGTGCTAGGCATGCCAGGAACGTGGCCGAATCACTTTGATGGGCCAGTGAGTCCGCGAATAATGTCACCTTGCGTGATGACCATGGCTAAGCTACATGCTGCTCAGTGGTATTGAATGTGCTCGAGTACACTTACCGTCAGTATTGTCCTTGATAAGTACTGATCGGCACAACATAAGCTACCAAGCACACGGTGAATGTAGACGGCGTATCACTGCAATTGAAGCTTGGAGTGCCACGTATATGTATAGCACACGCGGGAACCTACTTTCTACTCCTGTCGTCCATGTGAAGAGATTGCCATCGTAGGTTCCGTGGGGCTGCCAGCAATTCGATCACCGGATACAGTTAGACCTCGGAACTAATAGTACTTCACCAGTACTTGTTGTATCGGCAGCCTATGTAAAGGTGAACAGCAAGTCTTTCAATTTGAACCTGACCCTTTTGAATTCTCTGCTCCACAGCATATCCGAACAGAGCCAGTACTAGTACTGTAAACCTTGACATGTTACTATGTTGCAATGTTGCTAGGCCACAGAGGTCGACCAAAATGGCAGATTCGATCAGAAGACGTGATTTTGTCCCATTCAAGATGACCCCTCAGCTTGTTTTGAGAATCTCTCGCAGCGCTCTGAAGCCTTCCCTCACTGAATCCATGTGATTGCTGAGCGCTGAGCGCTGAGCAAGGACTTCTAGGTGATCCATGTGCGATGGTGGGCGAATGTGTGACTAACAAGTGCTCTCCATTCTCCACATCTAAACGGCACGGAACTACCTTGCACTGTTGGCATCATCAGCGTGCGTATCCGAATATCATCTATTAGTATGATCAAATACTTACAGATCGTCCTTATAAACACTAGGCGCGCCCACGTGCACCATGCCCTGAGCCGGTTCAAATTACATGTAAATCAGATGACCCGGCGGTATATAAGTACATACCTTGGCACTTTCTACCTCGTTCCCCCGACGTTACCCTTAACTACCATGAACTTACCATTGTCTGATCTAGGTATCCCCAGTGGCGACACCGTGATCAAGCTTTCGACTCTGCTACCACTCGCGGTCGTCTTCGCGCATCTCGTTCCAGTACTTGACCGACCCTTTCAATCAGCGGTCTATACCAGGCCCATTCCTGGCCAAGTTTTCTGACATCTGGCTGGGTTGGGTGAGTAGCCTTGGCCACCGCTCGGACGTCGTCCACGAGCTCCACAAGAAATACGGTGCGTTGTTGACTGTTCCTAACTTCAGTGAGTGTCTCCTTAGTGCTATGATATTCTCAAGGACCGTTGGTTCGACTGGCGCCGAATCATGTGTCCGTAGCGGACCCGGATACTCTGCAAGTAGTCTATGCCCATGGAAACGGAAGCCTGAAATCCGATTTTTATGACGCCTTTGTTTCGATCCAGTCGTGGCCTCTTCAATACCCGTGACCGCGTGCAACATACCCGCAAACGGAAAATTGTATCTCACATATTTTCACCGAAGAGCGTCTTGGAGTTCGAGCCAATCGCACGGTCTTACATGGTCCAGCTCTTTCAACAGTGGGACCGCCTTTATGATTCGGCACTCAAGGGGAATTCAGGTGATGACGGGGAAGGTGGTTGGTATGGCCGAGATGGGATGCTTTGGTTTGACTGCTTACCCTGTAGGTGACTCGACAGTTTGGCATACTCGACAGTCGGCTTATCTTTATGGCGTAGGGTACAACTATCTAGCCTTTGACATTCATCGGTAATAATCTATCCTGTTTCGTAGGTGATCAAAAGTGGTACTGATACTAGTGCAGGTGACCTCGCGTTTGGGTCCCCATTCGGAATGATTATGAGTGCGAAAGACTCAGCCCCAGGTTGCAGTATCACACAAGGATGCAATGGGTTCATATGGTTCGGAGCATGAGTGTGAGGTTATTCACATTCCTGCTGTTCAAATTCTCAACCGCCGTGGGGAATACTCTGCTTCAATGGGGGTTCTTCCTCCACATTGGAGACCATACGCTCGGTTACTTCCATGGTATCGCCAGGGTAGCGAAGCTGTCGAAAATCTCGCAGGGATCGCCGTTGCTGCTGTCGCTAAGCGGTTGACGACGCCCACGGATCGAGTTGACCTTCTCAGCAAGCTTCAAGAGGGTCGAGACGATGAGGGGAGGCCCATGGGCAAAGAAGAACTGACCGCCGAGGCGCTCACACAGCTCATCGCAGGCTCAGACACCACTTCAAAGTGAGTGCCCTTCGATTTTGCTAGTATATTCGCTCGACTACTCCTAGTTCATCCTGCGCCATATCGTATTACATAGCTCTCCACCCGCGTGTCCAGGAAAAACTCCAGAAGGAGCTCGACGAGGCATCAGGTACTGAGGACGATGGTGTATTCACTTACGAACAGGTCAAGCGATTACCTTACCTGGAAGCTGTCATCAACGAAGGTTTGCGCGTTCACTCCACTTCCTCACTGGGCCTTCCTCGAGTGGCTCCTGAGGGTGGTTTAACTATCAAAGGCGTTCATTTCCCTCAAGGAACTGTTCTGAGCGTACCTACATACACTATCCACCGCGATACACAGGCGTGGGGCGAAGACGCGGATCAGTTTCGTCCTGAACGGTGGTTTGAGCGTGACCATGCAGCAATGCAGAAGGCTTTCAACCCGTTCTCATATGGACCGAGGTGGGATACGAATTTCTCTCTGAATGAATAATATTAACTATGGATGTTGTAGAGCATGTGTTGGACGTAACCTTGCTTCCATGGAATTACTTATTATAATCTCATCTATCTTCCGGAGATACCACTTCGTTCTCGCCGAGCCCGATAAGCCAGTACGTTTGCGCTTTTCACCTCTGGATTCTCCTATTGCTTACGTACCGACGTAACAGCTGGACACGCGCGAAGGCTTCCTGAGAAAGCCATTGGAGTGTCGTGTGGGAATCAAGCGCAGAGGTATTTGAAGGCTTGTGTAACATATTCATTATCGTAGCCTCTTCATCGAATTGTTGATTTGCTTCATCGGCGGCTGTATGTCTAGTGTCTTGTTGGTTGCTTTGCTTCATCTTTCGCAGAATATTGCCATGTTTATCCTGGTGATGTCTCCCTTGTTCTACGTGTAACATGCGGAGCCATTCCAAGCTTATATGTATATGACGTCTTGAGATTTCCATTCCCCGGTATATGTCGCCTTCCTGTTTGATTGTGAGCCGATTTCATCCGCAGATGGAACGCGGAATTGTAACGCCGCATCAGTCGTATAACGTGGTGCGCAGCCAGTCGATCGCCCATGATCCATCCATCCTTGAGGCTATCGTGCGCTGGTGAAGTCCTTGTAAACAGCCAACGGCGAGCTATGTCATGGGTTGCACGATGGCACTCTTGGGTGCTCTCGTAAACGCCTTCTCGTTACACTCACAGAAAGCAAGGGATCTGGCCTCCACCGCAACATACGAGTACGTCGTGCAAGAGAATTTTAACATTTATGGCAGCGGAGGCATCTTCGCTGGCAACGGTGCGCCACGCTCATCGTGGCTTTCCTCGCCATTGGAATCGAGACTTGATGTGCGGAGGCTCGCCGTTGGTCGCCCTGCTCGGACTCGTCGAAGAAAGCCAGCAACGGTGTGGATGAAACCCATTCTTTGGGATATATGGGCACAAACGAATTGGAGTATGGGGGACCAAGGGACCATGTGGGAAATCGTCGTAGTAAGGGGTCTACTCTCAAGATTAATAGTATGTGCCCTGACCAAGAATTTGTTCCTGGATACCTCTGTCGGTGTACAGCCACTAGCAGCCGTGCCGAAAAGTAACCTTGTGGATCCTGCCACAGTGCAAGAGTCGGGTGACAGGGAAATGCTGCGGGCAGTGTTATCCACAGTTAAATGTCATTACCCGGCGCTGTCGCCCCCTCTGCCCTTACCACCGGCATCAAAGAAGGAACGACCGCCTCATCTACTAATCAAAAGGACATCCATACAAATCGCCGTCACCATTGCTATGCCGACCTTATCTACGTCAGTCCCGTCGAGATATGCCACACGTGAGCGTATGAATGCCAATGAAGAACTAGTTGAATTCTGCATCGGTACCATGGAAATACCTTTGAGAAGGGTGAAGGCGCATGCAAGACCAGGTACCGGGTGGAGGGGTACTGCTTAGTACCATCAGTCGGCAGTTGCGACCAAAAGGAACTTCAACTTAGGTCATTACTTCTTGCGAAACCACAACTGACGGTGCATTCGATTCTACAGTAGGTACAGTTACAGACTCCATCCAGGCTCCAAGTAGTAACCAGTACTAACTGGAAGCATCGCAAACAACCAGCGGTAAAGTAGCAGCAAACATGTGATACAGGATAATGCGATATAAATGTATGGTTTTCATGGGAGGATGAGTGCGAAATGATACAAAAGCAGTGTCCTTGATTCTGGCAGATCAGGATGAGCACGGCAACGGAGATTACGGACTTGGCACGACCCACCGATGCAAATAAACAGTGCATCACCACCAGGGAATGCAATAACCAGTTCTTACATAAGTGCAGACAAAGGGAGAAATCCCCTTGTCTCTTACTGATCTCTTCGGCCCCCGCCGAAGCCCCTCGAAAGGGTCAGAACGACCTCTAGACGGCCGTCACGGCACATCGGTGACGAGAGTCCAGAAAACACGGTGGTCGTGAGCAAGCAGTCAATTCGGCGTACACCGCCGTTGCGCTCGCGTTCGAAGTTCGTAGATGCGTAACACCGATCATAAAAGACCTGTTGGATGCGGGCGCGCTGCTTGGCCGACAAGGGAGTCCCATTCGGGATAGGATATGGGTACTTGCAAGGTAGCGTAAATAGTGGCAAGCACATCCCATACCGTCACCCCCGAAGGGTTGGTGACGGTAATGGGCCAAGTCGGAGAGACTAGTCCGGATACTACGTCAAGGCTCCTGACTGGAGGATAGACGGCTGGCCGCGCCAGCTCGGAAGGAGAAATAGCGGCATCGGAGACGAATACGCAACGATGCGGGGCAAAGCGAGCGTCCCACTTCAGGGGGACTTCGCCACGTCCCCCCGCCTGGTTGCAAGAAAGGATGGGGTTGAGGGTCGCATGAGCGTAGGACATTACAGCTGGTGGGTATGCCTTGTGGTGGGAAGACTGCGGAAGAAAGCTATCATATCTTCTGGATTTATAGGAGCGGCATTGGATTGACGGCGATGAATTTCTTTTCGGACTGTTCCGAGGGCGCGAGCAATGAATGCAAAGTATTGACTCGACGGGCGCGTTACGGCAGACGTAGGCGCGTACCTACCCCACCCTGAAGAAATGTGACATCTCTGGGCACATACCTGGGAAGATATCGGGTAAACCCTAGATACCATTTGCGTCACTGACACTGGTTTTCGTCTCGAATGGGGGCCGGGGACAACAGCCATGCGAGAGCTGCCAATCAATCGTCGTGAAATTCCAACTTAGGCACCCGACAAACCAATGTAAAGACACCGCTTGGCTGAATGCATCGCATGGGGGCAGATGTCGAAAGCAAGAGGGGGCACTGCGCAAGGACCTCTGTCCTAGCGTGACTCAATCAGTTACCTAGTCGGGGTGATGGAGCAGGCGCATGAGCGCCTGAGGTGACAAGGGTTAATAATCCGTAGTGTATGTGAAAAGATATGAATGGCAAAGTGCAAGCTTGGACCGCACCTGCCAGTATAAGACGTATACAAATGTATGCATCGCCCGTGAGTCGAACCCGTTCATCGCATCCATGGCATCTGCATTGAAGGGAGTGGCGAGTGGCGCACATCTTTGGCAATTACTACAGGAAGTAGCGGCGCCGGCGGCGTCGTGGAAAACATCCACTGCGATCATTCCTTCTTTGGAATGTGGGCACCTCAGATAACGTTTGAGCAGTTCATGAGTGGAACAACAGTCCCCCGCCCTTTCATTAGGAGTAGAGCTACAGCGAAGAAAAAGAAAAACCTCGACGAATCGAAAGAAACGACGGTATGTCAACAGTAACACTAGTTAGCAAGTCCAGCACAAATAAGCAGTAAGAAAGCAGGCACGTAGCGTGAACAGTGTACAGTGGAGCAATTAGGACGGATCTGAATCGTAATAACACACAGCCGTAGTCCCGATAACCACATCATGGAGCCCCCTATGTTCGGGTCCATCATCAGCTGCCGCAAGTGGAGAATAAGGCATCTGAATTAACACCGAGAACCGAACGTCCGAATTGTCCTGGGGCCACGCTGCCCTGGGGGTGCTCACACAGGCACGTCGTGAGGGAGGTGCAGACGGACGGTGGAAAAGACGCAGAACTTCTCGAGGGATGAATCCTATCAGCCGTCGCCTCCATGTGGAAGGTACTGGCTGAGGTGACTGGGTGTCCAGTAGCAGAATACTCTGCTCCACCTTCGCTGCTAGTGGCTATACAACGTTACGAATTCTAATAATAACGAAAAGTGGAGCGCGAACTCGCTCACCTTCTCATCGGCCCATCTGGGCAGCTCGCGGCTGGGCATCATGTTCACGTCCCAGAATTCGGGCTTCTCGAACATCTCTACTGTTGGCGGCGATCCTGTCTGCAACATAGTCTCTATCATCCTACGGCGAGCGACCAGTCGATGCCATACAATGCCACATGTCAAGAACGCAGAGAATAGAGAGAGCACGCTGATCAGAAAGACAAAGAGAAGGGTAGATGAGCTACCGAGATCTGCGGTTGTTGAGCTGGCCGTAGATGACGGTGCAGACGTGACCGCCGACGGCGGACCAGTAGATAATAAAGAAGACATCCTGGGTGTCGTCCCCCGTCGACACTCGACTCAGTGAAGAGGGACTTCCTGTACTAGCAAGTATGGGTGGTCCCGTGGCATTGCGCAGGAACCCTTTGTGAAGGACGCTGACACTCGTCTGACACACCCAGGGACCCTGTGACACTGTGCCTGCCATTCTCGGTATGTCACATGGGGGCCAATCGTCCCTTATGACGTCATTACAGTATAGTACACTATGCTGTCCAAAACATTCACCAGGTTGTATCTGTGCAAGGCATTAGATGCAAGCAACCCGAAGGCAATGACGGATCTCACTGTTACGCTTCATAATGCGTACCTCCTCTAGTATTCCCATCGTGTGTCTGTCCAGCAAGTCAACGTACGGCTTGAGGCTCGTCTTTTCCCAACCTGCTCCTTCGCCTGTGCTTGTGCTGCTGTTTAGTTCACGCAACAGCTGCCCGATAGTAGGTACATCGCGTGGATCAAAACGGTCAATATGGTTCGGGTCAAGTGGCACGCAAACTCGCCCTGTCTTAGGATGTACACAAAAGGGGGCTTTGAGCAAGTGGTTCCGGTGCTTTGAAACCTCGGCGTCGATGCGCGGGTAAGTATATTGAAAGACAATATCTTCCAAAGCCTCCTTCAGTCGTGACTAGACATTCGGGGAACGCTTTCAGATCTGGAAAGATACCTGGATTTGTTCCACACGTACATCAGTCTTTTTTTTGTGGATCAGATCTTTCAACTCCTCCCACTTCTGCGCAGAAGGCCGATCAGGATCTTGAGACCATTCATTACGGAGCTTTTCAACAATAGGGCGATCCGGTATAAGTTGCAACAGAGTCTCCCAGCCTTCCTGAGAAGAGAAGCAATCTTGGTCATCTAGGACAAGTGGTACGAAGGCTGAGCGCAAGGTCTCTAGGGCGTCCCACAGCAAGGGGGGCAAGCCTTTTGCAGTTCTAACATTAACTTTTTTCACCATCTCCTTCCCGCCTTCCACGACAGTGAGTGCGCTGACGAGCGCCCTACGTTGGTCGTCCGTGAGGTCCAAAGCTTCGGGATCGCTTATCCACAAATGGATGCCACGTCGCCCAGAGTAAACCCACAGTAGATGTCTGAATCCGAATTGCTCGACGAGGATTGACTGGAGGACTTTAACTGCTGCTGCTATGAAACCCCAACACCGAGAACATATGTCGGCAGCGGAACAGCAAGTGCGAACGCCGTCATAGTCAGTCATATCGATATCAAAAACCAGCTCTCGTCTTTGAGGGGAAAAGGCAGCAGAGCGGACGGTCTTCTTGTCGCGTGGCTAGGCAACCATCAATCAACTTCAGGAGGCGATCCTGGTAATACAAAGCGATGCGTACTTTTGCAGAATACATGGGACCAATCTCGAAACGTGTTGGGTTGAGAGTACATACTTGTTTCTTCAGGTCCTCAGCGGTGTTGAATGAGTGGTATCGCAGATATACATCGCCCTGGAGGGTAAACGCAAACTCGCGGTGAGTGAAGAGTTTCGTGGGCGTATGCTCATGATTGAGCCACGTAAAGATGGATTGAAAGGGGTATAACATCTTGTAGAATCGAAGCATGACTTCTGGCGAGGTATCCGCATCGTCTGACATCGTGGTGGTCGCTGCGATGAGTACGAGCGAGCAAGGCTCTCTGCAAGTCAATTGAACGCGTCCTTCCTACACAACGGACACGCGTGACAAGCTTCACGTGACCGTATCACACCGTGACTTCTCGGCAGACGGAGCCGACTGATCCGAGGCAGGGTTCCCCATGACGGTGAGAGCTGTTAGTGACAACTGCTGACTTGGTTTTCCCTCAGATATTGTGATGCGCTTCCATAATAGGCTTTTAGTATCTGTGCATGCACGATGTAGGCTAGTATCCGCTTGACTTTCCCGCTGGATGGTCCCCTGACTGGGAATTTGCCCATCGATAACATTCTTTTTATGGCCTGTAAGTTCGCAACAGGCCATCGTCCTTTCCAACTCGTGCGCCCGCCTTGCGCATGTTCTTGTTGTGGCCACCGTGATTTGACCGTTTTCGGACGCCGATTGTGCTCACCCTATATTGGTCTCCAGAAGGTGTACAAAAGTTCAACTTAGAGCACCACCGTTCTTTCCTATTTTTTTTGGCTGATGACATAGATCATATATAGCAAATCCTCTCCATTCTCCCAGGCTTCTTCCACCCTCTTTCCTCTTCACCAGTCCACATCCAGCGACTCCTTTCGCAATTGCGTTCCAAGGGAAACGACATTGAGAAGTTTAATTTTTTTAGCTTCTTGAGAAGCGCCGACGAGGATTTTTTTTTCCTCGCGCATACGTCTGTCCGAACTCAGTCTTACCCCCTGCATCGAGCGAAAATGAACGCCGTTGAACATTACAGGAAGTAGCAGCGTTAACGCATCCGCCTGCAATCGGCGAGGTATGCCTAGGCCAATCCAAGGATTTCGTCAGGGCAGAAGGACTCGTGCTTGGCATCTATGTCTAGCGGCAGTGCTGCTGAGGTAGCAGTGATTTAGTTCGTTACCGTACAGGGCAAGGGAAGGATTGGCTTCATCCTTCGAAACTGTCCCAAAAAAGACGACGTACAAGTGGCCGTTGTGACCGACAGTGAGTCCTTTTTCCAAACTCCCTCTAAATCTGGATACGATACAGGCTCTCGAATTTTTCTCATGGAGATCTTGGCGCAAACGATATGCCAATGATAATAATCAAGCCTTTGTGTCGTTGGCGCTGGGTGATTTAGAGGAGACAATATACGTGTCCATACCAACTCCATGTTCAGAACTCGGTTGCCTGCTATTTTGTCCATCATCTTAGATCTTGTCACCGATAACCAGGCTTTGCTGGGAGATCCCCTTTATCTAGGGCTTCGGCAACAGCGCTCTTCGGAAGCCGAGATGGAAGAATTCATAGACGAATCCTTTATGGAGATGGCCCTCATGTTTCCAAGGCATTGGTGCAAATTAGAGGTAAATGTACCATTATCTGGCACCTTGTATCACAGTGGTTGAGTCTTTGTAGTCTCTGTAGGACTTTTCGAGTGGCCGCGCCTTTTCCTACTCGTCTCGTTTCTGCCCAAGGCTCCCACTTATTGATGACGACGTTCAATGTATAGGCGCGGTAGTTCTTGCCGGTCTTCTATCCGCTGCGCTACTCTTGCCTCTGGCACCAAAAGATCACTGGTTCCTCTTCTACGGTACCGATTCCGACGGCGTTGGTGTAGCTAAACAAGTATTGGGCTTTTGTTACGTTCAACAGGTTGAGTGTCGAAGAGGCGCGGAGCCGTATCTGGCTCGTCGACTCCAAAGGTATCCTGTATCAAGGGCGTGAAGGAGTGACAGACTATGAGAAATGTGAGACTATGACGCGCTCTGATCACGACATCTTTCTTAACATATCTCCTGACCAAAGGCTTCGCGAGAAGAGGCCACGCCGGACAACCCATGACCAGCTCCTTCTCAGACATCGCCCGTTTTATCAAGCCCACAGCACTTATTGGGCTTTTCTACTATCAAAGGTGGTTCCACAGAAACCGTTATTTGTCATATGGCTTCGCGGACCCCACGTCTTATCACCTTCCCATTCTCGATCCCTTCGCGATTCTCTGAGCGTACATCCGCGGAAGCACTCCGAACAAGTGGCGGAAGTGTCATCTTTGCGTCTGTTTCCCATTTCCAAGGTAGAACGTTTGGTGCATGCAAGTGGGAACCAGGACAAACTAACAACACGTACATCCTTCCAGGTATGTTGAGCTTAGAAGCAGAGTAAGAGTGCATCTGAGTCACTATTTCAGGTCTGGCCCTCAGCACCATCCTGTGTTGCGCGTCTTCCGTCACTGGCAGCATGGTTGTCGCGTCTGTGCTTGGGCTGACCAAATGCCTTACCTGGGCTGAACGCGCTTTTGAGCTCATCCGTTCGCGAATAGCACGAATCCGGGATATCAATGCTCACGTTGCAGCGCATGTGATCCGTGCTGCTCAGGCAGCAGCAAGCTGGCTCTAACATGCGAGGCTTCTGTAACTGAAGGCAATATATAGGGCGTCGACCGCTTCACGGATCTCAGGCGAATGTCAGATACTCAGCTTCTTGAATTCGTCCGAAGAAAGATGTGGAGACCCTGATGATGTCTGCGACGCTATCTACTTTGGTTAAGTCAGTAGACCGTCGCCCTCACTACTCGTTCGGGGGCTGTGTGTGTCGCACATTACCCTCATGCAATTTCGAAAACTCGTCGACTGAGTGAGTTAGTGTGGAATGGCTGCGACGGCAATTGTGACTCAAGCAAAGAGACCGTTATGTGTGCAGCAGGGGAGGAGAGAAAAATCGAGAGATTGGCTTCCTGGGTCCATTTAGTCGATATATCCCGGTTTAGGGGTGCTGAAGAGTGGATCTTCATTGCTGCTGCCTTTTGTGATGCAATAGTTAAGTGGATAGCAATGTTGACCCTCTTGCATGAAGGAGGTGCACGGAAGAACCACGTCATTTGATGGACGAAGAGATCAAGCGGTTGAGCAATCGCGGTGGGGGTGACACCACGGACAGCATTCAAGGACTGTCTCACCAAATCATGTCTTGACCGCGTAGCGCAGTGCTGCACGACTACGGCCTCCTGAACCTTTCTCTGACCTGCCTCACAGATTGTGGCTATCTCGACACTTCGAGATAGGCATCGTATCCCACGTTCCTATATCTACATCGGTGTGAAAAATAAACAAAGAAACCGGTCTATGCCGCGCCTGCCATCTTCTTCAATACTGAGAATTCTTTCTTCCCAGTCGCCTTACACAGGCGATAGAAGTTGGAGTTAGGATCTGCCAATAGTGTGGCAGGACGGTTAAACTCGACAACGCGACCGGTATCGAGAATCATGACCTAAGTGATTGAATTGATTACTGTGCAAAACGAACAGATGTGAACATACTCTGTCATAATCAATCACAGTACGCAGCCTATGTGCGATTGTGAGGATCGTGCTTGTGGCAAACTCTCTACGTAAGTGAATCAACGTGGAAAGCGAGTAATAGATCGCACATTGTACTCACTGCCGAATAGTTTTACTGATCAGTTCGTCGGTTGCGTAGTCCACGCTGCGAAGAAATATTTGAATCCATGCACTAAAACCTCTTCCCGTGCTTACCTCGCAGTAGCCTAGGACACCGATGAATTAACTTTGCGCACTAGGTATTATGAGGGGGAAACGTACCTCGTCCATCACGAGGACCCTAGATCTTTTAAGGATAGCTCTTGCCATGCACAAGAGTTGCTTTTCACTGGAAAAGTAAGGTTAGTTCTTGAGAGACCTTGCGAAGAAATGCTACTAACCCCGTTGAGAAATTCTCACCGCCTTCAGAAACAGCGGAATCTAGATTGCGGAAAATGTTGGCATTGATAGTATCTGGGGTTTCCTCTGGGTTGTCCTCTGACGGAATCAAATGGACACGACGGAGAGCTTCAAACTAGAGGCCAGTATGGTCAAATTGAACAAGACAGAAGAATCGTATCACGAACAATCTCTGCATCCGTGTATTCATTAAAGACGTCGAGAGTAGACCGTAGTGTTCCACTGAGGATGGTAGGGTCCTCTGGAAAATGTTCAGGCCTTGAAGTTCTGTCGACCATGAAAACACTCACGAGGAATGATAGTAAGCTTGCCACGCAAGTCGGTCAAGCCAATCTTGGAGATGTCGATGTCGTCAATCACAATTCTTCCTTCAGTCGCCTCGACAAAGCGGAAGAACGACAGAGCGAGAGTACTCTTTCCGGAACCAGTTCTACCTAGAATACCAACCTTCCAAAGCTATCAGCACCAGGGGCCTTGATCGAGAAAAACAAGTGCTTACCTTCTCCCCTGGCATGATCTCAAAGTCAATGTGATGGAGCACATCGGGGAGGTCAGGCTGTACAATGGTGAACACCAGCAGTGTACATGTAATAAGGAAGCATACCGCGTATCGGATAACGAGGTCCTCGCACTTAATGTGCCCCTTCTCTGGCCAGTTTGAGTTGGGCCTGGGTTCAATGAATTCCGCAGGTTCACGCTTGAGCTCAGAATATTCCTTGACGCGCTCAAGGGCAACCTAGATAAGCATTGTTAGCGGTTGCGATAGGCTTCCGCCGGTAGCACTTACCATCGATTGCTCGAGACCGACGAAACGGCGAACCAAGAACAGTAGCTACGGGTGACGTCAATATCAGCAGATTCCAGGAATTAGGAACATGAGATAGCATACGTTGTGCGTAACATTCGAAGCAAATGTAAGCGCAAAACCTGCCAATGCCGCAGAGATGCTGGGAGACAGTACAGCGACAAAACCAGTCAGACCAATGAGAGCGCAGGACAACAGATTGAATCGTGTCGACAACCAACGGTTGACGCCCCACATCCAATAGTATGGATTGGCATTCTGCAAGTTTGTCAACAGTCGCCGCGGCCACCTTCTCCACGGCAACTCACCGTGTCGACACAACGAATCATATCCCTCAGAAACATGGAAGATGCTCCGAATGCACGCAGGATGGTGACCCCTGCGATTGTCTCACCATAAATTGAATACAAGGGGGAACGTGTGACGGAATCTGCATGAGACAGTCAGACCACCGGCAAAACTAACGAGACAAGTCGTACCAAGGCGACGCATATCCCGGGCAGTCTGACCATATACCTTGGCCACTGGAAAACAACGTGAACCTTGCTCAGAACGATACCGAAAACGACTCACCGCTATAATACATGTACCCCAAGAAAACTCCTGCGCAGATGAAGGGAATCCCGCCTACTACACTGACTGTCACGACAGTAGTTAGTGCAGCAAACCCATAGAAGACACTGCGCCCAAAGTTGTCCGCCGTCTTGCTGTCAATTCCTGTATCGTAGCGTGAGAGACTACAGCCAGAGATTGAGGGGAAACCAACCCTCGAAGTCTTTGCCGAAGCGATTAAGGAGACGCCCGCGAGATACCGTATCGTGGAAGCGGATGTTAGCAAACAAGATCGCCTCCAACAATCCTAGTAAATTGATGAGAATGATGGACAAAACACCTTTAGCCGTTCTTACTCTTATAAAGAACTGTCGACGCGTTGATGGACCCCGTGTCTGCACCTGTATCAGCCACAAATTCAGCAAAAATTGAGGGATTTACTCACAAAGAACGTAAAAACGGAAGACATTGAGAAAGAGGCCTACGGGGAGTGAGCTTCCTCACACATGGAGTCCTTTCACTTCTACATACCAACAAGAGTCACCTGTGATCTGGGTCAATCAATCGATATAGTGAGACACGAGGACACGCACTGTAGCGTAAATGGTAATATAAAACACAGGTCCGTTTTGTTCGGCTTCGACGGGATCAGCTCCAGACCATGTCCTGGATAACATCAGAGCATTTCATCACCTTCGATCAAATCTAAAAAGCTGCCGGGGACCTACTTCAACCACCAGTTTTCCAAGATTGGACTCAAGGCGCCGAGGACCAACGCGACCACAAAAACAGACCAATATTTCCATCCACCGAGAGCTTTAATGTACGTCTCCCAAATATCGCGTTTGATATGTCCTACCGCGCGTCTTTCCTCCTCGACAAGTTTCCGAGGCGCTTTGCGGTCCTTCGCCTTGTCAGCTTTGCTCGCTTCCTCAGATGTAAACGCCGTCGAGCTCGTCTCTGAACTGGGCTCCGTCTCGACAGTAGGAGTGACCGCAACTGCTGCTTCACCCAAGTCAGTATTGCCCACTTCCTCGCCGATAAGGACAGGAGTTGCATGCGAGCGGATATCGGTCATCACCGCTTCCGTTGCTTGAATTGCGCCCTTGTCTTTCTCTTCGGCGTCATCATTCCCAGAGTGTACAAGAGTACCGACGACATCAGAGGCCTGGAAAGTATCCCTGTCACCCTGGAAGACCACATGTCCGTTGTCGAGCGCAACAACATAGCTCGCACCGGACATGCACAGCTGAACATGGTGCGAGACAAGGATGATCGTGCGCCCACGCATGAGGTCGCCCATTAGACATTGGTGGTAGAGATGGTGTGCTGTATGTGCGTCGACGGCGGAAAGAACGTCATCTAAGAACAGAATAGATGCTCTGGAGTAAACGGCACGAGCAAGGGATACCCGGGCTTTTTGACCGCCAGACAGATTGACCTGTACGGGTGATAGGTGAGCAGCTGCTACAAGTAAATGCCCGGAGTACGACTTACGCCCCTCTCTCCGATCTCGGAGGCATCGCCGTCCTCGAGAATAAGGAGATCGCTCACAAGCGCACAAGCTTCCAGTGTCTTTTGATACCGTTCCTCGTCGTAAGGTAAATTGAACAGGATATTATCTAGTCCCTCATTAACTCTTGCACCAACGTACCCTGAGCACTTCGCCGACTTACCCTTAATAGATGCGTTCCGAAGCCATGCAGACTACCCCCGACAACAACGATCAGAACCGCAAAGATTAGAAACGTGGCACGGAACACCCACTTGTGGAACATAGGCACAAACACCTTCAACGATCCATTCCTCAGGTGTAGCAACCTGCTCAGCAAATTGCGCAAGGGCGTCCGGGGGTGACCTAGGGCACACAACCTGACCCGCCAATACATCCGCCTCACCCAGCAGCGCTAAAACCCGGTCGGCATTAATGAACTTGCGCACAGCTGATATGACCTACCAAGCAGCAATAGCGTCTTTCCACTTCCTAGCTTCCCGCACACAAGCGACAGCTTAGCCTCGGGGAAGGACAAGGCAAGATCGAGAAGCATGAACTTGTGTCTGGGCGTAGATGCTGCGGACGGTGTCGCGCTTCCAGACTGAACACGATCCTGCGGCCATGTGATTGTTGCATTTTGAAAAGCAATGGCCCGCGTTTGCACCGAAAGCAGTGGGACAGGCGTGACTTCAGCACCGTTCATGTACTTTTCGATACGACGAAGAGAGACGAAACTCTGGTGACATGTCTGTAGTGAGTATGCTAGACGGCAGGGTTGGCAGAAAACAGACCTGGAGCATATTAATGAATGTTTCTGGAAGGGCATTCAAAGCAAACTTCATTTCATTGAAGACTTCACAACCTCAGCAAGAAACTTAGGTAAATCAAAATTACTCACCAAGGATCTACGGAAAGGAGAAAATTCTCAGCTCCAAAGTGAATTGGATGCATGAACGAACAAACTCACAGACGTGAAGGCGATCGATGGAGTCAGGGTTTGACCACGGACAACGGCGAAATGCCAGAATGCGACAATGGTGACAAAAATAGGTGAACCATCCCTGCAGGTCAACACTAGCGTCAGTCGTACCCTTCTTGATGGTATAGAACCCACGGACCAGAGCGCGTTAAAGAGCACCTCGATCATATAGCTTAATTTCTGATACTTGAGTTCCTTTTCCCTGACAGAGAGGACCTTTCTCTCGAAGCTTCTCTCCCAGGCCATAAACTATACTCTTGTCAAAGATCTGGAACAACCACCGATGTATCCAACTGACCTTAAGCATACGAATAGCGCCAAGAATCTACGAAGGATGTCAATCACGTAAAGCAACGCAGTGTTGCTACGTACCTCGTTCATCAACGCAACACGCTCGTCACGCGTTTTCATCAAGCTCTCTTGGGCTCTCACTACAACCTTTCCCCCGTAATGATTCAAAGGCAAGAATAGGCATGTAACGGCAAGCCCAACGAAACAAGACACGCCGAGGAGGCTGTATAGGAAGATGGTCCCAATGACGATCTCGATCGGCGAATCTTCAGAGGACGGGTGACTATAGACTATCATAAAGTGAGATCAGGACTCACCAACAAGAGAGAACATGTGCCACGAGAAATCGCTGACACGGTCGACATCCGTTGTCATAAGGGTCATGATCTGCGCCTTACTTGAGAAATCATCTTCACTGTCTTTGGCCATTTCTCCGTTTGTGCTTCTGTCAGCAGTGGAGAATGAGGACGCAACGTCCTTCCGCACCAATGTCTTTCCGAACAAGACGGTGTTCAGTTGGGTGCGTAAACGTACTTGGACAGTAGTTGTTGCAATGGACCACAGCTGACCGGTCACTGTGAATGACACTCGATGAGCGTTGTCCTTTTCCAGAGCTCATACATTGAGGTTATCGGTTAAAAAGACGACTCACCCAGATATGTACACGAAGTCGCAAGGAACATACAAGCGACATAAAACCATCCCAAACTCCGGTCCCTTCTCTCTGGGTCGGACTCCAGATAAGAAACAAGCTGCCTAAGGAAGAAAGGAGAGGTGTAGAACAAACATGCCGAGACCATTGCCAATGTTACAAGCCCTGTGAGTGGAAGGATGTTCACCCTCAATAGCTGGTATCCGAGCTGCCACCCAGACCCGATCCTCGGTTTCCAACAATTGAGGCGCCACCTCACTGTGCGAATCGCCTTTCTCATGGAGGTATAGAGATGTGTCGCGCGCATGTTACCTGGTACGATAGGCAGGTCACATATCTCAAGCGACTCGGAAGTGTACCCGAGCATAACGACCTTGGTAGTGTAGTTGAACAAGAGATAGCTCCAAACGGAAGCGCCGACGATACCACAGACGTTGTTTCGGTCAGTATTGGTAGCACTCCTAACCGTCTTCTCCGAATAGATGGCTTCCGGCGGGAAGTGTAAAGATGGACCCATCGGTATCGTGCAGATAATATAGGTGGCGATGAAGTAGAGTAGCAGGGCGGCATAAGATAGCCAGACAATGAATGGGATGTCTTGTGCAAGGTTCACGCTGAACGGGCGCGAAGACGGAAAAATAGCCACTACAAAGAGGAGGATAGTGGGCACGAAGGTGAGAGAGGCGAGATGGATGATATATGTGGCATGAGTATCGACGGTGTTCTGGTAAACAGCGCGCCCGGCGAGAATGGTAACATAGAACGCGTATATGGTGTGCAAAACATACGCGTACTTGTTATATCCTTCTTCATCGACGACGAAGGTCCAACCTAAGGCCAACGCCTGCAGCACAAGATTCGCACCGAGCAGCAGGCACGCTACAACCTTCCATAGCCGAGCCTAGAGACGAATGAGTGAAATGGACTACAAGGCTGGATGTTGACCACTACATACCTTACTCCAAAACATTTCCTCGTCAATTGGGTATCCGTCTATGACATCTTCGGACTTGGTCACGTCGAATGGATCGTGGACAAGTGAATTGTTGCCCTCGCCATGTGTGGGCAGCTGAATTTTGCCCTCGTCTTTAGGACGACAGAGAAGCAAAACCAAACTCCCGACAGCAGTGACTGCCAAAGCACCAGCTATGGGTAGCTGGTATTCAAGCATATCACAACCAAAACTGAGACTGAGACCTAACGACGGTCACTACTGATGATGAGCGAAGAGGATGAAGGTGCTGTGTTGTGCGCGTTTAGAGCTTATTTACTCACTCGTAATTGATTGGCTAATGACAAGTTGGTTCAGTAATATTTCACATCATCAACGGCTCCGCGTTCCGACGTTCCGCGACGAAGCCAATCTTGTGGCAAGTCAAACTTGCATTTCTGACGTTCATCTTCCTCCGTCCCTGGACCTGAATGATATATTATCAGACGCCGAAAGCAAACGGGGAGATAAATATAAAATAGCAGCTGTGCTGACGAGTCAATAAAACATCGAACGAAGTGCAGATAGTAAGACTAATAATTAGTTACGTACATACTACATACCCAGAGACCCAATAGGATGGATATAGCCGACGGTGCACGAGAAATACTAATGTGGGGGGTAAACGAACACTCCAGCCTGATGGTCGAGATATACAACGCTAGAAATGAAAGAACAAGAAGAAGAAAAAAGAAACACGAATGGTATGCTATCGAGACGGGCCTCACCGAGAAACGAGAACCAATGTTACAAACCCCGATCCTGATGTAGCACCCTACAAATCACCCCAGATCCCCCCCAGATATTGACATCAATCACCAGCTCGATCACAAACGAAGCAACCGAACTCCATCATACGAACCACCCACCCATCAAACCTCCTTGGATGTGCTTGCTCCAATCGTCGTGAGAGCTGGGTCAGACTCTCGGTGAGGTAGGACTCCTCTTCTCGCAAGTCCTCCATCACACTGCGCGGATGTCGTCCGCCTGATTACGTGAACCCCACACCCCACGTCCGTGCTCCTCTTTTCTCCGCAGTCACGAGTAGCTGGACTCGTCGCCGGTGCAGCCGGAGATTCGCTGCTACCTCCGTTCGTGCCCATACCAGTGGTCACACTCTGGGGACTTTCGTCCTTATACTCCCGTCCAGTTCGCGATTCGTCATCACTAGATGTCGCCCCCAACGTACTACCGTTTTTCAAAATCTCGTCCGCGACACTCACCGGAGGGAAGTAGCCTATTTCTCCACTCGGCTTTGGAGGTGACGGAGCCTGCTGCGACGGATTATGGGGCGGAACTGGAGGGAAGTAATCTCCCGCCTGACTTTGACCATGGTACTGCTGATGCCATGAGTCACGCTGTCTGTGTCCGTGCCTAACACTTACACTCTCACTCTCACTAATAGGCGCACGAGTATGCACAGGTGCGCCAACGACAGGATTCAGCCACGGTGCATGCGACCAGAAAGCTCCAGGAGTCATTGTCACACCCGGTGTCATCGCTACACCAGGAGTCATTGTTACTGCTTGCCCGGCGACTGGCACGCCTCGCACAGGACTCAACGGTCCTGACATTGACAGATCTGGCGCGCTCGGCAATGACAGCGAAACGGGCGGAACAGGAACCAATACTCCCGGTGACAGGGGTATGCCGGGCGAGAGCGGAATGCCGGGGGAGAACAGCGGTGGACCATATGAGAAAGAGCCAGGAAGAGCGACGGATGGTTGGGTATAGTAGGAGGGATGCTGGGTAGACTGTGTCTGAACTTTGTTCTGGACGTCACTTCGTGACTGACTACATGATTGTTGAGACTGCGTTTGTATCGCGTCATTCCCTGCGCTTAGATTCCTCTCTTCATTTTTCTTTTCCTCGTTTTTAGACCCGGCCTGCTGTACCTGACTCTGGTCCTGCGTCCGGGGGTGCGAGAACATGAAAGGAGGCATGCTCGGTGTAATTGGGGGGAGACCAGCAGGCGTGACCACTCCGTACGCAACCCCAGGTGCGCCGTAGGCAGCCGGGGGCGGTTGGCTGGGGTGATGCAAGGGGCTATGCACATGTACTGCACCTGGATGGTGAAGCGGACTTCCAAGCGGATGCAATACATGTCCGTGGAGGTGCGGATGGGCATGAGGGTGAGGGTACATAGGGCTGAGGGGGTACCCTGTCCCCGGGCGATATACCGGACTCTGGGGGTGGTGCCCGTATGGAGAGTGCATGACGGAGTGCGGCAATGTAAATGGCGCTGGAGGTGGTAAAGATATCGGTCCGGGATGACGATGATGCGGGCCGGATTGAGAGGGCTTTTTAGAGTTGTTTGTACCCGGCGTCGCCTGCGGACCGTGTCCATGTTGTTTTTGTCCATCAGACATTGAAGAGGTAGATGGGGTAGGAGATTGTGGGTTCATGGAATACGTCCCAGCCTTTTTCTTTTCCTCCAGCGATGGAGATGCCTGGTGCCGATTTTGCACTTTACCCGCTCGCCTGAGCCCAAGTGTTCCAAGCATTGTAGTAGCTCGTTCCACTGTATCCCCGTTACCGGTTCCTCCCTTGCCTTCTTCTCTACTTCCTTTCCTGTTCCCGTTTCGAAGAACGCACCCGTTTGCTTTAGCATCTGGTATTCCCACATCCACACTAGAAGAAGCATCCCCTGTCTCTCCACGGATTGACTCAAATATGGCATTCGAGTTCGGGGAAACATCCGTTGTAGAACCTAACAATGAACGTGTGCTTGGAGAGCCCCGTGTCGAAGATGACGTGCTCTGGGTTTGCGCTTGCATAGACATGTCCGCTAAATCTGGCCATCTACTGCTGACACTGGCGCCAAGAGAGGAAGGCGGCGATGCTGCCCTCGATGTCGATCCAAATGCCGGGTGAGAGCCGGATCGAGAAGCTGGAAAGCTAGATGGCGACGACGCTGCTATCGAGGCTCCTAGAACTCGAGATGCACCCAAAAATGCTGTAGAGGGCGGGGAAGCCGAGGTAGCCAATGTACCACTCTCCGAGGACGACGAGCAAGATAAATGGTGAGTATAAGCAGATCCGGAAGGCTGAGAACCGTGGCCACCTTCAGGCAAACACACCTTGTGCCATTGCGACAAGGACACAGGTACAAGTGATGGCAATGACGAAGCGGGGACTACACTCGGTCCTGAAGGCGCCGAGAGAGACGAATTGAGTTTTGGTCGCTCGGCCGATCCCGACTCAGATACGGGTGCGGCGAAGGATGGATGGATCAAGTTTGATAGATCAGGTCGTTGAGAAGTAGCAGAACCGAGTCCATTGATGCCACTCGGTGCCTCAGCAACTAACTCCATCCTCGATGGACCCGTACTCATGCTCGTTAGTTTGTGTACATTGCCCACTCCACCCGCATTTGATGTCGTAGATGAAGGCGGAGGTGACACCACAAAACTCGTTGTCCCAGTCTGATGAGAGCTCGGCCGAGGTGATGTCCCAAAATTCGACGATGCCCGAGAGGTACGCGTATCTGACTTCGTTCTCAAATCTGCCACCGAAACCGAAGATGTGAGTACGGCCCCAAGACTGCCACCAACAGCAGGAGGGAGCACACCACTACTTGATTTCACATCACCAGCAAGCGAACCCGGTATGTATCCAGCATGTGCAGCAAATATACTTGATGCCGAACTCGAAGACGTCATATGTGGCGACGCGGTAAGCGAACGGGAAAGTGAAAGCGAATGAGGTGGGGTTTGCATGACGTTGTGTGTGTGTACCTGTGCATTGGAGATCGATGCAGGAGAAAGTGAGTGAGAAGCACTGCTGTGTAATAATGGGGACTGGGCAAGTGAATGAAGGTGAGGTGGGGAAGAGGCTAATGACGGCAGTCGTGCTTGATCGAAGTGGGCAGGGGATAAGGACGGCTCTATCTGTGCGTGGTTTAGGAGAGAATTGATATGGGTCTGAGGGTGTGGGTGTATAAGGACACCGAGGTTATTCTGGTTTAGCGCTAATTGACCTGTCTGACTAAGGGGGTCAAAAGCGGTTAATAGCGATGATGGACAAGAAGTCTGTTGTGGAGTAACGCCGAGTGCATACACCTGCGATGACTGCGCAAATTTATCGTAGTGAACCTTTAGTTGCCTGCCATGGTACTCATACCTGGAAGAAGAGTCAGGGATCATAGGAACATTATGAAAATATTCAACAGGGACCGGGGTGGGGAAGAAGGCAAGCCGCACCTACCACCGGCAGGGGGCACAACACGAGGCTGAACTTACCCATCAAAGAGACGTCTTGCACGCTCTGCGCCGTCCTCAGTCATGAATGTAACGGTACCGAACCCTCTAGACCTTCCATCAGGACCTAGGGCAACGTCGGCACGTGCTACGGAGCCTGCTGCGCGAAACAAGTCCTTTAAGTCTTGCCATTGGATGTGGAAGGGAAGCTGTTGGTGGAGTAAGTGAATGAAGGGGAGTTGTTTTATGACGACACAGAAGATTGTAATAAGATGTTCATGCTCGTAGACGCACATTTCCGATGAACAAGGACCGCATTCCAGGGCTCCCAGCTTGCGGATCGGTAACGGGTAACGCTTTCGTGGGATCGTTAATGTGAATGCCACTGAGAGCGAGAGGTTGTGGGATAGTGGGTGGCACAAGGTGGGCGTCTGGTTCCGGCGAAGAGCCTAGGCGATCAGGACGAACTTCTAGTACACGAGTCTGCCAGCAGTATCCGTTGAACATATCAATCGCACGCCCAGCGTCTTCGGCGGTTGCGAGGAGGACGGTACCATAACCCCGAGATCGATTGTCTGGGCCGAGGGAAACGTCGGCACGAAGAACGGTCCCAGCTTTTCGAAAGAGGTCCTTCAAGTCCTGCCAGCGGACACGGTATGGAAGCTGGGAGGAGGATATGAGTCGAGCGATGCCGCCACACAAAAGGAAGACATACGTTTCCAACAAAAAGCTGTGTGCGAGTGTCTCTGAGCGCTGCCTGCGGGCGATCTGCAGATGACGCCGTCACCATCCTGATGATACCCTCAATGTCATCGTTAGACGGGATTGGTGGTGGCGGCTCAGAGGACAAGAGCGCTAGATCCTGTGACGACATGAGCGAGAAGAGACAAGGAGCAAAGCGAGCGGTGAGTGTTATTATATACGGAGAATGAACATACAGAAAGCGGAAAGGTGTCGGACATGGCAGCACGACGCCGACAATGATGGTTTATATTTTATGATGATTGTGACAGGCCGTGGACCAGTCTGAGGATATGTGTCCTTGTGTATTTAGAGTATCTAGATTGTCAGCCAATACGATGCGCGTCACGATGGACGCGGCTGTTGTAGGGATGAGAGAGAAGAGGGAAACGAGCGGTTAGTAAAAAATCTTACTACACTTGTGATAGCCACCACCTGCAGCGAACAGCTCCACAGACGGTTGCAGAACACAAAACCAGGGTCTTCCGCGCCACCACTTTCCATCGCAGACGTCATCACCTTTCCCTTTCAGGAGAATTACGTCATCAACCCCCCGCCATGCGAATTTGGGCACAGGGTGCTGGCAAATCTCACTGGCTATTGGCTGGCTGCGATCTTCCGCTGACTAAGCAGAATTGATTTGGGGTACTTCCACACTCCAACGAGTGCCAGACTGCATGCTGGTGTGGGTACATACTTCTTGTGGACAAATGAGGGTTCTTACGGTGTTTGCAGGTATACATATTCGGCCGCTGACCCTGTCCAAGTGGCGCGGTTGCCGTACCTATTACCCAACTGGAGACATGACCCATATGTTCACGAGGTAGGTTGCTGTCACTTGCGTGAGTTGAATACATCTCATAGGCGCTACAACAATGACGCGGGTAAGTATCTACGATCCACTCAAGTATTCTTCTTCATTTACTGCACCTATGGTGGTCTTTGTCGGCGCTCTCCTTACTTCCGCTTTCGCCCCTTTGACCCAATCCAAACCCCTCTATGTGCATTATTTTCTCACCGAAAAAGGAGCTGGGAATCTGAACTTGCGGGCTGCCAGTCGATCGTGTTCCCATTGTTCGCCTCCACTAGCTAGTGTCTGGCAGTTCAGCCATCCTCAGCATACCTGTGCGAGAAGGGGTCGTTCAATGCTGTAACCTGGCCAGTGGGGTGCACCAAATTCCTTCCATATCCCAGGCATCCTACTACCACGATAGGCTGATCCTAGTCGATGTGCATCGTTTCTTGATCAGTCATCATGTCTCTCCAAAGGGAGAGACTTACCACCCGAGCTGCATGTACATTGCCCTTACTCTCCATAACTGACCCTCATTTTGTCCTCCAGCTATACTTACCAGGTTAGTCTCCATCATCCAGGATATACACATTTGCCCTATATGTTTTTCATGAAAACCGGGAAGTAAGAATACCCGTTTTAACAGTCCGGTCATCACGGGGCACACCCACTGACTCAGGGTTTGTTCATGCGAGGTTTTGGACACCCATTTAGAGATATGTGCAAGCGACGGGCCAAGGTCAACCGGAAATGTTCACCTATCAGCTGCTTGTCTCAAATAAAAGTTTTACCGAGCCTACTCGCCGCGCAATTCCTGCAAGCACATTCTATGTAAGGGAGTTCGGAATATGCAATGGCAAGTGAATCAGTTATGTTGGAAGTCGTAAGGCAGGAAAGAAGTACTTGGGTAGCTTGGTTCGCTTTGAAGGCTCCTGCAAATTCAACCGCAATGACTATGTAGGGGTGCGTACCGGGGTCAACTCATGGCTCAGTGCACCAGTGCTATGTAGTTGTAATGTGTAACAAGTATCGCCGTGAGACGAAATGAGTAAGTGATGTGACTTGATGAAATCATGGTCTTCTGAACCTGGTGCCGTGCAGTGCATTCCAGAGGACAGTTCATCATCGTTGCACTGTCCCACGTCACCGTCGACGTGCACTGCGACACGGTACACGGTCTCGAGGACCCTGTTTAAGTCGGTAAGAGTATTGCTGTGGGGGTGCCGCATCACGTGGTCCTTCATTGGCTGGGCAATACGTTAACCGTATTCAAGGTGACCGTTTAACGTAGGCGACAGCCTTAAAGCCAAGCTTGCAACTACGGGCTTTTTTTTTTTTTTGTTGCTTGACGACTGGCCTTCGAGAAAGTGCGCGATGGCCACCCTCGCTCGTACGGCGGTGTCCAAGGGACTTGACCAAGATGATGCTACTCGGTCTCTCCGATACAGCGTACCTTCACCTTTCCCAACCGAACGTCTCATCGATTTAGAGGGTTCCAGTGACGACGAGATTCTCAACGAGTTGGCCGCCGAGCGCGTTGAGTATGACGTGCCCGAAATTGCTTCTGAGAGACCTTTGGTGAGCTTGCTCTTTGTTAATAATAGTTTGCTTGGCTGATCTATACATCTTGTGCCATCTTAAATTAATTTGCTACAACAGAAAGATATCCAGCTTTCCATTGCAGCCGTTCAGGAATCATGCCTGACCACTCTCGCAAATCTCCTTTCCGTGTCTATATCCGTTCAGCCCCCCATTGCACATGAACATTCTGTTTCTCTGCGTAGCTCACAAGGCTTACTTGTGCCTGCAATAGCTGCTGTTGAGACGCAGTCGAACACCAGTGCTTTAGGAGCTCTGGTCCACGCACTTCGAGTCTTGGACGGGATCGTCGACTACGGGGGTTCACACCCTCTTGCTGAGGGAGGAAGCCGAGACATTGTTCGTGAAGCGACTCTGCTCATGCAACTACGCGACCTAGTTGATGCGCACGTGCCTTCAATGCATCGCCATGACGCACACCTCGCACAAGCCATCGTTGGCCTCTTAACAGACCTTCATCAGCTTTCAACATCGTTTGTCTCAACTCCAGAATTATCACTTTCGTTATCCTCTGGGCAGCCCACCTCCCAATCCTCTCCGCAGTTACCTTCAACACCCGCCACAGAAAATGATCCACATACCGTCTTAACAACTCTGCAAAGGCAACTCTCTTCCCTCCAACCTAGCAACAGCGTTGACGCTTCGACATCCACAGCAACTCCCACCGCCGCACCCGCACAGCACCTGCAGGCGGCTTTACTTTGGGCTCGGATAGACGAACAATTAGCAACTGTTGTTGCACTGTGTAAGACACGCGGGTTGGCTAATTCTGATCTACAAATCCCCGATAATACAGACCCATTTTCAGACGCAGCTGCTATTTCCGGAGGAGTAGAACCTACGGAATCAAATGTGGATGCACCTAGCGTTCCCTCGTTTGACGAAGACCATCTGCCCCCGCAGTATGAATACGAGTACGATGTGGTCCATGGCGAACTACCACCCGCATATGCTACTGATCTTGCCATTGCATGCGGGTCACTTGGCGACCAGAAACAGATGTCGGAGTATCCTCCCGAGAAGGCTTCTGGGGAATTCAGTGCCCTGTCGCAGAGGGTGTCACATGCGCACCAGTCAACTTCGGTTGATCTCGATCTAGTCACGGGGGCCATCGACCGGTTATACGCGGCCGCGCCCCAATTGACTAACCAGCGAGTCGAACTCCGGCAGAAGAAGATCGCCCAGATGAAGAAGGCTCAGCGTACAAATAACAAAGGGAAGGCACGTGAGGTCACCTCTGTTCAGGATCCCGAGCTGGATAAGATGCTTGACTTGCTGGGAAGGGCTAGCTCGCGAGAGATCCCAGATCAAAGTGTCGTTATTGATCCGACCCGAAAACCACGAGTAAAGAAGAAACAGGACCTGAAAGAACAGGTGAATATTGACCAAATACTCAGAAACTTCTCACTTAGTGCATCACAGCGTTATACATACATCGAGCATATTGTCCAGCGCTCCACTGCTGGCCGGCTCCACTCGCAAGATGCAACATCTTCCAGTATTCCATCCCTGACTGTCAATCCTCGGTCACAAAATAGTCCTGTCACTGAGAATGAGCAGATACGAAGTAATCATTCATTACGGGAGGGTGGTGGTGCGGAGGTGTCCAAAGGTGCTCTAGCAGCACCCGAAATGAAGAACAGGTCAGACAGCTTAACGGTCCCTACACACAAGGAGTCACGCAGCAGGAGTGCTTCTGCGCCGCATCTTGCATTTTTTAGGTCTATGTCGTGGGATCGTTCTTACACGGCGAGCTCGACACAAGATTCGCATTCACATGGATCAAAGAATTCTTCATCTTCTGTAAGACGATTTTCAGAGAGGTTCGGGAGTAAGAGCCGCCCCACCTCGTCGGGAGGCCCAACTATAAGCGGTGAGTTTCTTTTCAAAGGTGTATCGGACTGTTGAAGTATTGATTCATCCCCATAGGCGCGCTTGATGTCGTGTATATAGCCGAGCATCACGAGACGCTTAAACATGTCCTGGTCTTTGTTTCGCTACCGCGGTCTTTCTCATCAAATGGCAACTTTAATCTGAATGGACAGTCGTCCTCATCAGGGACGCTGACAGCCGAGGTTCTCGCTGACATGATCGGTCAAACACGTGGCGACCAGCTCTTGCTGCGACTGTCTGGAACCCCTTCCCTCCCGCTCGGGCTTCCGGTCTCTGTCACTCCCGGTTTGAAAAATGCCCTCGCGAAGGGTACGCACTGGGAAATTAAGCTCAGTTGTGCTCAGCGGACCCAGTCGCTCAGTACTCGCAACAGCATGAATGTCACCCCTAGCGAAAACGACGACTCACCATTGCTCTCAGCTTCTCAGCTTACTACCCTCCTGCCGATATCCTATACTTGTGTATCCTGCCTCCTCCCACTCGTCACTCCGGCTCCAACACAATACCGGGACCTCCCATCCGAGTACTGGGAAGAGCTCGTTGATGCTTGGATGTGTCACCCTGAGGGGCAGACACTCGCAGATCTTAAGGTGAATATGCGTGGGGGAGCAGGCAAGAGTGGACAGAGTTTTGGCTTTTGGCCGGCGGAGGGTGAAGCGCTTGTAGGTGGAAGTTACATATTGTTTGAGGGGCGCGCGGTCGTTGGAGGGAATGTAAGGGAAGTCATCACCAGCGTGAGTCTACTCTTTTATATATTTGTTTCCTGGTTGTTTGGGGTCGATGGACGATTAAGAAGACCGACACCGTTCTTCCACCGGTGCACCCTGTTTTCCCCGCTGGAGCCCATGCTGGTTCTAGTGGGGAAAGCATGGGGATTTTCGGTTGATACCAGACGTCCGAGAGTAAGCTACAGCCCTCTTAACAAACTCTTTTCGCCAAGGACAGTGCAATGAGAGCTACACTTGAGGACACATCTCCTTTTCCCACAATTTGATTTTTGTATCCCTGAATTGGTACTAACGCGTTTGACTGTTAGCGTGGTGATAGTGCATGTTTGATCCGGTGCCTATGTGGTGCGATCGTCGGGCGGCGGCAAGAACACAAATTGGAAAATGGATCCACCCTGAGGATGTATCGTTTATCAAAGTATGCTATCCGGCTAATCAGTCCGGCTGCCGAGTAAGTCACTGTTTCACGCTGAATGAGGCCTTGCTAAAATCACTATCTGTGTCCCTGCAGATGTCCCAAGATTCCAATGTCAGCATTCATAGTCCGCGATATGATTGAACACGTGCAGGCACATGCGACCTACCGCTTTGTACTGTCCGATGAAGAGGAAGAAAAGCCCAGGATTTTGGTGCGTATATAAGTCCCGCAGTTTCTTCTTCCAGCCTAAATTATACTATCAAGGTTTGGTTGTTCAAGCCGAGAATCCGGATATCATATATGCTTTCTTCGCCACTATTCCTGCCGCGAAATGACTCTATCGAGGCGTCCAAGGTGTTGTACAAAATCCTCGGTCCAGATTCGACAACGGATATAAAAGAGTGGGTCTTGTAGTTCATATATCAGAACGGTGTTGATTTAACATCTTGACAGACTGCTTAACAAGTACCCTGGCTTCCCTCAAGCTGAGCATTTGTTCTACCCGATGGACGTGTGTAGGAAGTTAGCTGCGTTACTCTCGGAAAGTACGCGCGCGTACCCCGAGAGTCTGCGGACGATGACTGGGCTGGAGGTGGGCTGGTTGCATCGTGGATAAGATCTTAGACCCTGGTAACACCGGAAACTCCGGACGTCACTCTCATTTGCACGTATATTTCTCTTGTTCGTTCTGGTCTCACTGCGTTACAACTCCGTTCATTTTCATTTCTTTTGGGTTCCATCTGCACGCATGCATATTTACATTGTATAAAGATTTACCGACACCGGATTTTCCACCTCGTAGAATGCACCATATGGTCTCTTTGGAAAAGTATTACATGGTGTGCCATGAAGATTTCTGTGTCCGTGGCGATGAGGCCATCCTTCGGGCCGACATATCAAGTCCTGACATTCAAATGACAGTTTCCAAACCCAAAGCAGTGGCTCGCCTACGGTTTAGTAGTAAGGGTCAATATTCGTTTTCCCCGTGTGCCTAAGAAAATGTATGTACAGATTACGATGCATGGTGACGACTTGTCCATTATTCCGCTCGGCCACCCCTATGCAGACCTGGCATCTACTAATCTCGAGTTCAGTAGAGGCCATTCCAGGCAATCCACGTTGAACTCGCATAAGCACTCGGGAATTAGGTATTCTTACAATCATATCCGATAATAGGGACGATGAAGGCACAGCAACCAGGATATAACTTGAAGTCCATAAAACTGCTAGAATGCGTCAGATAAAACAGCGAACTCCACCATCTTCAGGGAACAATTTCCTTCTCCTTCCCTTTCCTCGAGGGCGGTGGAGATCCCAAGGGTAGACTTGGTGAACTCGCTGCTGCAGCAACGCTCGTTAATGACGCAAGTCGTCTCGTGCCCTTGAACCCAGCAGAAGGTGATGCTGGAATATGAGAGGATGAATGTGAAGGACTGCCCGGTGAAGAAGCATTCGCCCGGACGAAGGGTTTCGTAGGCGTTGTTTGTGATTCAGAATGTGTCTGTGTCTCGCCTTGATTGGCTTCGGTGAGGAGAAATTCGACCCACAAACGGGAAAACGACTTGCAAAAATTAATGAGATCAGCGTTGAAGACATGATTGAGAAATATACTGTCTACTTACCTCTGTCTCATCCGTTTTCTCGAGCTCGATAGATTTCCTCTTTGACGGTGAATTAAGGACGTTGGATGAACGGCTCCAGAGGGACGGCGAGGAATTAGCGCCATTACTTTGCGCACGCTGTAAACCTGCCCTTTCGCGCTCAGCATCGCTCCATGATAATATGGTTGCCAGTAAAGATAACATCTCGAATCGTTTTGAGTCCGCGCGAGGTGTCGAGAGGAAAGAGAGGAGAACATTAGTGACAAGTTGCCTGTCGACGTTAGTGTCAGAGGAATTTCTCCGGAGTCGACGCAGGGCCTCTATCAGGTGTTCGTTGAGGATGACATCTGGGAGAACACGGTAAATGACACCAAAATCGCACGCGCAGGAACGAAACCGAACATACTTTGATGTCTGAGTTTCCCTACAATGGCATTCTTCTCCTTTAGCTCTCTTTCTAGTTCCTGTGTTCTCGACGAGCTTGTCTTGGTCTCTTCCAACTGAAGCTGAGGAACGATACCGAGTTAGTAATTGTAACCAGAAACTCAGCAACAGGCTTACCTCCGCGTCTAATGCACGTCTCTTATACTCTGCAAGTGATAACGTGACCTCATCAAGTCGCGACTTGTAGTCTTTTACTGCCTGTTGTAGCTCATGTTCTTTCGCTGAGGGCACTCGGATCGGTGCATGGAAGGGAGAGAGCGGGAAGGAACTCAACTGACCTATCTGAAAGTCTTCCAGGACAGACTGTAGGTTGGAGGCAGTCAACTTGGCGGCTTCAAGCTGTGCTAATTCTCGATCTCGGGCCTCGTGTTCTATCTCCAAGTCACGCCGAAGGGACTCCACCATCGAGCGCGCCTCATCAGCGGCTACCTTGTCCTGCATAGCCGCTTGTTCCCATTCGTCCCTATCGATACGACACCGTTCAAGCTCACCCATGGTCTCGCGTAGCTCACGTTCCCTTTGGATGGTCTCTTGTGCGTTCTCGCTAAGTGCCCTACTTCGCATAGAATCTAGTTCTCGTGTAGTCCTCTCTGCCTCTTCATGTGAGGCAATAAGCTCAGCTTTGAGGGTCTCTACGGTTGAGACCAGATCCTCATTTTGAGCTCCAAGCTGCTGAATCTGCTGTTCCCTCCGATCGAGTTCTTCCTGGCCGACTAGATTAAACCAAGGTGCAAAGCATGGGGTCACCAACGAGCACGTACGGCATCCTGCTTAAGCTTGGTACCGAGAGATGTTCGCATGGCAGTGAGTTTGGCGAGGAGGCTATGGTATTGCGTGGACAGGTTCTCCTTCTCCTCTAATGCTTGTCGGAGCTTCCTTTGCAAAGACTCGCTGTCGTCTCCATTTTCTGGAGTATGGGCGCGGCCATTCATGGCTGGGTGGGCTGCGGGGGACGACGTGGAGCCTCGCTCGCTGTCCGTGTCGAGAGACGAGCGATCGTCCATGAGCGCAGCTGAGTTTGTGTCCGACGACGAGGACCGTCCGTTCAACGGGCGAGTCTGATATGGGGTCGTCCTGAATGCGATGGCGAGCTGCTGAGGCATTCGTGTCATCGGCGAGGAGAAATAGCGCTGTATTACGTAATGGGTGCCCCTATGCACCAAGCTCATTCCACGAGTTCTTGGACAAAAGTACGGCCTTGTCGAGCCAACTGACTGCAAAAATGTGACATTGTCCTCATTTTCCAGAACAAAGAACAGAGAATCGATGTATCAATGAACATTACAGCGGGTGCACGACAAAGACCTCATTTATTGTTCACGTGACCGTCGCATGGTGGACGTTGCATTTGGACGCTGCTCGTCGTCGATCCCGACAAAGCGAAGAGGAACAAAAGAAACGCGTCTGGGGACAATAAAAGGTCAAGCTGACCAGCCGCTCACCTGCTTATTGTCCTTGGCCGCCAGCATTGGGTCGATAGCGTCTACTGACCGCCTCTCAGACTTTCCAGATGGACAGCGATAACCATATGCTGGTAGATATTCCTGTAGCGGTAGATGAACCAGACGACGTCGTTCGTTGGGTGCCATCTCAAACGTCGAACCCGGTCTTGCAGGCACTTATACACCAGGCAGAGCAAGACAAGAAGAGTGAGTCACGTCTTTCCTTCCCTCTCGCCAGCCTATCTCTTCTACTTACCACGATTCACCATCGTTCGTATACCGACACTTGCCAATTACAGGTCAACCTTCGCTACCATGTATATCTGAGCCGCTCTGGACTCATACTCTTCCATCCACTACTTCCACTCTTTGGCCCTCGAGCACAGCCCCGCCAACTTCGCGTGTGTCGTCACTGCCCTCTTTTGGGGACACATCCTTTTTAGTGCCTCCCCGCGAGCCAAGTGGCTCAGACCCCTCGTCCTCTTCGAGCTCTGGACGCACCAAAATTTCTTCAGGTGCTCATCGCAAACCCCTTTCGGCTTCTGTAAATCATCCTGCGCGCTCAGGGCGAACAACATCCAAACACGATCCTCTATCAAAGCGTCCTAGGTCATCCTCATACTCCTCTTCTGGCAAGGAAAAGCCCAAGGCGAGTCTTGCTGATCGCGAACAGGATCCAGATGCAGCTGCATTTTTGGCACTCCTCAGGGATGTGTCAAAACAACTGGATGACAACGCGAGGAAGAAACAGATTGTTTCCACCAAGCTTAAGGATCAGAGACAACGGGGAGACGCGGAGGGAGATGAGACACACCAGTCCTCATTCCGCGGAAGTCACATTCCACCACCTGCCCGGGAGAGGGGGAAAGAAGGGGAGAGAGCGAGAGCAGGCGGGAGTCACGACTTGTCATTAAATGGCTCGAGTCTGGTCCCGGATACTTCATTCGATACTGTGTCTCAGCGAACGGACCAAAGGCCCGGTGAAACGTTTGGGGTTCCCTGCCGCAATACCAACGTCCCAGTCAAATCAACACCTTCCGCCCAGCTCAACTGTAACCCCAGTGGAAGGTCTATGACGAAGTCTGCCACTTCGGGCTCTCGCACCATAATGAGGGTTTCCAGTATGGACCCCAACGTGCCTTCCCGGCGAGACCCTGTATCCCATACTCGTAACTTAAGCAGGACTACGAGTACATCTACAATTACTTCAGGTTCCCACCACGAACATGCCGCATATCAGCCAATCACTCCCACTTTTGATCGTCATACACGAGTCCAAGTGTCAGTGAGCGGTAACGTTGCCGGGGAACGCCTAAAGCACACCGGTACTGTGACAGAAGATAGCCCTATGGCTGTCGATCCTGACACGAGTTCTGGAGACCGTACTAATTCGGATAATACTATGGATGTTCCATCGTTCCCCAAATCGAAACCATGTCCCAAGGTACCAGATAATTCCAAGCCGCAGCCCGTGACGTGCACTCAACGACCTGCAGTCGGGCAAGCGCGTTCCACACCTCACCGTCCCCCGGCACTTGGCATGCGACGACCCGTAATAACGCCTAGTAATGGCCCTGGTAGTGCATCGGCTTTCCCATCTCCCTCCCAATACGGTGCCCCGTCACAACCACCGAAAGCCACAGCTGTTCCACGGTTTAAGCCACCTCTCCCAAAACCGCCAATTCTGAAGGGCTCTACTGGGTCTGCTTATAGCAGACCCAGTAGTGTGGTTAATGGGACCGAGAGCGATATTACCCGACTTGGCGTTGGAGCGGGGCCGCGATCCCCGGCCAAGGTGGCTTGTGTGTGTCCTGAGACGGACCCTGATTCATCATTTGATATATCCTTTGATATGGATGCGGACATGTTAGAGGAGGCCATGCGACCCTATGATTGATGGAGGTACTAACGGTCTACTGACGGTGCGAGTGGGCTGGAATTATACATCAGAAATACTTACAAGTTACACTATACAATTGTTGACGTATTCCATACTATACTCGCTTCTAAAGGGATAGTTTCCCTACTTAGTTCTCCTTGCCAGCATTATAGATCATGACGGTCCTCAGGCGGGTCGCTTGGTGAGACGTCGGACCCACACCAGCTTGTAGTGAGGTTATGCTGCATTTGTAACAGGCTATTTCCTGGTAGGTCTAGGTTGCAATCCAGTGATAGGACTTGCTTTCTGCAGTCCGCGACCATATCTTGCAACAGTAGGACGCGTGGTCTGCCAGCATTGCCAGGTCTCACCAATTCCCTCTGGCCGCGTGTTTCAGGCAGAACTCACACAGACAGCGAGACCAGGAATGTTACAAGGGACGACTTCGTATCTAACCCAGTTACCGGTAGAGCTGATTTGCGAGGTATTGAGTTACCTCACCGCCAATGAGCTCGCCCGAGTGCGACAAGTATGTCCCCATCATTCATCGTCTTGTCTTCCACCGGGCAAACCATTTGACCGTCCCCAGATATGTAAAGTGATCAGGGCTGTGGTAGACCACTCTGAACAGCTGCAGTACATCATCGACCTAGGATTCCTTCGCATGTTAGAGATCCCTTCAGATCGGTGCCGTGGTCCCGTCGCCACCCGCCGCAAGGAGCTCCGCGAGTTTGAAACGTCGTGGCGGAATGTAAGGTACAGGCGCAAATGCGACTTCCAGCTTCTGACGTCTGGTCTCGTGTACGATTTTGTGGGAGGTATCTATGCCTTGGCCGGCGAAGGCTATTTGCACTTCTCCATCTTACCTCACAATCCCCGTGAGGACTCGCAGCCCATACGTACTTGGTCCCACCCCGTAGACATGGCAATTCTAATTGACTTCACGTTCTGCCCTGCTCAGGACCTTTTGGTCATCGTGAGCCTGGCCGCCAATGAGTAAGCCTTTTGTCGAATCCCCTCACCCTTCCGCGTGTTTGCCACTTAACGTCCCCTTATCAGTCACCACCACTGTTACGATCTACATCTGCGCTCTCTATCCACGAATAAATCTCATCCAGGAGCTGTGTCGTCAGTACTCAAGGCAGTCAACGATCGGCAGTACCCATTTTACCATGCCAACGGGCCTGTCAAGGTCCAGGTTCTCGATAAATATCTGGCTATATTGTGCCGTGAGGTGGTTGTTGAGGGCGATGAAATAACAGATTACTTCCAGCTCTGGGAGTGGAGAACGGACAAAGATGCTAAAGTACGTGGATTACAGATGTTTCACATCCATCGTGATAGCAACTAGAATCCCAGTTCACTATGCAATTTACCGAAAGTATGACCGATTTCATATTCCTGGCAGAAGACAGGTTCCTCCTCCTTGCCGACGATGGGACCATTTCTATCTTCTCTTTTGTTGGTGATCAAAACCTAATTGCTCCACAATGTACTGCGAAGTTGGCCATGCCTGCTTTGATGCGGGACTGGCATTTCGCAGATGCTTTCCTTGGCGGAAATCCCGCACCGGCGATAGGCGCTATGACGAACTTCTCTCGCCCTTGGGTTGAGAATGGGGAATCGCCAATGTTCCACCCCACTGCCGATGACCAGCTTCTGGCCTTCCACGTAACGGTCTATCGTATGACTAACGAGGATGACATGCACTCCTATGTCTTCTTTGTATTCCGCAGTGAGCTTCTCGGCCTCCAGTCACTTTACGAGAAGGAATTTAGGAAGCAAGAAGGTTCCCAGAGATCGTGTCTACCGTACTCCATATGGGGGAGATCTCGGGCGCATTGGTCCCCTGGCAATTACGTGGATTGGCAGAACTCAGTGTACGGGTATCGCACGGTAGAACTGCTCAACGACAGTCAAATACTGTTCTCGACGGAACCACGCAGGTTACGTGTGAGGGACTTTAATCCGAACCTGCTTTATTCCTTTCCTCGGGTTGGGGAAAGCGGACATCTGTGCCCACTTGAACGCCGCCATGGATCCCAATTCGAGCGTGGAAATGGATACTCAGTGTATCGCATTGGGATTTCGGCTGAAGCCATAGGATCACCCGCCTGTATCAAGCCATTCGCGGAGCCTTGGGGAAATGGCCTGCCGCACAGTGAAGTTGTCACTGAAGAGACCTTCAATGCGACAGAGGTGATGATGGACGAGGGCCGTATTCTATTGTTCAGTGTACGTACTTATCGTCTGCCTCACGGAATTCGAGAACAGTTTTTCTGATTGTTGGCGCCTCCACCAGCGCGATACCAGTAAAGATCTGTTAAATCTCGATGTTCTTGTCATGTAGATGGCAAGAATCGCTGGGTTAATTAGGGTTCTTGTTACCTCACCCCTCGATGAGGACTGCATGCACTACTGTTGGCTGGTCTCTCCTATCGAGACAACCACCAGCTGGCGCTCCGAGGTGGGCCGAGGAACTAGTGGGGTATGGGGTAACATGTCACAACTGTGACCTACATGACACACAGAGCAACATTAGTGACACTGGGCCGTGGACGATTTCTTTGACTACGGAATGCGGTGATAGGAACGATTAGAGATGAATATAATCTACACTTCTTGGCTCTCAAGACTCTGTTTCTTTGATTTGGTGGGGAGGAGCTACAGGAACCCGGTGAGACCTTCGCATAAGATGATGGAATCACAATTTACCGCAGGGTTGATGTAAGGTACGACACCTCCCTCGGATATCACAACTTTATCAAGCAACTTGTTCAGCCTGAGGTAGTGAATTAGCTCCTCGGCGAAGAAATGCGTGGGAAAGGGGCTCACTCCTCGTCGTTGCGAACGGCTAGCTGAATATGCCTTGGGTTGATTCGGCGTTTTTTGTTATCTCTAGCTGCGTTACCAGCAAGTTCCAGGATTTCGGCAGCCAGATATTCCAGAACCGCAGCCAGGTACACTATGCATATACGCTGTGCTCAGGACAGCAGACGGGAATATTCGGATGAAAGAATGGAAAATGGGGTGGCTCACCCGGCGCTCCTGAGCCAATACGTTTCCCATAGTTGACGCGCCTTAGCATGCGGTGAATACGACCGACGGGGAATTGGAGGCCAGCTCGAGTGGAGCGTGCTACATTCTTCCCGCTCTCGTGGGCCTTCCCCCCACCTTTCCCCTTACCGACAGTCTTGCCTCCTCGTTTTCCCTTGCCGGTTTCTTTAGCCATGGCTGCGTTGACGTTGAACTCTGTACAGTCGCGATGCGCGTCAAGACACGCCAGAGCTTGGGGCGCGTGTAAGCGCCAAACAAAGCCAGCGTCACGTGCCCCTATAAATAGGAGTCTTTCGTCATGAACATTGACCTCTTTCATCTTATCTGCCAACCAAGCCTGTAGCAAGCTATTGGTACTTGAAACCGCCGCATTTTATTTATTTATTCGTTTAGAGTCTCGATAGTCATGCCTCCAAAGCCTGCATCCACTGGTGGAAAAGGCCCGGCGGCGGCGGCGAAGACCCCAGCCAAAACAACCGAGGGAGTCAAGGCAGGAAAAAAGACTGCCAAGACAGCGGCTCCCAGTACTGCAGGAGAAGAAAAGAAGAGGGGTAGGAAACGAGTCCGCAAGGAGACTTGGTCTTCTTACATTTACAAAGGCAAGTGCTAATACCATCCGCATGAGCCGAACCAGGTTTGATTCGTGTCCTCTGCAGTCCTGAAGCAAATTCATCCCGACACGGGAATTTCCAACAAGGCTATGGCCATTTTGAACTCCTTCGTGAACGACATATTCGAGCGTGTTGCGACCGAGGCGTCCAGTAAGTCAATCTGCGGAACGTGCTCGGGGGCTAATTACTAACTGACAAACAGAATTGGCTGCATACTCAAAGAAGTCGACGATTTCATCCCGTGAAATTCAGACAGCTGTACGACTCATTCTACCTGGAGAGCTTGCAAAGCACGCTATTTCCGAGGGTACCAAGTCAGTAACCAAGGTGTGTTTCACATCTTTCTACGGCAACTTACGCCACTCACTTTGATCACAGTACTCTAGCTCTGGGGGAACCAAGTAGGCGGATCTCGTTCTCATCTTACTGTATCCTTAGTCGGGGGATCCGTGTCCTGTTGCATCTGGTGTATCTTTATGTTACAACTCTAAGTTTTGTATTTGCTACGGCCAGTGGACATTCGGTCCGATTGATTATGACTTGATTGCAAAACGCGACTCGATAGGTCTCAATGTAAGATTATGAGGTGCCGCATGACCCACGCAGTGTTCTGGTTATGCCACCCAAATTGAAATACTGAGTGTTGATACGCTTCAACGCAGTACTGACGACATATCCACTTTCTAGTCTGGAGGGCGTAGCGCGGAACACCGCTCCCGGGTAAGCGTGCAGTTGATATAACGAACAGGGAATGCCCTTCAACGCCCGGATGGTAAGCCACTGGCCTGGGCGACGCAATGCGGCGTTCGCCCACCCCACAGACGTCTCAGCGCTGCTAAGTATGTCATGATAACTACTGTAAAGTTGGCCAGGAACGACCCAAAAACGAGGTTAACATCCACGGTTGGCATGTGAAGCGTATGTTATTATTACAACTGATTGTAGCACTGACTTATTCCGTATTTATCATTCTGCTGGGGGGGTCTGTTGGTATGTGAAAGCGCTGAGTATGTGGTAGGTTCCAAGTGTGTCCTATTAGAGGGAATGTAGAAAGTGTAGGGCAATCAGATTACATACATAGGGGCTGTGAGGGTGACTTCTTTTTTCAGGGTGACACCGCAGACAAATTTCTGACAGTTTGTCCTCAACACAACGAATATCTATCCAATCGCGCTACAAATTGGTTGAAGCCTACGTTCAAGTGCCGGACGACCAGTCAAGCGACTCTTCCATGAGTTCCAAGTGAGCCTACAGCTCTTGACCTAATGACCTTGCCCATGCTCCAACTGGTATCATTTGCCACCAGACAACTTCACCATATAACGGACATTACAGACAACGGAGAAGTGGAAGCCAGATGTTCGCAAAGGCTCCAAAATAACCCTTTAGTCCCTCCATCAGACGGCTCATGTCCCATCAATCAACTTCCACCCGAAATTTTGTCTCTCATTTTTGAACATGGGACTGCGGCGGAAAACCTCGAAGAAACAAATGAGGAAGGGTCTGTGACTTGGAGCGAGTTTCAGGAGCGCCGAGGTGAGGATAAAGAAGAGGAAGGTTCTGGCGATCAAAAGGGTCAAGTCCAGGAAGAGAAAGACGAACACGAATCTGATGAAGAGGGATCCGACTCAGACTGCGAATGCTGTGACGATGATAGCGAACTGTCCAGCGACTCGGAGATTTTTTTGCCTTTCCGATTTGCTGTCTCCCAAGTATGCAGACACTGGCGTACCGTTGCGCTAGAAACCCCCTCGCTCTGGACAAAGATTGAAATCTCGTGTATGGACCAGTCTCCTTACGAGAAAGTGACTGCCTTCTTGGAGCGTAGCAAAAGTCTTCCACTGGACATTTACATCGATTCTGAGCCCCCGGATGACCTCTCGGACGATGAAGATGTACCAGAAGAGCTCTCTAAAGTTGACCTCGACAGGCTCCTTGCTCTCTTGGTTCCCCACGTTCCTAGATGGGGTTCATTAGAAGTCCATGTTGGATCTTATGAGCACATGTACACAATCCTGAAGGCAGTCTCGGATCCATCCGTTCCTCCCGCTGCTCAACTCCGGGATCTCCAGTTATACCATCACGAAGAATCCGATGACGATGACACTACGTTTTCCAAACCGGAATACTCTGATCACTTTACGCTTTTCAGCGGTTCTGCGCCGCAAATCCGAAGCATCAGTCTATGGGGTGTACACGTCGACTGGACTCAAAGTTGGCTTCGGTCTCCTCACCTGGTCGAACTCGAACTTGCTTATCATACGCAAGATGTTCGCGCTCATTGGTCTACCTTTTCTGCTATGTTGCGTGCCGCAGCACCCACGCTCGAGAAGCTGTGTTTCGAACAGTCGGGTCCTTCTGGGTCTCCTGGTGAATGGACTATTGAACCGGGTACCCCGGAATGGAGCATCGACGTGAATAATCCGATTTTACTTCCTAAACTGATCCAACTCGAGCTCGCGTTTATCCCGCCCTTTGAAGTCGTTTCGCTCTTGCGGAAATTATGTATGCCCTCGCTCAAGGGCCTCGCTCTCGACTTTGATGACGAGGACTATACCGATCTCGTCACGTACTTAGTTGGACCTACGACTACCGCCGCTACCACGGCCATAGCTTCCACCTCCTCATGCAAGGAACCACCCAGTCTGCTTAGAGGCCTCGAGTCTTTGAAAATCGCTGGTTTACCATGCAACGAGCAAAGCATAGAACAGATGTACAGCGAGCTTGTGAACCTCGAGTCACTCAACCTATCCATGTACCATCTTTCTTCTCCATTCTTCGGAAACCTCTACCCGCAACCACCGCTGAAGTTGGAGGAGAGTGGAGTCCCTGATACCACCGTGTCCTACCGTGTCCTCCTTCCCCGTTTGACGACACTCTTTATTTCCAATGTCCCCGGTCACGTCGTTCGACATTTTGTGCATGAGCGACAACGGGTTGGTGCACCCTTGCGGATGGTGTTTGTAGATCAGAACACAATTGTTACCCCCGAAGAAGAAAGCTGGTTAAAGAAGAATTTGGAGAAGTTTGACTATTTTGAAGGGAGCGACGATGAAGATTCAGATGACGAGGAGTCCCTCGGTCCGTCCTGTGTGTGGGATTCATGCGAGGATTGGGATGCGGAAAACGATTCATTTGAATCGGGTTCAGAGTGAAGTGATTTTTTCCGTATTTCTTTGTATGGAGAGGATGGACTGATATGTTTCATCAGAGTCATGGAAGGGTGTAACACAGAGTGGGTAGAAATGTGTATTCAGCGAATAGAGTATAAAGTTTAGTTATCTTCGGAGTCCCCCATCACCATCGGACACAACGATGGGAGTCGTATCAAGTCAATTTGTGGGGGGGAAAAACATCGCCCTTTGCAAGTTAAGATGAAGGGATAACGCGCGACTAACTCAGAGAACTCCCCCGGGGTGCTGCCCTACCACTAACCCAAACTTCCAAAAGACTTACGGGAAATACTTTATACAACAGCCCTAATTATCTTTACTTAAATCTAGTGTCAGTGAGTGGTCCTGCTAACGTTAGTATCCGTGAGACGACCTGTCGCGGTTACACTTCAAGTGGCTCGAGTTTGGATCTTGTATTTCGGCGGCTGACACGTAATACGACTTCTCGATCGAAACGCTGACGGGGCCACCGACACTCCCTCCATTCCCGGCTGATTCAAACACGTCGCGCGCAAGCTGGCTGCTCTGATCATCCACAACATCCCCCAAGTAATCGGCTGGACCCCATATGTTTTTTCCCCGCCTAGATAACGCTTCTTCAGCCTCCGGACGCATGGTGGCGTCGTGTCCCTCCCAAGTTATTTATGTAGCCTTCTCAAGTATGCATTGGATCTGGGGAGGGAAATCGGTGAAACAGCCAGACCGGGTTGTGGGCTTTGTCAAAGCGTAAAAAGCTCATGTTTTTGACGTCCGCACCCAAAGAACCGGGAGGTAAGTTAATTCAGTGGCCGCCCGGTCGGAGTGTACGTGGATGTCCACGTTCTCAACTGCATTCCCATCATGGGGATAGCAATTTTCGGCAGCTGTTGGTGAAGGTGATTTTTACTCGTCGTCCTTGACCCTCCCTCCAGTCGTGGTTGGACCCGACGAAGTCAAGCACGCTCGAACCACATTAGCCATTTTCCCAGTCTAAGAAGTTTCGCGTCCAGATGCGATAGGAGAGTATGTGAGTAACATCTATTTGAAATGTCTCACCTGTCGATTAGTAAGCCGCACGACCTTGAGCCTTTCGTATCATATAATGATCACGGAGATGGCCATTGGCCAGTGCAGGAAGGGCATGTTTTATCGGGTATGACAATGATATGATGGTGCTAATGATGATATGATCACGATGGGAAGCTTACTACAGCCAGGGTAGCTTCGCGATTTGAATTGATAAAGAAACTCGAATCGCATGCTAGGAATCGGTTTGGTGGTGTTTCTTTCTTCTGGCTTACACTGAATCACTGACAGTGGACCCCATGCCATCAGACACTCTGGGTAGGGTTATTGCGAGTTTGGCAGCAGGGTTAGATGACACGGACTTTGTTACTCGCCGCCCTGCAACTGCAGCATATAGCATCTGCATGCAGGGGTGAACTCAATTAAACTTCCCACATGTGCATTCCGACCTTGCAGGACGAATCTCGCACGCCGTCGACGTAGGTTCACGCTCATCCGTTCCGCTCCGGTTTCACTAGCTTCACTTACTAAACCATATTCTTCACCGTGGGTCTAGCGTTGTAACCTGGGAATTCAGAATCACGCTGTGCGCCGCATAAGCTGATCAAGCATGGTCGTCCAAGGCGGATCCAATCGCATCAGTGGATATCATGCGGGCCGGATTACATTAGAAAACGATGACTGATTGTTGCATACGTTATTATATGGGCATGCCCCCATCCCCTGGTACCCCGATATTTCTTATGTTTTCCGTGACATGGGATGGGGTTCTCCATTTTCGTAGCGTCCTCGCCACGTTTCCCACGTCATTGACCAGCATTTGACCCTCATTCCCTCCCACAGAACAATGTACGCCGTGAAACTTTTTTCATGATCGACCCCACGGTGTCCGCTGTATCCCGCGTTAATTAGCAGCAAGACGACGTCTGAGTGACTCACTAGTACCAGGGGGACACCGTAATATCATAACATGTCAAGGTGCAGTACCGGTCGTGTTCTTTGGACGCCTCCTTCTTTCATTAGCGTGCCCCTTTAGTGCAACAATCTAACCTTGCAAGTACTGAACCTTCACATTATGTCAGGCGCATTTTCACAGGCTATCGCTCGCCCTCGACACACCCATATGGACATATGTGCATAACTTATCTCATAACAGTACACATACAACACCCACGTACGTACACAGGATATCGATGGTTACTTGAACCTGAAAAGCATCATAATCAGATCTACAGCATCTCGATGACGTGACGGTTAAATGTAAGCTTTTTTTTTCCTCCTGGCTTCCGTCAAGTGCCCGGTATCTAATAAATTACATACCCGCTACATACGTATTCAGGTTCGTTTCCATTTTTTCCTGCGAGTGACCGGTTTGGCGCCGCGTTCTAACGCGCGTTCTTCAACTTCGGGTTGCCTTCTTTTCAATATAATGTGCCGTCATTGGCAAGGATCCAGTGTTAGTGTGTAGTTGGCTATCTACTCACACTAGCAAAACTCCGCCGATGTTCCACATTTCTCAGAGGTGAGTGGAAGTCATGCAACGCTACAGCATGTTCACATGTCGGAACGCAGTGTCATCTGGTCATCGCGGGAGAAGGCCATGTATGCACATACAAGTCCGTACGCAGACGCTGCATGAGTGCGTGGAACCATGTATATTGTGGTTGGTCCTCCCTCCGCAAGTTATAATACATACATCCTCGAGTTCTGGTTGGACAGCGGTGCGCAGTGATCGCACCGACATCCGGGGCCTGACAATCTCGCAGCTTGCAGGCCCCAGGGCATCCTCGTTGACAGCCTGGGGAGGCGAAGTACTGTCATGGATAGCATACATAGGACAACACACATATATATGTCTACTACACTTTTAGCCTTTCACGTGCTTGTAGTATCTCAAATACAAGTACTGATCAGATCATCAAAGAGATCGGGAGAGCTCTGCCTCGAGCTCGGCGATATGTATGTACGACCGCGTGTTGCATCGATGTAAGCATGAACACACGAGGGTTTGTCGAGACGTTACAATAGTCATTTGACTTGGAGGAGCTCCAACGAGCCTCACATACGGATCAGTTGATCCTGGTAGTTGCCTCATTAACCTCGCTGATCTGATATCCGTCCACAGCATGTAGCTTTTAAAGGAAGTCATCGCGTACGTGGCTAGCGGTTTCAGGCTCAAAGCCCGATCTAGTACAGAATGGAGGGTTTATTTTGAAAGCATGTACTTAAAAATGCTGAGTCAATATTAGAAACAAGGCCAACTGTCAGTGAGAATGATGAGGAGTGTAGCGCAGCGTTGCAACGTCCTTTAAATAACACAAAAGATAAAACAAGAATGCCGTGATGCGTCGTCGATGTGAGTGCGTTTACGAATAACGGAAAATGTGGGTCGTTGATGAATACCGATGAAATGAAGTGATATGGGGCAGAAAATCAAACAAGTTTCAAGGGGCGATCATAATTTTCATAACCATATTCCCTTGTTCATCCCTTCCCCGTGCTAATAGGTCGAATGCGCGAGCAGTCTCGTGCAGCCGTAGACGATGAGTAACCAGTTCTTCGACGTTTTGCAGCTTTCCTGAAGAAAGTAATGAAAGTGCGGTCGGGTAGGTGTTGGCATATCGAAACGAGCCCTGAATGTCCACCTCACGGAGGGCAGCTGCGGAGAGGGGTAACATGACGTTGCGCGACCCCATGCCGACCAACATAACCTTGCCTCCGGTTACGGCGGCCTGGCAACAACGATAAGTCATTAATCTCGAGAACCAGAATAGGAAGGGGCACACTTACGTATATTGACATTTGGATGCACGATTCGGCACCTGTGCATTCGAAGACGATATCGTAGCCGTCGGGTGTACCGAAATCTGCCAAGACTCGCTGAACGTTCTCTCTGGCCCGCCGAAGTTGTTCGTCGGTCGTCTTGGCCCTGTCGACCGCAGGTAAACAGTAGGTTCGAGAGGCGAAACCGTTTGATTTTGCGAAGTTCAAACGTTGTTGGTTGATGTCTACGGCTGCCACTTGGGCAGCACCATATGATTTTGCAAGGGCACAAGCAAGAATGCCGATAGAACCGACGCCGAAGACGAGAACGCGCTGGCCCCTTTGAAGGTTGGCTCGTCTGCTGGCATGTATCAAGACGGACAATGGTTCTGCCAGCGCTGCTACTTCGAAGGAGCAGTTGTCAGGCAGACTACGTAAGTGGAGTTAGGAGGGGACGATGGGACGTTAACGATATGTACGAACGGATGAAGGACATGTGATGGGTGGTTCATGCGATCTTGCAACGTGCCGTCGTGGTGAGGGATTGTTTTGGCACTACTGGCGAACCATAGTGATTTGCAGAGATTATACCGACCAGAGCGACAGTAGTCGCATTGGCGGCACATGACACCAGCCTCGATGGCGACACGTTGACCTGGAACGAGATGCTTCACGCCTGGGCCGACGGATACGACGACGCCAGCTGCTTCGTGACCAAGCACGAGAGGGCTCTGGACGGCGAAGTCACCGTTCCTGCCGTCGGTGTAGTAGTGTACTGAGACGAAAGGGTGAGCACGCGTAATACGGCGAGATAACCAAGGGAGACACGCACGATCGCTGCCACACAAGCCGGTGGACTTTACAGCGACCTGGACTTGGTCATATTGAGGGGGCCATACGAGACGGTCCTCAATGCGGATGTCCTTTGGGCCATAGAGGACGGCTGCACGGTGTGTGGGGAAAGCGACGGGGGACATTGCGAGGGATGTGGGTTGCTTGGGGGGGACATTTGGACCAGACAGAACTGACTTTTATGAGGCGAGACAAGACAGAGCGAGGCAGGAGATCGTTGTTCGCATATGGACATGTCTTTCCACCGGTCCGCATAGCCGCTGACAGAAATTCCAATATATGGAAACACTGTCATATAATATCAATTAACCATAACGGGATATATCTCGGGGGTCACCTTTCCCTCGGTCTAGACTGATCCGATGCTGGGGGTGGGTCTCCTCAATAAAATAATAATATGTGACATGCCTTGCCGGCACCCTCGGTTCAATCGCCGATGTGGGGTAAAAAAGTTATTATCCTCGTTTCAATCACGCCTCCGTGAAATTGTAATATAAGCAGATAGAACGCGTGTGGTGGGTGTAGTACTCGCCATGGATCCTACGCCAGATCGTCCATCACCGCAGCTCTTCTCCCTCACCGGGAAGAACGTTCTGATCACCGGAGCTACCAGAGGTAACGTCGCGCGTGAACTGTATTCAATATGATAAATTGGACTACATGTCAGGTATAGGAGCAGCGTGCGCGATTGCCTTGGCGCAGGCAGGCGCTGCAATCTGTCTGGTCCGGCGTCCACCCGAATCAGCAAAACAGCCGAATATGGACACTGTGAACACCATCCACGGGCTTGGAGGCAGCGTCAAAGTCGTCGAATGCGACCTAGGCGACATGGAGGCAGTCCGGGGCCTGTTTGACCGGGCGCTCGACGCCATGGGTGGCAGCATCCACGTTCTGGTGAACTGTGCAGGTATCCAGCGGAGATCTCCGAGCGTGGACTTTCCAGAGAAAGACTGGGATGATGTAAGACTTTATCGTATTGCACCATGGTAAACTTTACTCTCACTGACGTTTCCTTTTTGGAGGTCCTCGACGTGAACCTCAAATCTGTCTGGCTGCTCTCCCAGGCAGCGGGTCGCCACATGGTCCCCCTTAGAAGGGGTAAAATTATCAACTTCTGTTCCCTTCTCACATTCCAAGGTGGAATCACCGTGCCCGCTTACGCCTCTGCCAAAGGCGCACTCGGCCAGCTCACAAAGGCTCTTAGCAACGAATGGTCTCAGTTCAACGTCCAGGTCAATGGTATATGTCCAGGTTACGTCGCCACCGATATGTGCGTGCAACCTTTTTCTTTCCATCCCATCGGAGTTTCGTCCCTCGCGCCAATCCGCCACCCCCCCTTCGCGTTACATAGCCGCATCAACATTAATCCCCGATTTTCGGGGATCTCGAGTACTTAGCACGTCCCCTTATCTTGCTCACGCATCCCCTGACGTTGCGAATAACGGGGTATCCACCTTGCGTATAGGAATGAACGGCTTCTGGAAGACCCAGTCAGGTACAAGCAGATCTCGGAGCGGATCCCCGCTGGAAGGTGGGGTACCCCCCGCGACTACGCTGGCCCTGTCGTCTTTCTCGCCAGCGATGCAAGTCAATACGTCTGCGGGGAACTTCTTGTTGTCGACGGCGTACGTCCCATTTGACATGTTCTTGGCGTCAACTGTCGTTCTTATGTCATGTCCTCAGGGATGGATGGGGAGGTGAGACAGGATGGCTAGACACAGCTAGATACCTTGCCAAAGTTTTCGTATGTGTACTATATGCACACAACACAATTATCGTTGACAGATGCCGATGGCGGACGGATGGCAGGCTGTAGATGCAGAACCTCGCACGCATGTCATGCTTGAGACGGCAGCAGATCTCCCCTTATCAGATTGAGCTTCGTACGTACAAGGTTGTCATGTTCTTTCCGACTTAGAGCCCCTCTCTCGACGAGGCGCAGTGAATGTAATTTTTTCCCATCTTGAGCATGGCATTGTGGAGTCGCTATCAAGAAAAGAACTGCACCAATATCAAGGACCGCTTGAACATTGTCGATATGATACGCGCCCTCTATCCCTCCACGCCGCTCCATCCGGCCCGTCAGTCCCGGGTGGAGATTACCAGCGCCCGCCTGCCGTCGGTTGCCGACTCCGCACAATTACTGAGACTATCGGTAAGATGATATCACGCATGGTGGGACGTCCACCCAAATAATCACCATCAGCTGGCAAACCACTTCTCGGGCCGCCACATCTCTCGGAACTTCGGACCAACTGAAGAAAGAAATAACCCCCCTCGCCTGAGAGAAAAATCAAAATCAGTCTATAGACTAGCCACTATCAGTTTCATTCGGGCTGCCCTCGTCGGTTCATACCGAGTCGGACTGCTGCTGCCTTATCACTTTTCATAGCGCTAAAATTCTCAAACACTTCAACCCCTGCAACTTTGCTTGATTCAGGGATATCCTATGGTCCCATCAATGTTGCCATCGGCACATTGAAAAGCCACATGAAATTATATTACGCAATGGTGAAACTATACTGCTGAACCGCAATGCTTATCTCGCCCTGTGTTGGCCTGCCCAGGGATGATTTGGTGCATGAGACCGTCGGATCGAGATCGCACGCAGGCCGGACGTGTCTCAGACTGTTAGAGCAAGTGGATACGTCGAGAAGTAGGTAAATACTAATACTGGCAGTGGCAACGCTGCAATATTCCTGCCGAAACGGCCCGTTCGAGTACACGCCTTCACCGTTCGTGAACCGCTAGGAAGTTGCGAGGGGATTTCGCCGCCGAGAACGTCGCATTTGAAAATGACCACTACGTATGAGTACTACGGAAAACACGCAGTTTGGCATAGTTCCGTGGTCCTTGTGACTCACTTCCACGCACCAGGTACCATCCAATCTGAACAAAGTACACCCTCTTGACGTGACGACCCGAATTAAAGTTCGCAAAGAATCGCCCCCTCATGGGTCGTCATCGCCCTTTAGAAGCAAGGGTAAAAGAATCCGCGGTGGTCACACCGACAGAGATTGAATTTAAGATAAACATTCCATGCATGTCTTGTTATAAAGCCCCGTCACAATGACGCCTTTCTATCGACCATCCCCTTCGCACACGTGGGAATCAAAGTCCTCCGCAATCCCGTCGCCGTCTTCCAAAAGCAACGCCCCCCTTTGTTCCAGGCTTCGGAAACAGTGATCTGCAACACCGGTTTGCCCCCAAACGATTCCCATGGCTTTAGCCAGACTCGAGGCTGGCCACGCTTTCGTCCAGAAAAAGAACGACATGATCAAAATCATCATCCGCTGTGGCGCCGTCCCGGTGATGCAGGCCCACGTGTCGGTGAACCTTCTCTGCAACTTACTTACTTTCGTAAAAGCCAACCGCCCCAATGGATGTACTACCACGCCTTCCTCTCGCCCATGTTTTCGTGGAAAGACAAATGACACTTTTGTCGCTCCGTGGGTACAGAGCTGTTAGGAAGGCACGGGTGTCCGTACCGGAAGACTCGAGAGAGTAAGGCGACTTCGTTACGTGTAAGATGTTTGCCAGTGACCCGCCACCAACGGTTCTAAGCAACCCATGGCCGCGTTAATTCCCAATGCGGAGCGAAATAGGTTCACCTTCCAGACCTATCATCGCGTAGATATGAAATACATCCTTGTGCGATCCCATTCGGAGATCCCCTTTGGCCGGGTAAATCTGGGTGATAGCAGCGACGGCTAGTGTCTACACACCCGCATACAGTAAACAGTCCAGATCGGGTTTCTTCATGAACTAGTCAGCAGTGATAAGCAAACAGACGACACACACGGCTGTGATACGTCGAGTGATCGCATTGCTCCGACTGACGAGCTAATTTCCGTGCACCTGGGGACCTGTAGCCGCAACAGAAGGGGACTAGGAGTGATCGGGTATATAGAGTCAGGTCGGGCAAACCAACTCCCGCCTTGGCAGCGTTAGGCCGGGTTTGAGCGGCCGTGCGGAAGCTTATTGGCCCTTCTGTATACGGCCGACTCGACAATATTGATGGTAGAGATAATGAGTCATCCAGTCTTTCCCTTTGTTCCGGACTGAATTTGGCCCTGACTGGCAGTAGAGTGGTATGGGTACACTTTCTATCTAACGAAATTACAAGCCCCCACTTGCACGGTGGAAGCTGTTAATGCACGCAAACTGGGGTGTTGCAAACCTACCTACCGTCAATGTTCCTGAGAGTTGAAATAGATCGTGACGGGATATCGCCATCTTAGCCTGCGGTTGGGGTGGTTCACATGAAAGAAATAACGTAGCTGCGGTCAGGCAGGTATACACGATGAGTTCACGGACAATCCGATGGAATAGAATCCAACGCTTCCAGGTTGACGCCGCCTACCAATTGGCAGGCGATAAGACCGGCTGCCGCTCATGTGAACTCAAGAGTTCGATCGACAATGGGTCACTGCAGGTCAGGAGGACTCCACACGAGGTACATCGATCAAAGATCGGGGAGGGGCGCAGCTCCAAGTGGAAAGGCGAAGCTTCATGTACGTTTCGTACGTATACGAGTAGGCGTGAACACGATTTGAGAACCTTCGGTTGGAACTTGAAACATTGTTCAGGGATGGGCTGAGTTTCTCATGGAACGTTCAGATTTTAAAATTCATGATAGCCCTGATGCGGCAGACACTGCAAACGATGATGAAATTACATTTCATGGGGACGAGGGGGAACTGATGAACTTTCGAACAGAAGGATAATAAGAAGACACACAGAGTACTCACATGTGTATCATTGGATATTCGAAATTCGCGGGGACAAGTGAACACATGCGTGTGTTGTGTCTTGAGGGTTGCGGTAAGCGTGCATTGACCACGTCTCGCTACTGAAAGGCTCTGGAACCCGGCAACCCACTTGTGGCAGGCCAATTCTATAGGATGGCTGTGTGGCAGCATGCCCCGCGGACGCGAACACATTATAAACGGCCCTACGGACCCTTGCTGGGTAATCTAACACAGCGAGTGGTGCAAAGAAGGACGGGCGAATCGTCCTTCTTTGGTCGAACTGAAGCGAAGTACTAGGTTCATGATGTGCAGGAGTGAACACACATGAACGTCAGATGACGTGCGAGGGACAAACACCCCCAACAAGGGAGCAGGTTGCCCAACGAGCGAGCCCGACAGCGTGCTGGGGAAACTCCCAGCGATGTCGCTGCCAGACCTGACCTACATCGCAGCTCCGATGGTCAACCAAAGCGACGCTCCCTTCCGTCTCTTGACGAGGCGGTATGGTGCGACGCTCACATACACGCAGATGCTTGAGCCTTGCAAGCTCCTCAACGATCGTGAATACCTCGAGTTCCACTTGCGTGATATCCAAGCACTAGCACAGGGCAGTGGTGACTTCGACGATTTTGGTGGTGGTTGGGACGGATATGCGAGACCACTTGTCGTCCAGCTGTGCGGGAATGACCCAGAGCTGGTCGTAAAGGCTGCTAGACAAGTACAGACGCATTGCGATGGAATAGGTGGGTTCACACAGCCCCACTGCTGAAGGACGACGTTCTGTTCTCTCCGACCATCGAACTCACCCAAGTTCACCAGATCTTAACCTGGGTTGCCCACAGGAGCATGCAAAAGACGGTCACTTTGGAGGGTACTTGCTTGGAAAGCAAGACTGGCCACTCGTACAGTCCATAGGTATGACCCCGGTCTATTCCCTTGGCCGACCCGACTAACCAAATCACATCGTACACAACTTTTTTGACCTTTCAGTTTCATCTATGTCTCACTCCCTCCTCGTCCCTGCGTCCGCCAAAATCCGGCTGTGTCCATCCTCGGATCCGATGTCTGCGACAGCGGCCTTTGGACAGCTCCTCGAGCACGCAGGGGCATCTTGGGTAACCTTACACGCCCGTCATGTTTCTGCCAAACGCCGGCGCCAGGGTGCCGCAGATCTCGAGGCTGTGCGCACACTTAAGGAGACATTGAACATACCTGTCATCAGTAACGGCAACGTTCGTACTTCGGACGACGTTCGTGCTAATATGGAGTATACTCAAGCAGATGGGGCGATGGTCGGAGAGACATTACTTGGGAACCCTACGTTCGTAATTTCTCTTTCTCGTCGATTCGTGAACTAGTCTCGGACTGGGCTGGCTGACGATGGTTTATTAGGTTATTCACGGGAGGTTTGCCAGACCCTGTGCTTATCTCGCTTGAGTACCTTGACATCTGCAAGCAACTCCCTGGCGTCGCATCCCTCAACACAATCCGAACCCACGTGCGGCACTTCGTTGAGTTCCAATGGTCAGTACAAATGTCCTTAATACGGTTTTATTACTTTTGATGTCGGTGGGACAGCTCACGGCGCCCGTGGTACGCCAAATTCCGCAGCGCAATAAGCGAATGTCAGAGTATCAGGGATATCGAAGACTTATTACATGGGGGTGTAACTAGATGGAGAGGTAAGGCCGCGAAAGTACTCGGTGCCAAGCACCTTGTACAGAAAGAGTCAAGCGGTGTGCAGGAACATGAGGACATATTAAGTAGTATGAGATGTATTCATTCGCTAGCGGGAGACAAAATAGAGTAATAGGAAGACTTGACATACCCGTTTGAACGTTGTTTGAGCGCTGTCTGCCTTGTCAAGCCCAAGATTGACAATACTTGATCAGGATTCAGGATATGTCAGGCGACCCTCAAGCCTATGAACGATAACCATATTTCCTGTGGTGCCACAGAAGGAAGCAGTCAGTGAGATGCAGGATAGCCCGCATAAGAAACGACTTTGAACTGAAATCCGATTCAAAATTATTTCATCAAATGCAGGCATCGGATCTCAAGAGAAAGATGGATAGAGCAAACCCAAAACGAAATAAATGGCGATGAAAATTCACATTTGAGTAACCTGGATCAAGGGACTGACGAACACGAATTCCCAGTAGGGTCCCGCTGTCAAAGGATATATACTGCCATGGCTAAAAACTGCACATCAATTTGAGTAAATAACCTGCCTGAAGCGGGACAGAAGGAAAAGGAAACATATCAATATTGGGGGGTTTACTCGCCAACCACACAGCCAACGCCGCCGACAAAATGGGGTACACATTCCTTGTGAGGGTTACCTCCCGATAGGCAAAGGTCTCCGAAAGTCTCAAAAGAGGGATCATGAAAAATGCGTATGTATCAATTAACATCAGTAGACAGCAAAGAGGACAGATAAAAGGCGGAAATATTACCACATCACACGGTAGGTGATTCAACCTGAGCCAGCGACAGCTCCACCGCTCCCTTTGCGTGTCCTAATGACCTTGTTCCTGAGAGCCTTCTCCTTCAACTCATTCTCGCGTTTCTCTAGATCCTGCATGGGAACATCTTGGCTGCCCAAACCGGTACCACCCGTGTCCTACTCAATGGCGAGGCACATTAGAAAAATGGCGCCTAGACTGCGAAAAGGACCAACCTCGTCAGTGGCATTGTCATCCCACTTGGAATTTCGCGCGGATGCCTGTCCCTTGATCTTTAATTCGCCTCGGCTGTTCTGAGGGAGGTCAGGGTCAAGAGTTCGGCCGGATTCCTCGGATTTGTCCATGTTCATTTTCACAGGGGAAGGGCTTCGCCTTAGATTGCGTCTATCTCTTGTCGTGTCAGTCCTGTTGCGTTCTCTGGTCCCCGCACGATAGGATGGCGTGCGGGAGCGAGAGCGCGAATGGCTATCACGCCTGTCGCGACGATTTGAGCGGGGACTTGGGCTGCCTCGGCGAGCAATGTATCGGGGGGGAGAACGAGAGCGAGTTGGTGATCGTGAAAGAGCACGCGAGAATCGGCGTCGTCGTGGAGGGGGGCTCCGGCTGTCCCTTGCTCGATCCTTTCCAGAAGGAATGTGTCTTCGGGGCGGGGACCGGTCGTAGCTGGGTGAGCGTCTGCGCCTGATCCTTGGAGGGGGAGGCGAGCGAGACCCGCGAGAGTCGAAGGAAGGAGAGCGGCGGCGGCGGCGAGGGGAAGGTGACAATGAGCGGGAGAGGCGGCGACGAGTGAAATGGGGAGGGGGACTCCGAGAACGAGAGCGTCGGCTTGCATACGAGGGAGGAGATCGGGACCGGGAACGGCGGGGAGAAGGCAGATCTCGTCTTGGGGACATCCGACGGGCTGGAGGAGGCGAGCGAGAACTGCGGGCATCGAATGGAGAACCAGACGGTGAACGACGACGCGGAGGCGAACGAGAAAATCGACGACCGGGACGCTAATATTACGTGACCAGCGTCAATGGAATAAAGTGAGTTGATGAAGAAAAAACGTACACCACCATTACGGTTATCCCTTCCCCTTCCGCCTCCATCATAGCCGCCTCTGCCACGTCCTCGCCCTCGTCCACGACCTCTGCCGCCACCACGCTCTGTTCTTTCTCCACGTTCTCTTTCTCGGATTTCATCTAAGCGTGCTCTGCGATCTCTTTCACCGATTGCCCTTTGGTCGGACTCCCTTGCCTTGCGAAGTTCTTCCTTCTTGGCTTCGACCATAGAAGTTGGAACACCGCCAGGACTGTCCTGAGATTCTAATAAAAGGTCCCAAAGTGCCTTCATGAACGCTGGAGTGGACGACGTGAGAAACCCCATCAAATTGATTTGCATTTTCTTTGGGTCGGGAGTCTGTATGTACCCCCGTTTAGATCATAAAAAGACGCAACAGAACGACCGAGCGCGAACCGTATGATTTGGGTCTTCGAGTAGACCCATGGCATACTCGATGACGACCTCATCTTCGAAGCCGACAAGCTCTGTCACCTTTTTGGCGATCCATGGCCTGATGATTTCCATATTGACTTTTTTCATGTCAACCTAGACAGGAGATAGGATTGTATGAAGCTCTTTCCGATGGTAACTAGCCAGTTACCTTTTTCTCGAACTCAGGAGGGAATTTCATGGACTTGAGCAGTTTGAGCTCCTTGTCAGAGAAGCGCCTGTCCTGATCGGCAGACGTGCCTTTGAAGAAGCCTGAACAGCCGTGTCGATGCCATGAGAACTTCTGTTTAGAGGTTATACGCACCTGCGTCAGCCATGGTGGTTCCAAGTAGGTTGACAACGAAAAAGCTTCGGTGTGTGAGGCAGAGTCGGCCGTGGGAATATCAAGACCATAATTGAATTACATAATCACTAATACGGTACTACAGAACTTGTCGCTCGTCGAACCCGACGCTGACCCTGAGGACGCCTCTGTTGTCGAGGACGCTCAGCTGCTGTTTGACGACTCTGCCCAGCCCACACTCGCCCTTGTTCGATATCACAACCCGCACCTCCTCCACTGCTGCCCACTCGGACTTCTTGAACACACCAGCCAACCCTTCGAAATCAACTGTCGACATCGCGCGGATATCTGCCGGGTACATCGCTAATGAAAGTACCCGCATCGGCGACCGTATCGATGATAAAAGCGATGTCAGTTGAGTCAGCGATGCAGACTGGTCTTCAGGTTCCTCCTCTAGTGGATCCGGCAGAGGCGGCGAAGGAACGACAAGACCGAAAATGTGCAACTCTTCTAGTCGGACATTCTGTCCAAGGTCTATGTGGTCTATGAAAGCGTCTACCCATGCACTTTAGTTGCCAAAAAGAAAACAGCGCCCAGGGATACTCACCTCCTCTCTCTACGAAGTCTTGATCGAATCCCACACGAAGTTCCCGCAAGCTTGCTCCCACCTCCCTTAGGAACCTTCCTACGACTTCTGCCTCAGCAATTCCCACACCACCCAGCTTCACACTCGTAATTTTTGTGTCGTTAGTCTCCTTTCGATATTCAATACCTGACATGATCCATTCCAATACTGTCTCCATCGGTGCTCCTCTCATGCCAACCGCCTTCAACGCAGCGGGGGGCAATCTGATGCACTTCTGTCCGTCTGCCCAGGTATCAAGATACCACTGCGGTGGATCCAATCTCGAGTAGTGTATCCCATCAAGTGTCAACGTCTCCAACTTGTCAAATTCAGCTAGGAACTCGCACATATCCGCTGCGGTGCGGAACGTGCATCCACACAGCGTGAGTTCTTTGACATGTCTGAAACTCTCCAAACAAGCCTTGCGAGAACGTGAAGAGAGATACTCCCACGTCACTCGCTCCAATTCGATCGTGTGGACACGCATCAGGTGGGCTGCGAGATACGGCAATCCATCATTGAGCCACTTGGGATCCCATGGATTTCCGCGAGTCTCGCGGACAGAGAAGTACACGATATGGGACGCGAAACTCGGAATAGAAAATGTGCCCCGTCCACACCGCTTCTCGTGGAATACATCTTCTGTATCGTTACAAGCAGTTGGGCCTAAACCGTAACTGCAGGCGTATGCCTCCAACAAGTCGATGAATGCCATGCTTCTCAATCGACCGCTGAGTCTTACACCTGCCCATATTCCTGTGCGTGCGGTGTTCAGCCATAGTTTGCACACGAGTGAGCATGCGCAGAGTGTCGCAAGATCTAGGGGGTCGTATCCTTGTTCGCTGTTTGGGATGGACGGAATGCGCGCAGCGATGGTTTCAATGATTCGGAGATGCAACTCGGCGGGGAGATACGGAAAGACGTCCGTTGGACAGGGGGCATCACTGGACCCCGGTTGTCCACACACGAGGGGTGACGGAGGTAGTTGCAAGGGTGGCCTCTTTGCTCTGCATGGTAGTATTGGATGGAGTGGTGGGGGTGTGGGTTTGATGATGATGGCCATGGGGGAGAGGTATGTGGGATGGTATCTGTCTGATTATTAGCCTTGGGTGCTGGGTTATAAAACAGGCCGCCTGTATCGTCTCGTAAGTCCCGAACAGAAGACCCAATTAGCGACTTTTTCACAGCCTTGTCTACCATGCATAAATGGCACGTGTGCGGCGTAGCCCAAAAAAAGAGGGTGTAGCCCGGCGGGGGCGCTCAGGCCTACAGAGCGTATGAGCCAGCCAGCCTGACAATGGGGAAACAGCACATACATACCGCGGCCTTTTAGTGTTTGGCAGTTCCGACTTTACCCACCCCCCTTCCTCCGAGACTTTGCTAGCCAACCAACACCGGAGCACTTGAAACTATTCGTTCCGAGGAAGAGATAGTGAATCTCACGATACTTTTAGGCTTTCCGTACCACGACATCCGCGAATGCCTCAGAACCACCAATGCCAGTAGTCAAAGCGCTCTTCCTACTTGATCACTCTGGTCTGCTTCGGCATAGTCTCATCGTGGCACTTGTTCGGTCTGTATTCGCGCCCTGATTTCGGTGCCGCAGTAATCACTCCCGGTGTTTCGGAATTTATTTTCGGTTTCACCGGCCTCTTGTGCTCCGAGCTGGCATCCCTTCCGTCACGTAGGGGAATGGTACCGCCGCGACGGCGGATACACTCATGGACCATGCAGGTAGGCGGACTTGAAGGGGGACAAGGATGGCTAAGCGAGTGCCACCATATTGATACTCGGCATTTAGATGGACGCAGACAAAGTTTGCCTTGTGCACGTCGCACAGCTCCCGGAACTGCCCCACTCAAATTCACTTCTATCCGACTCAGCGGCGCTGCTCGGTGACTTGAGTGGAATGCCGTGCCGATCAACCAGTTCAAGAGTCAAGTATGAACAGTAGCACTTTGCAGGGCGGCGAAGTGGGCAGCGAAGCCACCTGGCTATCCTGCAAAGTGCACTGGATATGTTGTAGGAGGGGCTTCGGATTAACCGCGCAACGTCTATATCTACGGTAACGGATGACTCAAGTCAGCCAGGAACCATCACAGCCGGTGAGTAATCGCCATGTCTGGAATCAGTGAATGGCAAGGCAGGCACCACACGGTCTGTTGTGGCCTGACAAACAGGGCATAAGGTGGGGTATAATCCTAAACACCGTGATGTGGCGCATGCTCACCAATAATCTCCCTGCAGAGGAAGTGGCAATGCATTTGAAGCCTAATAACATCAGCGCTAAGCCGCCGAACTCTTTACAACCGAGAGGAAATCAACCCACCTGCGTGTATGCATACTTAGGCCAGGACAGGGGGAGCAGCGGGCCTTCTTTCATCAGTCTAATCCGCCATGCGAGTAACGGCGTCAGAAATATTATCCACTTGCCAACAGCAGGAAGGAATATTGTCTCTGTCCCACAGGAGGTCCTGGCATAATCAATTCTGTCGGGAATGTAGAATAGTGGATACTACTAACCTTAACTTCCATGGACGCGAGGGAATCGAAGGCGTTTCTATTTCGAAGCCACAACATTGGCTCCAATAGATCGCCAACCTTGAATAGTCTGGAGAAATTAGAGACCAAATCTTGCAAAGGTAGGACCAGCGATAGGTGCTCTGTTTGTCGCTGGGCCGGGCCCGCCAGGAAGGGACGAATCGATGCCGCGTGCCCCCCAGGTCAGAGAAATTGCGGCATTCCATCGCCCCACCATAGTGCAGAGAGCCCATATCGCGTATGCAAATGTCACACTGTCTTTCCACGACGTGGGCTATGGTACCCGGGTTAAGTCTAGGATTGGCCTCGCCAGGGTAGTCCATGGTAGGGACGATCCTAGAACCAGCCCCTGAGGCCCGGGGGTCTGGGGTGCATGTCTCTGTGTACTCGACGATGGATAATGGACACTGTGAAACCTCGACCCTGAATCCACGGGGTGTGTTCCAAAGCAAAGAGCGAGATAATATGTTGGTGAATGTAAGCGGATGGTAGTAGTTTCCATATTCATCACGTGCCGTCAATGCATTGTGTTTGACGTCGACCGACACCACCACCAGCGATGACCAGCAGACGTACTCTTTCATTTCTACTGTTCGTTCTACTGGCACCTCTTGTCTCTGCCATCAAACTCGCGCTGCCACCCGCACGCGTGCCAGCTCCAAAATGCATATGGAACGCCGTGCACACCCACGCACTCGTTATTGTCACTGCCAACGTCAGTCCTGGCCCGAGCCAACGTGTCGATATCGAAATCATAGACTCGACGCCCCAGCGGAACGTCTACCTTTCAAAACGTGACGTAAAGGGCGAAACGAGGCTTGCTGTCACTGCACATGCTGAAGGAGAGGTTGGCGTATGCCTCAAAAATTGGCTGTCACCTGGTGAGTGGACATGTAGTGCTGGACACCACAAAAGAGGCTGGAATGCTGAGGTCGTTGACCGTAGACGTCAAGACTACTTTGGCTCGAAACATGACGCGTACAATCGACCTCGACATTGACATTGGTGTGGATGCTGTAGACTACAAGTGCGTAATTTTACCGTCTTCAGTACAACATCACAACTGAACTTTTCCCTCTGCAGCGCAATAGCAAATCAGGAGTCGCTTTCAGGACTCGAAACGGAGATGCGTAAACTGGAGGGAGTAGTGAAAGAGATTGAAGACGAGTTGGACTACCTCAAGAAACGAGAAGAACGATTCGCAACTACGAACCGTGCGTAACAAAAGCGTTCTCTACGCTGAAATGACAACATGACTGACTCGTTTATATGAAGTTTCGACAAACCAGCGTGTCCAGAACTTTGCCTGGTTCACGCTCTTCTCGCTCATAGGATTGGGAGTCTGGCAGATCTTCCATCTTCGAGCATACTTTAAACGCAAGTACTTGATCGATTAGTCGCCGGGTTTTCCGCGGTTCTATGGACATTCCCAACGGGTATTCTGTTGACTTATTTACGCGCTCGCCGCCAATATTCACTGGACAGCGGCCAATGTACACGAGACTCGTCATGAGAAGTGGGATACAGTAAATTCTCTCTTGAGAAACATATAGTATACTGTACAACCCAAGGTTTAACATACATACACACACCCTCTCTGGTGCAGAACAAATTCCAAGAAAATAGCAAGTTTGTTGGTCAAGCTAGGAATACACCTGTCACTGGTAAGAATCCAAAAACCGTCCGTCAATCCTTTGATCTGGCGTACATAAGATGTGCAAACACTATACCAAAAACGTGAGATATCGTAGGGTCATGATGGGGTATTTCACAAGTAGGTATGATGAAGGGAGAAAGGCAAAAATGCTATTTGACTTCGCCGCTTGTCCATGGCAACTGTATGAGGCCGATCTCATACCCGCCTGATATGCTGTCACCCAACGTCGGGTAGATAAGCGAAGATGGACCCTCCCCCTTACCCTGCACGCATTGCCGCGAGGTAAAGGGTGATGGCATCGATACCATGACGGCTATTTTGATGGCATTAGGTGGAGGAAGGACAGGCAGGGGTGGGGGTTCGGGTGGGTGGGGACACGAGGGTTCACTGGCTATCCAGCTCCGCACCTGGGTAAGTACCGAAAGACTAGGTTGTGATGCGGCCGGCGAGCGTGAGTCGGCGGCAGCAGATAGCGGCAACGACGTTGGTGATGATATTTTGGACCGGCCCCTCAATCCAACAGACGAAGTCGGGCGCACAAACGTGGCTGATATCGGCTGGGACGATCATCACCATGCAGGGAGCGACCACGACCGGTGTGACATGGCTCACCTGAAGATCCTTCCACTGAGGTGATATCCGTTCATCCGGCCGAGGAAGCAGCCACGTCTCCCAGCATACGGGTCGTGTCAGCTGCGCTGACTTTCCCTGACCCCACCCTGGTCGATCTCCAAGGAACAGTCCACCACTACCAAAGTCTGCACCATCATGATCGGTTTCAAGATTCCGTGCCCATAGTGGACGGAGCAGTGCAGACCGTCTCCGCGAGCCAAGTCCGCACGAGACGAAGAGTAGTAGCAAGACGACGAAGGTGACGATGAACCCGAAGAAATAGTCGGTCGAATCCGCGGCAGATCCAGAACTCCCACTGTCACTACCGACAGTAGATGAAGGAGTAACGGCGGTATGAACAACAGCAGGTACAGTAACGGCACCGCCGCCAAACGCCATGGAGGTGGTGGGCAGGGATGACTGTGGAGCATTACCAGTAACCATGTCTGCTATATTATAGTAGACGCGGGCTGACACAGTCGGTCGAGTCAGGGCAGCTGCGGGGGAGGGGATGACGACGATGACTATGACTCCTCGCTCGCTTCAATCGGGCATTTGTCAGATTGTCATACCATATACGATCAGTCACGACAAAATCGGTACATAGGTCGATACTGTACTGTATAAGATGTTTAACACTTCTCCCGAGTCCGCATAATTAACTCGTTTTGCATGCGACAGAACGGCTCCCGCAGGCTTCCTATACTATGTACCGCATCGGCATCCCCTACCATCCGTACGCAGTCTGAATCGGTACAGCCAGCATGTTGTGGTTTCCGACCTGAGCATGAGGCGGAACCCTTGCTGGAGATCTAGATGTGCACCTGCTGCTGCTGCTCGAGGCCCGATCACCAGACCGCGATCGTCGCTGGTAGGACGACGACGACGAGTACCGTGAACCGTGCTGCGCATTGTGGTACAAGGCACGATCCTCACTTGGGTAGTGCGATCGCGGCTCGCTATAGTGATGATGATGGTCGGCTACTTCATGCACGGGACTGGTCCGCGAGGGATATCCGGTCCCGTCGGGGATAGGCGAGTACTCGCAATAACGCATTGGGGGAACAGGTGTACCCTCACGGTATCGCTCAGCGTGGGGAGGGTGTAGAATGGGCGTCGGTACAGGTACGGGTGTCGACATCCGCGAAGGGCGGGGTGTATGGATATACGGAGGTGGCGGCGGAGTCGGCAGGGGAGAGTGTAGCTCCGGCATCACAGGACCAGGATGCGGGCTGCGTCGCCCACGGTGCATGCTTTCCTGCATTTTGTTGTATGTGTCCACGGAAGGGACAGTCACGATAGTTGTTGGCACAATCGTGCCTGGGGGTGGATACGGGGAGAGACGGGAAACAACGAAGCTTGGGCCTTCCACTGGTTGTTCGCCTTGTGCGAATCGTGGATCTACAGGATGGTCTCTGTAACTGTGCGCAACGTGGCCGTGACGCTGGTACTGGTGACTTCCGTCATAGAGCCTCAGGGCTCCACCATCTGGAACCACTGGTATGCCGTCACTACGGTTCTCGCAGTCATCGCTGTCGTACGACGAGACGACTTCCCAGTCGAGAGTGGTTGAGTTCTGCCGGTAGACTGGGATACTGCCCATGGCAACAAGGAAGTGATAGGAGGGTTGAAACGGTGTGTGGACGATGTCAAAGATCGATAAATGAAAACGGGACCTAAATGGCCCAAAGGGCACAAGGGTCTGAGTAGCGTGAGAAGTGGGTATGAATGGGATGAATACGACAGTGCCAGCGAGCTGAATGATATACCTCACCAAGAATAGCTTCCACGTTCAAAAGGGAATAGGCAATTTGATCATGGTGGCGAATAGAGCCACCTGTGTTCCAGTAAGCCGAGACCGCACAGGTCACTGGCCGATGTGACCCGTGTGCAGGGTCGTATGGAGTCTGAACGCTGCGATCGGGATACACCCTGAGAACCAACCAGTGTAGTAAGGTCGGATTAAAAAAAGTCGCCTGGTCGGAGCGAAGAAACGACTAACGGCCAAAAAAAAAGCTCCAAAACACCACCATGAACGTGTAATGCATGCTGTTCTTGTGCGCTGGGCAGGGGAGTATTATGGACTTCGAAATCGTGTCACCGCTCCTCAATTTGTCCCGCGACGCATTTGAAGGAGCCAACGCAACGCACGATTCACATGAGGACTTCATCTCCTCCACTGAGGGACATCCTGAGACTATCCTTGCTAAACCATCCCCAGTCGCTGTTGTACCTCCCGGACATAGGACTAGTGTAAACCTGTGTTGTCTGACATCAAGTACGCAGCGATTTGATAGGTGAATGGTTGACGGCGTGGGAGATATCAGATCAGGTCCAGGATCAAATATTCATCGTTCGCAACGCAACAACGAAACTAGTAGTTGGCAGGACCAACTAGCCCTTTTTCTTTCTTTCTTTCGAATCTCTCATTTCAACGTGCCCAAGTGCTGTATCTGTAATTGAGACACATTACAAAGGTTGGCACCTACCTTCGCACGTCCAACTGCCCTGCCAACTCCCACGACCACATGAACCCAGTAGGAGTGAGATTGGAAAGATCATCTCTACGACCAGAATCTTCCAGCATTCCGCCCAGCCTCGATGCAATCGCCAACGCTAACGCCTCCCACACCCGCACCGATCACTTCCATCCGGCCAGCCCATGGCTCGCTTGCTAATACATGCCTCAATTCTTCCATGCGTTGCAGGTGACCCACGGAATAAAGTGGTATGCAGTGCTGATTATGGTGGACTTTTACGAGAACGGGTTCAGGGAGCGTTCTACCGAGATGAGTAGATAGTTCGCTAAGCAGGTCTGAGACGTTGATTTGAGGGAGAGAACGGGAAGCGTAAGGTCCACCGAGCATCACCGTCATCTTCACGACTGCATCGCTAGAGTCCTGGGTGGCGGTGGATGATGAGTCAAAGACACAGCCTAGAATCCCTAGACGACTATTGTCGTTGAAGTACCCATCTGTCGGACGGGGTACTAAGTAGCCGAACCCTTCGGGATGAAGCGGGGCGGTGGAAGGCGGCGGGCGCGGAAACACAAGATTGACGACGGTAACGGAGGTGTAGGTATTCGCTGTGAGATGTGGAAGTGATATTGCGGGTGTGAGTAAGCCGTGCAATCGGAACAAGGGGAGGGTGGACACAACGTGGGTAGGGGACGCAGTCTCCATAACCGTCGTTATCAGCTACGTAAAGCGCGGAAATCAGTGATTCGAGGAATGGAATGTGCAAACAATGCATCATTTGCTTTACCTCAAAGTGCTTGCTTCTTGAATTTATGCGAAGGCCTGTTATACGCACCCCGCCATACATGTAAACGTTGGGATGCTCTCGCAGATATCTGACCAACGCATTTGTCAATGTGCTGATACCTTCGCGAAAGGTGTATACAGAAACATCCCGCATCGTGTCTGCTAAGTTCCCTAACTCGTACGATGACGTAGGCTCTTCGTCTGACGTCAGTGGAGGAGACCGTCTGAGGATCCCAGATACAACGGAGCCATTTCCGCGTTCTTCAGCCTCCCAAAGAGAAGGGAATGCCGATCGCAGGCTAAGTCTCCGTGCATCTGCAGCATAGATGCCGTGCACAAGTGAGCTTGCAAAGATCCTCGACCATTCACTTCCGAATCTTCTTGTCATGAAGTCGTCGACGGATTCGTCGTCAAGACCTGGTCTCCTGTTCCGACGCTTGAATGGCTCCCGTGCGACGGATGAGAGTAGCAAGCTCCTGATATTTTGTCTGGATGGACCAGACCATGTGAGGAAGTCTAAAGGTGCCGATGGAAGTCGACATAGTTCGCCAAAGTCAGGGATATACAGGAAGCGATTCTTCGCGGCGTCAGAAGTCTTCGGAACAGTCAACAGCGTGGATGACAGATTCAAGAGATGAATCTAGTCTTAGCGAGAGCGTGCAAACTGTGAGAACAGGATGGCTCTTCATCCTCATAGCGAAAAAAAGCGACCCACCAACTCGAGTACGCTGCGCGCGTTTGGACGCAACGTCCTTGGGCCAGCTTCAAGGATGACGTCTGCGTTCTCCAGTTTGCCATTGTGGTGGTTCGTGTATGAGACCCTGACTCTGTCAGAACGCACCCACCCCCCGAAACGTGCCTCTGAATTGTAAACTGCAATGCGTGCAGTCGGAAATCGCCTTGTAAGGTAAAATGCAGCTGACAGTCCTGTCAGACCACCACCAAGCACGGCGATGGACGTCGGCCCCATTGTCAAGCGTCTGTGGGGCGGTCCAGAGCTGAGCGACGTGGGGTGAGCGACTAAAAAGGAAGGTGTTTCCCACCTCTGAACACGTCGTCTCGCGGGTTCTCAGTGACGGACTCCCCAGGAGGCATTACTGAAATGACCCCCAACGAGACAAGCTCCCCACAACCAGCAACGAAAGCCAGTTCACGTCGGGCAAGCTCAGCCTCGCCAGAGAAACCACCAGGGCCACTCAGCATCCCCGCCGCACCCTCTTCAGAGCGCGAGACGATCAAGGTCAATAATGCCAATGCGACCGACTTGAAGAACGCTTGTGACGACGCTCTCAAACGCGTCCGTGCCTCTCTCTATCTCTTCTTCTAAAGTTCACGTGGACTCATATCATGCGTCTCTCGTGCAGTACCTCTCGCGTCCGAACCTGTTCAAGCAAATACATCTCCACACAGACGTGAGGCTGACACTAGGATGGGCTAGTGTGTTTGTCGCTGCGGCGACGGGATTGTACGGTTGGAAAACTGAGTTTGAACGAGCCAAGCCAGCCGTATGGGCAGGATTCATCCTGTACGTCCCCCGCACTTAAGCCATTTCGTTCTCTCTGAACGTGTTGACCACGCTCCGCATTAGCTATGTTATCCTAACCACCCTACAAACCCTCTATGCTTACTTCGTAGAAGGGGATGTCATCTTCGTCGGAAGACGTAAATCTTTTAGTAAACGAATCAACACCGAGAAGATCACAATATCCTCACGGACCATCCCCGTATCATCGCCCACCCCAATCGCATCCCCTTCTAACGCTCCCTCTTACTCCTTAAACATCACGTACCTTCAATCTACCTCGAGTGGAAAGTCCCTGCTCTGCAAGAACCGCGCACAGGGATCTAAAGAGTGCAGTGCCTTCTTTGACGAAAAGGGTGTCATGGCACAGGAAGTGTTCGAGCGGTGGGTTGGTGAACTCGTCGAGGCTGCCATGGAGGGAAAATCTGCTTGAGGCCCCGCATACTTGTCTCATACATGGATGGTTTTCAAATACTAGCTTACTTGTGGTATTTTAGGGTCTGCGATTTTGAGCTGGACGACTCAGTAGCGGGAGCTGTGACCACAGGTAGCTAGCAGTGGCCTGCGAACCACAAATTGATCCAACAAACACCTCTAAAAGTGAGCCAGACATAGTTTCCACAAAGTTCGTGGGTCATGCAAAAAAAAGGAGTAACCTTTCCAAAGATATACGGCCCCTGCATCAGCATGAGACTGGACGATTGTGTCCAACAGATTAAATTTGGCGGTGGGTATCGTACTCTATACATGCAAACTGTTGTGGATGGTTCCCAGACAGATAACACAGGTTAAGTATTCTGGATGATGGAATTCAAATCTTTCCAATGAGCAAGTTGTTGATTATTTCACGACCGGTAATGTGTGCAGTGCGGATGAACGTTGGGATATCGAGTGTAGACGTCAACGTGTCTGCCAAACCAAAAGGCAACATCAATGGAATCCATCCTAGAGGGTCATTCTCGTCAGTCCCAGTTTACAAGGAGAGACAGGAGCAAAAAATATTCACCTCTAGCGTACTCTAAAGCGAAACACCCCTCGTGCATCTTGTACTGTTTCGCAGTACCCCTTGGGAGGAAATGCACGTCTCCAGGCACATACCTCTCCATCTCAAGTGCGCCAGGCTCGAACGCCCATTGTTCGCCATGCAGAATATGGAAATAATCATCCGCAGGGTGCAAACCGGTATGCCCCTCCGTACCGAGGGGAGTCCCAAATATGATCAGGTATTCCGTGATAGAGGCGTGTATGATGTACATGGCACCCATGGCACCTCCTGCGTTATTGAATGTCCATTCGGAGGAGTCGGTATTGAGCGAAATGATGCCCGCAGAGGCTGGATATGTGTTGGTAAGGTTCGTGACAATGTGTTGGATGATGCCGTCGAGGTTGTCTGGGTGGGCAGCGACGGCATCCTTGGCGAGTTCATGAAGAAACGGTGGGTCAAAGACATACCACCGGCTCTGCACGACACGACTCGTCTATTAAAATAAAATATATAGAACGCTAGGGATGCCACGCACCTTGACCGTGTCCAACCAACTCCAGACGAAGTAGAGAGCGCAGAATACCATCAGTCGAAGCAGCCACTTCTTCATACATCCCGCCAACGCGCAAGGCGACGAGGTCTGCTGTGGTGTTTGCTTTTCGTCCATAAAATCGTGCAAGGTCGTCACCGCGTAAGTACACAAGGAAAGTCGTTCGGTATTCCAACAGGGAACGCATTACATAAGCGAAGGCCACAAATATGGAAATCCCGCATACGGATTCAGTTACTAGTAAAATAGGAGGAAGTTCAACGTCCAATATGATTCTGAAAGCGCTCAACTTGATCCAAGCGAGGGATGGAAGTAAGATGACTCAGTGGTCGGCTACAGTGCTGTATACCAACTGCTGGATAGAGGGCTAAGGCTTGTGTAGTTTCACCTCACTTCCTCACTGCTTACCCGAACTCTCAACACCTGCCGTTTGTCAGATGTATTCGTCCCGTCGGAGCCGACAGTTATTGCAGTGCTGCGAGTGCGTTGATGCCGTCTTCGGCGTCATAGGTCCTTAGGGTTCAACGAAGGAGTCGAGAGCGTTGTCACCCTTGTGAACACGCTGTCTTTTTACACCAACGAAGGACTTAACGGGGAAGAAAATTTGAAGCAATGGGTGAATTTAAAGTAAAACGCTTCTTTTTTTTTTTGTTCCCTCACATGCGACGCGAAACCTACCTGAGCAGTTACACCACCCCGTGTGGGGAAGCCGTGGTTCTGTACATGCACGATGTCGTATCGAACCCGCAGTGGAGGGTGTCATACATCTCGATGCTTTTCGGCGCACCTACCATGGAGATCCTGCTCCTAGCCTCGTGTACGTCGTGCCGGCTATGCTTTCAGGGAAAACATTGTCTGCTCAGACGGTCAAGTCAAGGATGGAACTCCTCCAGCATCAGGCAGATAACGTAGGTGTCTCGATGCTTTGCAGACCATTTGGTGGAAGACCCGACATGTCGTGGGACGATGCACAGGAAATTTTAAACACCATAGGACGACAGTTGGACGCGCAGAAGAAAACAGCTCTGGACAGGATCATCCACAGGCGGATTGCGTTGGTTGGCGTTTTCCCAGGACATCCAAACTGTCGTTCAGCTTTTACCAGTCTTACCCGCGCAATCTTGGAACTTTGTCGTGGAGAGGAAGGGTCAAGCCTGATTTAGACCAGATAACTAGCCTTCGGTGTTCTGCGTTGGAACTTACACCACCACAGCATCAATGAAAATAACAACCCAATCTACAATTCCTGGCTCTCCTTGCCCTTGGATGTCTTCCTGGGTAGTAGCTCAGGGTTAATGAAGGGTACGACACCACCCTGTGAGATGACGACCTCACAGAGAAGTTTGTTGAACCCGGCGGCATGTCGATCAAAAACAACAACTCTACCAGAGATACGCACTCCTCATTGTTTCGGATGACAAGTCGCAAGTTCCGTGGCACAGTAGGTTATTCCTTGTTGGCCCGGTATGGGTTACCAGCAAGCTCAAGAATTTCAGTAGCAAAAGCAAAGTACTCCATGCAACTGCGAGGTAGACTACAAAGAGCGTAAACGAACACACCACCTCTTGAAATAGTAAATTGCTTAGGGCGTAGTTGCCCTTCCTCGAGAGGCGGTGTACACGGCCGACTGGGAATTGAAGGCCAGCTTCTGCTGAGTGAGACTGAAACTTAGGACCGGTAGAAGCGGAAGCCTTGCCACCGGACTTTGCTTTTTCCGCCAGTTGATAACAAAAATATAATGTGAGGATGTCACGCACCTTGAACGAGCCTAACCAACTCCGGACGAGGTGGAGAACGTTGAAGACTGACGGTCAGTCGACGTAGCTACTTCTTCGTACAACAGTGCGTTATGAGAATTTTGCACTATCATTTAGCTGGTAGGGAGGTCCAACGCTTATACTTCCTTCGTGTTTCCTTATAAAGAAGCATGTGTGGCTTGATCGCAATTTGGACCGCAAATGGCTCCGGATCCGGGGATACTTCATTGAAGCCCCTGTGCACGGTGACACACTCGAAGGCATACTCTTAGCATATAAACTCATATGAAAAAGCATACCCATCACTCATTCCAGTGACATCTACAAGCAAGCGGAGCGCGCCACTGTGCAGCTGCGCAATTCTGTGCGTAGCTCTGGACCATGATACTACCCCTACTCGTGGGTCGGGTGACCAGCTCGGCTACATGGGGTTGCTACAGCTTCACAAGTTCAGCCAAATCATTACTAGATGTTGAGATATATCTTTTTTGTTTGTCATGTCAAAATATGAAGCTACATTTGGGGATAGGCAACTCGATGACCAACCCTCTTGTTCGGTTGAGCTATGCCAACATTAGTGTTAGCCGGTTGCGTAGCCCGGCTACGCACCCGGCCCGGTGCGAAATACGATCGACGATCGACCGCGACTTGCATGGCCCTACACCATGACCCAGATACACGAAGCTATATAACGACTTGAAAGATGTCTACAATCGTTTGAGGCAGGATTCCAGCCGGGTTTGCAAGTAAGGTGCTCCGGCAGTAGTAACCATGATGCACTACCCACTGGAATGAGCGCCAAGGGCGGTGCCGGACGAGACGCTCAGGGGCGCACGAGCGTCATTCTTCTATCTCGCCTTCGCACTGCTCAACCGACACTTCAGTACTTGTCGTTTACCAGATAATGTCCCTGTTTCCCTGGTCTCGACAGACTAAGGCCGCGAAGGTCATTTCACCAACAGATACCATAGTGTTGTAAGTGCACTGGTACCGTCCTCGGTTATGCAGTATCACTAAGAGTACAATTAGCATCATAGGCCCTTCAGGCTCGGGAAAGAGTCGGGTAATATCAGCGCTCCTCTCCCTCTCCTTGTGCTGTTGTTCATTTTGCTTTCTGCTACTCCAGTTTTTTGATATCCTTTTACAAATCGCAAAGTCTCATATTTCGCTCCATGGTGGACGGAAATCCCCTACAACGGAGGTTTATGCGGAAAGGTGCCGTTTCGAGGGAGACGAAAGAGACATCGTCCTTGTGGACACGCCGTCCTTTTACACTAACACTGGCGGGGAAGAGATTTTGAAAAAATGGATAGATTCAAAGTAAGACATGTTTTCTTCTTCCATGTGGTGAATAACCCCTATCCGATCAGTTTTACTGCGTTTTCCAAGGCATCTGGGATTCTGTACATGCACAGTGTCGAATCAAACCCGGACGATGCAGACATGAGGGTATCGAAGCACTTCGAAGCATTCTGGCGTGCTTGCCCTCGAAATCTTGGCCCTAGCGCCGGGCATATCGTGCCCACAATATTTTCGCGGGCGGGGCTAACCGCTCAGGATTTCGGAGCATTAATGGCACAGCTGCGACATCAGGCAAATGTCGTAGGTGCATCGATGCTCAGGATAGTGTTCGACGGAGCACCCGTCATGGCGCGGCTCATTATCCAGGAGTTTTTAAACTGCTTAGGACGAAGGAAGCGCCCGTTCGGGCGGAGATCCAAGGAGTTTAAAGAAAAGCGCTGGCTTGAGTTGGGGCCCCCGTTCTTGAAGGACGCGAAGAAAGCGGCCCTAGACAAGATTACCCTCAAGCGGCTTGCATTGGAGAGTGCTCCAGTAGGACATCCAGACCGTCGCTCAGCTGTCATCAGCCTTGCTGATGCAATCTCTGAGTGGTACGGAAAGGAAGGGATCAAGGCCGATTTAGACGAGATAATCTGCCTGCGGCGTATTGTGCTGGAAGTTACTCCTCCACAGCACCGGGAACACTTTGCATCCTTGGTCAGCCTTGCGAATTTCCTTGAGGAGCGATACCGGAGGGAACATATCCCAGACGACCTGATGGAAATTATCACACTCCGACGTGCTGCATTGAAATTGGCTCCTTTGGGGCATCCAGAACGTCGTTCGTCTCTAGTCAACCTCGCAGATTACCTGGGTGGGAGATGCCAGAGGGAGAGCTCCACGGAAGATTTGAGCGAGGCCATCATTCACCAACGTGCTGCCCTAGAACTCACGCCCCCAGGACACCCAGAGCGCTTGGCATCACTCAACTGCCTCATAAATCTTCTGGACAAGCGATTCACGGAGAAGGACTCAATGAATGATTTGACGGAAATGATCACACTCCGGCGTGCTGCCTTGGTACTCACTCCGCCGTGGCATCCACATTACCGTCTGTCTCTGGTCCGCCTTGCGAGTTGCCTAGACCAGCGATACCGGATGGAGCTGGCTATGGAAGACCTGACGGAAATCATTAACCTCCAACGTGCTGCGCTAGAACTCAGTAGCCCGTGGTATCCAGAACATCTTGCGTCCCTTGTCAGCCTCTCAGATAGCCTGGACGAGCGACTTCAGAGGGAGCATGCCATGCAAGGTGACACTGAAATCATCACTCACCGACGTGCTGTATTGGAACTCATTCCTCCACGGCATCCACAACGCCTTGTATCTATTGTCAAGCTCGTGAATTTCCTGGATGAGCGATTTAGGAAGGAGGATCTCGTGAAAGATCTGACGGAAATCATCAACCTCCGACGTGCTGCGTTGGAAGTTATTTCACCAGGGCATCCAGATTACTCTGGGTTTCTCCTCAAACTCGCGAAAGCCCTAGGCGAGCGGTTCAAGAAAGACGGCGGCATAGAAGATTTGGCGGAGCTCATTGCCCTTCGACGTGCTGCACTGAAGCTCACTCCTCCGGGTGATCCGGAACGGCGAACTTTTCTCCTCAACCTTGCGAATTACCTAGAGGAGCGATTCAGGAGAGATGGTTGCATGGAAGATCTGATGGAGCTCATCTCCCTTTACCGTGCCGTGCTGGAACTTACGTCCCCAAAGGATCCAGAACATCTTCCATCTCTCGCCAGACTCGCGACTTACCTGGATGAGCGATTCAGGGGGGGAAGTGCTATGGATGATTTGAGAGAGATCATTGCCCTTCGTCATGCTATGCTGGAGCTCATGCCCCCAGAGGATCCAGAATATCTGCCGTCTCTTGCTAAACTCACGAGATATCTGGAGGAACAATTCAGGATGGATGGTGCAGCTGAAGATGCCATGGAAAACCTCGCATCTCAACGCGTTCTGTTGGAATGCGCTCCCTCGCAGCAATCAGACCGCCGCTCAGCTCTTGTCGGTCTTGCCGATGCACTTTCTGAAAGATTTTGGGACAAACGGGAGAAAGTTGTTTTAGATGTGATAATCACCGTTGTACGGGGTGTGCTGAAATCCACTCCTCCGGAACATCCAGAACACTTTGCCTCTCTCATCATCGCTGTGAATTACCTGGACCAGCGATATAACAAGGAGAGCGCCGTGAAGGATTTGATGGAAATCATCACTCTTCGACGTGCCATATTGGAATTCACTCCCTCAGAGAAACGTCTGGAGGCTCTCGTCAACCTCGCGAACAACCTGGACGAGCGGTTTAGAAAGGAGGGCGCCATGGAAGATTTAATGGAAGCCATAATCCACCGACGTGCGGCATTGGAACTCATTCCACCGGGGCATCCGGAACACCTCGCGTCTCTCGCCGGCCTTGCAAACAACCTGGACGAGCGATTTAGGAGGAAGGGTGCTATGGAAGATTTGACGGAAGTCATTACTCTCCGACGTGCTGTGGTAGAATCCACTCCCTCAGCAGAACGCCTGGTGGCACTCGTCAACCTCATGAATAACCTAGATGAGCGATTTAGGAAGGAGGGTGCTATGGAGGATTTGACGGAGATCATCATCCTCCAACGTGCTGCACTGAAGCTCATTCCGCAAGGGCATCCTCGACGCCGTGTGTGTCTGACGGACCTTGCGAATAACTTGGATGAGCGATTTAGGAGGGAGCGCGCTAAAGAAGATTTGACAGAAATCATTACCCATCGACGTGCTGCATTGGAACTCATGCCGCCAGGGCATCCAGGACGCCTTGCGCCTCTCGTCGCCCTTGTGGACTTTCTGGACAAGCGATTCGAAAGCGAGAGTACCTTGACGGACCTAGAAGGAAGGATCTCTCTCCGACGAGTTATCTTAGAGTGCACTTCTCCAGCCTCTCCCGATCGATTCATGTCTCTAGTCAACCTTGCAACCTGCCTTCGTGAAAAATACCAGAGACTGGGTGTGGATGCGGACGCGGAACTGGATGAAGCTATCAGACTTGCGCAGGATGCGGTGGCACTCTGTCCTCCGGAACATCGATTATCAGCTCGAGCATGCCTTGCGAACTGTATCGAACTGAAAATCAAGAAACGGGACTCACCAGTTGTCACCCCTAACTCTGATATCAAACAAATGATCTCGAACATCGTTGACGAAACCGTTATCCCACTGCGATTGCTGAACACAGAAACTGGAGCCCTATGCGATCGGGATGCACAGATGTTGCGTTTCGAGCGTAGTGATCTATACAGTGAACTACTCTCGTCGGTCTCTATGTTGGATGACCGGAAACTGGAAGCCCTGGTCCGGAAGGCTGTCTCGAAATTCTTTCGGTACGCCATGATGTCTCATAGGTGGGGAAGGGGTGAACCATTACTCTGCAACATGCGAGATACAAGCATCTACTACTTGCCTAGTGGTGACGGGGTCGTGAAGCTCCAGAGCTTTTGTCTTCTTGCCTTTAGGCAAGGTTTTTTGTGGGCGTGGAGCGATACGTGCTGCATCGATAAAGGCAGCAGCGCGGAGGTGCAAGAGGCCATTGGGTCCATGTTCTCTTGGTACCGTCGGGCAGCTCTGACGATCGTGTACCTGTCAGACGTGCCCGACAGAGCCTCATTCACCAACAGCGTGTGGTTCAAACGAGGTTGGACCCTCCAGGAGTTGCTGGCTTCTCCCTCGGTCTTGTTTTATATGCCCGACTGGACACTCTACATGGACAGCGCATCATCGAATCACAAAGCAGATGTCAGCGTGCTTGAGAAGCTCCGAAGCGCTACAGGCATAGCCGATGGGCATCTCAGGAACTTCCGCCCCGGTATGGATGATGCAAGATCGAGGCTCCAATGGGCGTCAGCACGTCGTACCACCAAACCGGAAGATATTGCCTATTCGCTTTTTGGAATTTTTGACCTCCACCTACCAGTTCTATATGGAGAGTCTGCGGAGAAAGCCCTGGGACGTCTTTTAGCGGAGATCATTTCACAGTCGGGAGATGTTTCAGTTTTGGACTGGGTTGGACAGCGGTCAACTTTCCATAGCTGTTTCCCTGCCACGCTCAGGCCGTATCAGACTGTGCCCTACATGCAATCGACCCCCGGTAATCCTGCCGGACGGAGCGACATTAGTATGAAACGGGTGTGGAAGCTGTACAGAACCATCGTCAAGTTACCGCGCCCCCGTTTCGTCAACCGCAGGCTTGCGTTACCTTGTTTCCGTTACCCAATTACAGCAGTCAAACTATTAGGACCGTCATACGACTCTTCGCGTCACGAATATGAAATCTATGCATCTGATCTGAAGCCTCTCCGAGTCACGATTTCGGTCGACCTCCAGGAAGGTTCAGGCAGTCACTTGCCATACACTCTCATTCGTCCTTGGGATCCAAAATGGTTGCTTCCCGGAGCGAAGGACAGCGCTGTATGGATGCTACTGGAGCGCTTTGAGCAACCATTCCATGCGCTTCTGCTCAAGACGTTGCCTCACAACGAGTACACCAGGATCGCATCTGATTGCAAAATCATCGCTCACGCTCAGGGCTCAGCCAGTATCATTAACAACGAGCCTGAAGTACTGGAAATTGTATAAGTTGGGTTTGCCGCATCGTATGGTGAGTTAGCTTAATTACTGGTTCATGCGACAAGTGCTGAACCAAACCGATCTAGATCAGTGTTGACAAGAGGGAATGAAATAAAAGACTATATTGTACAATACATCCTACACAGTAGCGAAAACACCAATAAGAATAGCAGCGAGATCTACACTTCCTGACTCTCCTTCTTGCCCTTGGATGTTTTGCTGGGTAGTAGCTCAGGGTTGATGAAGGGTACGACACCACCCTGTGAGATGACTACGTCACCGAGGAGTTTGTTCAACCTGGTGGCATGTCAGTCAAAAGCCAACAACTCTACCAGAAATACGCACTCTTCGTCGTTTCGGATGGCAAGTTGCAAGTGCCGAGGTACAATACGTTGTTTCTTATTGTCCCGAGCTGCGTTGCCAGCAAGCTCAAGAATTTCAGCAGCGAGATACTCCAGAACGGCAGCGAGGTAGACTACAGAGAGCGTAAGTGAATACACCAACCTCTCGAAATAACAAAGCGCTTACCAGGTGCACCTGCACCAACACGTTGGGCGTAGTTGCCCTTCTTCAAGAGACGGTGTACACGACCGACTGGGAATTGAAGGCCAGCTTTTGCCGAGCGAGACTGAGACTTGGAATCGGTGGAGGCCTTGCCACCGGACTTTGCTTTTCCGCCTTTGCCAGACATGTTAACGATGGTTGTGGGTGTGGTGCGGTGTGGCGGGTGGGATGGACGGATGTATGGATGGATGCGGTCTGAGGGGTAGCTGCCGGATATTTATACTAATTCACGTGACATGGCTGATTAAGGTTTGCCAATCAACAAAGACGCGACACGATCAGATATGAGTGACAAACAAGACCACACGCGACCCCGCCCTATAAATGCATCGTCACAGTCGAATCCACACAGCTCACACCACACGACCAACGACCAACTTACAATGGCACCCAAACCAGCCTCCACCGCTTCCAAGGCCCCCGCTTCCACCCCTGCCTCGAAGGCACCTGCAAAGACCACTGCAGACAAAGCGGCGAAGAAAGCCACAAAGACCTCTGCGGCTAATGCAGGCGCCGATGGCGAGAAGAAGAAGAAGCGCAAGGTTCGCAAGGAGACTTACTCCAGTTACATCTACAAGGGTACGTGAAGTGACTTGCTAACAATGAAAACGCTTTATAACGATACTTTGCAGTCCTCAAACAGGTCCACCCTGACACGGGCATCTCAAACAAGGCCATGGCCATTTTGAACTCGTTTGTCAACGACATCTTTGAACGCATTGCCACCGAGGCATCCAGTGAGTCAGGTACTTGGCTAATGCGTGTTATAGACTGACATGGTCTCAGAACTTGCTGCATACTCTAAAAAATCTACCATCTCATCGCGGGAGATTCAAACAGCGGTACGCTTGATCCTGCCGGGTGAACTTGCCAAGCATGCCATCTCAGAGGGCACGAAGAGCGTCACCAAGGTACCTATTTGCGATGCTGTCTTTCTCGACCTCTATCTGATCCTGTTTGCAGTTCTCGAGCTCAGCAACCAAGTAATCTTGGGCATATTGCGGATTTCTCTACTCTTGGCATCTGGCTGTTGTAAATTAGTTGTATGAGTTATTTTATTTTTTAATCTACCGTACTTTCTACGGACGGGCGAAGCGAGTTCCGAGGTTCGAACTCTCCAAGAAACTGTTACTGTGCTTTCCAATGCAATGTTGTCGAGTCGACTGGTTTAGACACCATAGAGCAGTCGAATGAGATTCCGAGGTGATGCGTTGCCTATCTGCCCGAGCCCCTGTCCATAGCCGATTCGTCGAGTTCGCCTCGTGACCCCGGTGACTTGATGTCCCGTCGCCTGCCGACCGTCGTCCATCCTCTCACTAATACGACGACACGACTTCCATCAGGACAAAGCTTGTCCTAATATGACTGCCAAGCCAACTGCAGGGGACGACTACCCTCCCCAGGCCCCAGAGCCATCGACGTCACAGACACCCCTACTCAGACCCAGTGAGTACTAATCCTTCACAGGGGTCACACGCACACGCAAAGAGGATATTTGAAATGGACCCGACGCTGACCGCTAGGCCGTCTGCAGATGTGGCCACCATACCCAAGCGAAGGTTTCGAAGTGCATTCGTTGGCCTTGTCGTCTTCGTGCTTGCCCTCGGATCGTCCTTCTTTCTCTTCCACGCTGGCAAGGGATATAATGGGTACGACTACCGCGTCGGAAAGCTTCCTGGTATGTGCTGTATTAATCCTCTGCAGTGCTGTTCTGATGATTCTGCCAGTCATGGGTTATAATAGTAGGCACTCTTCTTGCTTCCCCACCGCAGACTGATACGATATTCTCCACATACAGCCTGGAATGCATACTACGTATGTCTTTCGCATGTCTTGTAATCTGCTATGACTGATTTACACCGCATACAGTGCGACATCAGCGAGGACATTATCATCAAGAATGCCAACCTCATGATATCCCTGGGTTTGGTGGTGCGTATTTCCATAGTAGCTCCACCCTCAGCGCATATACTCAAGTTGCACCTGTAGGATGTCGGATACAACTATGTTAATATCGATGACTGCTACTCCGAGAGACAGCGCAGTCCTGTGGGCGATATCGTCGCAAGTAAGCTCGTGTATCGGCATACTGGGATGTCAAAATAGCTCATTTATTAGGCAAAACTAAGTTTCCTTCAGGAATGAAGCCCCTGACAGACAGGATTCACGCTTTGGGATTGTGAGTTCCTGGCTTCTCGTATGTCGTGAGCGATAATGACTGTCTAACAGGAAGGCTGGAATCGTAAGTTGATTAACTAAACACAAAGGTCCATTGACCCCCTCTGAAGTACAGTGACGCGGGATGGTTCACTTGCCAGCTCTATCCAGGCTCATACCAAAATGAAGCAAGGTGTGTTTGATGGATTTCTCATGATCCGTATGCTAAGACGTTCTTAGGGATGTCAGATTGTTTCGGGAGGAGTGGGGATTCGATTATCTCAAGTACGATTCCGAAGACTCTATTCGGATCACCCTCACCTTCTTGTTCTTAGGTACGACAACTGTGCCGTACCATTTGACAATGTTACCCGACAGAATATCATTGGTCGTGAGTAATGAATGCATTGTCTGGTTCTACCCAATGTCTTAGCCGATCTCAGGGTACGAGCCCATGGCAAGTGCTATCGCTGATTTATCCAAGTCGACTGGCAAGCCGCCTCTCATCCTGTCCTTGTGTCAATGGGGAAGAGTATGCACGACGCACATTGCGCCTTATTGCGTTACTTATGACTTTCGTATACAGGAGCAAGTATGGCTGTGGGGTAGAAACTATGGACAGAGTTGGCGGGTAGGTATTTGTACATGCAACCATCATACCACACCTGACACCGCGGTCCAGACTACGGACGATATTGGTGTGCCCAGATCCGATTTTGGGACGCATATATGCATGTACTGAACACTCGTAGGTGCCAACTGGAAGTCTGTCGCTAGCATTATCAACAAGTACTCCATCTTTCTGATGCCTGTGCCCGGATTCGTTAACGTGCTTTTAGGAATTCATTCTACGCTTGGGCCAATGACTTCTACGGACACAACGACATGGACATGGTGAGTAGCAGCATCCCATTATGTAGTCAAGGAGTTTCACAGACTCTTGCAGCTTGAAATGTGAGTGGCAACCAGGAAACAAGCGACCCCGCTAAACCTCTTTATTCAGTGGGAACGGCGATTTGACATACGAAGAAGCCAAGACTCACTTTGTTGCCTGGGCCTTGATGAAGTCTCCCCTCTTGATCGGAACTGACGTGCGGTTTACACCTGTGTTCTATGCTCCATCCACTGATTTCGATGAAAATAGTTGGAGACAGCGAGTAAAGAGACCATAGAGATTCTTACCAACCGTGAAATCATCGCCATTAATCAGGATCCTGTCGTCGGAACCAGTGTCACTCCTTTCCGATGGGGCATTAATGTGAGTGCTGGTGGTTACGATCCAATATCTGTCCCTTATGGTTGAGCCCCTCTAGCCGGACTTCGTCAGTAACGACACGCATCCCGCACAGTATTGGAGTGGACAAAGCCAGAACGGGACCGTATTTATGCTGGTAAGTTTTTCTTTTTCTTCTTTGCGAAATGGTCTCCAACGGTAGTAGATTAATACATTGGACGAACCTGCTTCGCTGACTTTCAATTTGACCGAATCTCCGTGGATCCGAGCGGGTAGACAGTATTCCGTTAGGGTAAGTCAGACATTTTAGTAGGATTTCTCTAATACCAAGAAAATGGTGCCCTCATAGGACCTTTGGACCCATACAAACAACGGCACTGCTGTAAGGAGCTTCACGGCACACAACGTCCCTCCGCACGGTGTCGTCGCGCTGCTCCTTCAGGACGCGGGTGACGAGCCCGAGGGTTTATGGCCGCCGTGTTCGGTCTTGGAGTGGTGTATCAGCCAGGCAGGGGTGAGGGTGGACCAGTGAAGGAAATCCATGGACTTCACCCAACCCTCGTTGTGCATCGCGAACACTGTTGTGCAATAGTGTACTTTTTTTCACTCGTTGATCCTCCATGTACAATCATTAGCCTGTGTAAAATTGCAGATGTAATCCCGTCGTGGACAGCTAGCATTATCCGATGGCGCTTAGCGTACAAAAGAGACCCAGCCTACAAGGAAGCCCACAATAGCTATTGAGGTCCATTTCCTGATGTCCTTCCAGCGTACATCCAACATTATGTTGTCTTTCTCCGGCGTCAAAGCTGTGGCATTTGATCTTGTCGTGTTGACGCCTTGGTCGTGACATGCTTGTGGGCTGACTGGGTCCGGGTGGACTACGTGGTCGGGGAAAGAAACCCTTGTAATATACTGCAGGGCGGTGTCTGCGTCCTCCTCGGTCACAGGGAAAATCTCTGCTTGCGAGACGCCTCCAAAGAAATCCGTAACGAGGGCGCCCTCCAATGGACGTTGGAAGAGATCCGACCGCACGCCTGGATGCGACCGAATCTTGACGGGGTCGTACGAGGAGAACTGAGTATCACCGGAGGTTAGTTTATGCTATAGATGAGCCAAGTAGGGAGAACGAACCAGGTCTTGCATTGAGACTTGGCTTGTCTTATTAATACCCTCCATAAACTCGAGTACGAAATGTGTATAACTGTCTATGACAGAGACGCCAACGTCGTTATCATTCTCGTGCTGTTTGGTGTAAGTTGGGTTGGGGGGTGCCGCAGCCATAAACTTACGGAATAGGAGTTCTCCCCGATCTCAGAAGATCCCGTTGCGAGAATGTTCGGAGAGTAGAACTGAGAGTACATCGTGTTCGCTTGGCATGTATCGATCATGAAGAATATCTCGTTGTAGCTGACGGACAAGGAATGGGATTGCTGCGTCGCAAGCGGTTTGGTCAACATGCTTACCGCTTCTTCTGCCACATTTGTTCGAAAGCATCAGCAATATCGAATGCGCTGATTTCTTCGTTGTCTTGGAATTTAAGGAATTCATTACCCCCATGTCCGGTCATGTACACGAAGATGTTAGACCGATCGTCTGTCAGGAGACGCTTGGAACGCGGAACCGACGGATCAACTCGTCCTGTCGCACGCGTGAGCTTCGAACGCAGGAGAAAGGCGTGATCCAGAAAAAGGAGGACATACCCGTCAGAAGGCGTATGAAGTTCTCTACCGTGACTTCGTACCCGCGATAGTCTACCTCGATATTTCCGCCGTACAGGTCAAGGTGACGTCCCGACTTGGCGTAAACGCTTCCAGGGAATTTGTTCCTCGCATTACACGCCACGTCGTCTGCGAGCATGAGGATAATATTGGAATCGGGAATGCCGAGACGCTTGACAGTGCGATACCTGGTCGACGCGTGTGATGTGATTGAAGTGAACATCAGGTTCTGACCAAGGGAACCTTACATCCCGAGCGCGTTGGCCATGTGCTGGAAAGAATGAGAGTTGGGAAAAAGTCAAAAGCAGGTGGGCATACCCTGTAATTGAACCAATACCTCGATGCACATACGAGAACTGCCCAGTTGTTGGTGTGCCCTGACGTACCGTTATGTTTTCCAAAGAAATTAGCCACCGGCTCGTCCTGAGAGACGGCCGATGTCCAAGCTGCCAAACATGCCAGCAAGAACAGACAATGCCTGGGCAGGTGTTGCAGCCATTGCATGGTCACTGTTAGAGCTAGTTCGGAAACCTTGGGCAAGTCGCAATTAGTTCCTTCAATGCTTGTACATGTTTTTCCACTGGGGCAGTTCACATAGTGAGTTTGAATTGAGTTTGAAACATGTCCTGCAATGGATTATGATGATCTGGATCAGCTTAGGCTTGCCTGGGTATTGGCTGCCACTGTTGTTGCCCTTGTATCCCAGTACACTCTGGATTCACTAACTCACTTGATGCCTAATAAGACTAGTGCTCCCACTCCACAAGTTCATTGGAACCATGAAGAAACCACTGCTCTTGTAAGGTTCCTGCATGACAACTGGCATGAGGCAGGCAATAACAGGAACTTCAAGATGGCTACATATCAAGCTGCTGCCCTGCATATCACCAACTATTGCACAGATGGACCTCCTAAGAACTATCAAGTAGTGAGAAACAAGTGGACTGGCTATGTAAGTCAGCATTGTAAACCACTTGTGATTTTTACTGATCTTCTGTCATAGATTCAAAAGATATATCATGATATCAAGTACTATTGAGCACAACCATCTGGAGCCCACTGGGACAATGAGAAGGGAGCTAATATTCAGGGTCAGCATGCCAAGCAGGTGTTCAAGGATTTTGTGAAGGTATTTTTATTTTTATTTTTTAACCCTGTGGCTTGATGAACTGATGATTACTCTTAGAGTCACCCCCTCATTTGCCAGTTCAAAATGAGTGGATGGGATTTATATCCCTATATTGCAGATATCATACCCCATGGTGGTGCCTGTGGGGCCTGTTACGCTCTCTTTTCGGCCCCTTTCCTTTTTCGGTCCTCGTGGTCACGTGCGTCACGTGCCTCGTCGCATCGCTCGTGGTGGTGGTCGTTCTAGGGGTGCGGATGCTACAGGGAGAGTTTGGATCACCCGCTGTCCAGGTATTTCCAATACCTGTCGAGACTCATCATTTGTGATCCATCCGTGACGTTCACTGCCCTCATGATCGTAGCGATGTCCTGTTGGTGTTCCGCTGACACTTCTGACTCATTTATATTGCCTGTATGTTGTACTATAGCTCCGGAGTCTGGCTCCTCGCTGCGCATTGATTGCGCAGCCGGTATAGCCTTCATCCCCAGGTCTATCCCCATCTCTGACTCCAGGTGACTCATATTTATTTCAGTGATTAGTCTGTTTACTACTGCGGATACGCGTCGCGACGCGTCCGTCGCGACTGGTAGGGTACTCGTACTTAGAGGTATTTAAACCCACGTACTCTACCCTGTATCTCCAGTTTTTCGATAGCTTGCAACTGAGCTAATCACTTGGCTTTCATCCTTGTTCTCTCTCCGTGCGAACAACCTTAGGGACTCGCCAGAAGAAGGAACCTCTGCCGGATTATCGCTATAACTCAGCCATAGGGGTTACGACAAGTTCGGCCCATAGACTCCCCCCCCTCGCGCGCTTCGTGCCTATTCTATTTGAAGAAGTCACCGCGCTTGGGCATAACAAAATCGAAAAACTCTGCGCAGCTTTCGGGACTCGTCGACCAATCCGCGGAAGTCTACTCGTCCCTGGTTACTGAACTTCAACAAACCACGCTTCACTTTCAAACAAAAGCTCGTTGGTCTCCCTACGTGTAAAGACTAACTCGCTTCGCCTCTCGAAATTGAAAAGCATCCCTCTACTCTTAACCAAATACACCGCTCTACAGGCAGCCACTAGGCTTTAATAGATCGCCTCCCTAGAGCTTGTGCTCGTGGTTCCCTACATGTAAAATCACTCGCACACAATCCCTCTTACGCTGACAGGTTTCTTTCGAGAAATAAATCCTCCCTCAGCCTTCGTTGTCACTATTCATCAAAGTGTCAGACCCTACAAAGTCGAGACCTCCTGTCCCGCCTCGTGTTAAACCAACTGGGTTAGGAAGGAACCCGCCTTTACCGCCAATACCGCTAGGAAGACTTGGGCCGTCCGCCACAGCAAGTAACCCTAGGTTGTCTTACTTGTCCCACTTTAGGGAATCAGAAATCGTGCTTAGTTCAGAAGAAGAAGACGATCAGAAGTCCGATACTTCTTTCAGATCAGTCCTCAAGGAAGAACAAGAAGCACGCATCACGGAAATGTCCATGACAATTGGTCACGGGGAATCAGCTCCTGAAATGCCACCGAAGGTATATTCTGAAGAGGAGTTGAAGGAAAGGTTGGAAAGACAGATGCACTCTTTGGCCGAGGACTGGCAGAAGATAGCTGGTCAAGGACAGTCGAGTGATCCCTTCCCAACAGGAACGCCTACGGACTCGGCCCTGCGAGCCTGGTACGCCAGAAGTTTCGGAAAGGTAATCCCCCCAGATGACCCCGCAGGTGGGTCAAGTAAGGGTAAGGCCACGGCCGATGCTGGCGACGACTCGTATGGTGTCCGCCCACCCAATGGAGGACGGGAGTTTAATGTTGGGCATCCCGGAGAATATGATGGAAGCCACAATGGGCTTCAAACCTGGGTAACTCAAGTCGAAGGATATTTGAACCTTAACAAACATGTCTACAATACGGAGTCCCTCAAGATTTCGTTTGCTCTCACGTATATGACAAAGGGAGCCGTGGTAATGTTCGCCGAAAACTACCAGAACGAGAACAAGCTCCTCGACGGAACTATTTGGTACTCCGATACTTTCCAAAGGTTCGTTGAACGTCTCAAGGCTACTTTCGAATCTGGAGACCAAACCGCGCTCGCTATCCTTCGTCTGTCCGACATAACCCAAGGCAAACGAGAACTCGAGGCCTACATTGCTGAGTTTACCGGACTTGTAAATAAAGCCCAGCTGAAAGAAGAGTCGCGAGAAGCAGGAATCTTCTTTGGGAAAGGCCTTAATAAGGAGTATCGAGATTGGGTCCTGAATTCAGGACGCGCCCCCACCACCGTCATCGAGTGGATACAGTGCGCGGGAGAAGCCAGGACCACGATCGCAACAAGACACATACTTGAAGGCAAAGAATCCCGGTATGAACGCAAATTCATTCATTACCGCGGGAACTCCCGAGATTCTGATGCGATGGACGTCGACAAAAGAAGGCGAAATGTATGCCGATCAAATGACGACATCACGTGTTACGAATGTGGAAAGAAAGGCCACTACAAACGTGATTGCCAATCTCAGAAGACCAACAGTCACCCCAGCATTCGAATCGTTCTTTCAGACGATGGAAGAAAGGTTGCTTATGTGGGAGATCGCCAGGCAACTGGAGACGAGCTTAAGGCTTACGGTCTGAATGAGAAGGATTTTTAAAGGGGACCACGGAAACTCCTCACGTAGGTCCCGCTTCAGTGTTATCCGCTATATGTACTACCACCATAGATGATGAATCGACCATGAGAATCGGGTCACCACTTGGGATGGTATACATGCTGAATCACAAAGCAGGAGTAATGGCATGCATCGATTCGGGTGCAGAGGTATCGCTCATTTCGGAGCGAATCGTACAAAAACTCAAAATCCCAACTTACCGGGTCAAGAGCAAGTTCAAGACAACTTCCTTTACCGGCAAGGACATAGAATGGGTTACCAGGAAGGTCACGCTTCGGCTGTTCATCAAGAACCGAATTGTCCGGGTAAAATGCTACGTTGGGCCACTGGTAGGAAAGGAACACATCCTACTTGGGATGCCGTTCCTTCGGGAATATAAACCAAGGGTAAATTGGGAAACTAACAAGATCTCTTGTTGGGACAACGGGTTTGTACCAAGCAGAGACACGGATCTTGACATTCATAAAAGGTTCCCTTTTTATAAGGGATCAGCGGTCAAGATTAGAGAAGATGGTTCCGTTGAAGAACCTCCTTCGGTCCCGGTTAACAAAACTACCCTGTCTACCGAACTTGAGGCCGCTTTAGCCTCCAGCAAAGAAAAGGTAGAACTCCCAAAAGAGTACGACGAGTTTAGCAAGGTTTTCTCTGAAGAAGACATACCGCTTCCGGTTCATCGACCGGGCCTGGATCACGAAATCCGTCTCAAACCGGATTTCAAGCCCAAGAAGGCCGCGGTATATCCTATGTCACCGGACGAACTCAAGGTTCTCGACGAGTTTCTTGAAGAAAACTTAAAGTGTAAGAAGATTCGCCCTTCAACCTCACCTCAAGCAGCACTGGTGTTTTTCGTAGCCAAGAAGGATGGGAAGAAAAGGTTAACTCAGGATTACCGATACCTTAATTCCTTCACCATCCAGGACGCACACCCCTTGCCAAACGCACAAGCGCTGTTTGATGAATTGGTCGAATCAAGATACTACGCCAAATTCGATATTCGGTGGGGTTTCACAAATTTACGAGTGAAGGAAGGAGATGAGTGGAAAGGAGCGTTCATCACCCCTCGTGGACTTTTCGAACCAACGGTAATGTTCTTCGGGCAGTGTAACTCACCACCCTCTTTTCAAAGATACATGGACCGGACTTTCGAAAGTCAACACGGAAAGCAGGTAGGATATATGGACGATGTGGCAATTCACAGAAAAACCTGCGAAGAGCTTCGAGCTTGTGTACGGGAGTTTTTGTTAATCTGCCAGAAAGAAGGGCTTCGGCTGAAGATTAGCAAATGTGTCTTTGAAGCTGAAGAAATTGAATTCTTAGGAATGATAATCGGAAAAGGCCGCATGGAAACATCGCCAACAAAAACAGACGTGATTAGTACCTGGGAGGCCCCTGACAACCTAACAGGGCTCCGCCGGTTCCTTGGATTCTGCAATTTCTACCGAAAGTTCATCCCATCTTTCTCAAGCGTCGCTCGTCCCCTCCATGACCTCACAAAGAAGGGAGTGTCCTATGTCTGGACCCCCGAGCGTAATGCTGCCTTCGAAAAGTTAAAAGCTTTGTTATGCTCGGCTCCGGTCCTCTCTATCCCCGACTTCACAAAACCTTTCGCTCTGTTTACTGACGTGTCCAAGCTCGGAACAGGTGCGGTACTCGCACAAAAAGGCTCCGACGGAGAGTGGCACCCTTGCTCGTACCTCTCTCAGTCATTGGTGGGTGCGGAACAGCGGTACCAGGTGTATGACCTGGAAATGCTGGCTGTTATACGAGCGCTCAAAGCCTTCCGACCCTATCTACTCTCCCCGGTCGAGCCGACGGTGGTCTTCACTGACCACAAAAACCTAGAATATTATCGGGAACCTCAGCAGCTGACCCCGTGGCAGGCACGGTGGGCC